GCCGGTGATGTCAAGCAACTGCCACCGATTGAACCTTTCACTAATACTCAAAACGCAGGCGAATACATTGACAAATGTATTGACATTATTTTTAAATATAATATATTTTTAAAGATATGTAAGCGAGTAGGCGGTAAGGATACAGAAGAAGGAGAAAGAAACAGAAAGAAACTGAATGAAATCTATGATGACTTTTGGATTAAAAAGATGGCAGTTGAAGAATGGATAGTTAAGCATTTCAAATTTACTAAAGATGTTATGAATAGTGAAAACAACATAGCATATACAAATATTAGATGTGAGGCAGTATCCAATGAGATTAGAAAAAGATTAGGTAAAACATGCAAATATGAAATTGGAGAAATCTTAATATGCAGACTTTACAAAAAGGACAAGGAAGGAAAACTGAATGTTAATATTAGGTGGAAGGTTGTTAATAACGAAGGATACAAGATAACAATACAAGATATCAAGGATGCAGAGAACATTAGAACACTTGACATTGATATTGTAGATAAGCATTTTAGATATGCCTACTGTGCTACCACTCATAGCAGACAGGGGACATCAATCAGTGATAATATGACCATTCACGAATGGAACAAAGATTATTTAGTTTGTAGGGAATGGTTGTGGACGAGTATCACACGAGCGAGGGATTTTAACAATGTCTATTTTTACAAGAACAAAGAGGGAGATGAAGATATGTTTAAGAGTTTGGTAATCAACTATTTTAAAAACAAAGTTGAAGGATATAAACAGCAAGATAGAGTAGCAAAAAGAGAAATAGACGAAGAGCAATACATTGACGAAAACTGGTGCTTAAAATACTTCAAATCCTGTTGCCAAAACTGCGGAATTAAATTTAATCTAGATACAAGAGGAGGAAAGATAAGTTCTAACTTCACTGCTCAACGTTGTGATAATGAGTTATGCCACACAGTTGAAAACTGCACCGCCTTTTGTGTCTATTGCAATTGCAGCGCGTCATGAATAATTTTGAAAATGAGTTTTTCAAAATTATTTTATTAACTTAATTAATGAGTTCAACACAAGAAATTATCAAGAGTGTATATTATGATAGAAGCGGTTATGGTTCAAAACAAACAACCCTCAAGGATGCTAAGCAAAAAGATAGTAGTATTACAATAAACGATATTAATGAATTCTTTAGTAAGAATGTAGAAGAAAAAAGAAAGATGAGAGGTGAAAATAGCTTTATTGCCCCGCATAGTTTCTGGGAATTTCAAGTTGATATGTTTTTCATTTCTAAAAATGATTTGGAAAATCAAACATTTAGAATTGGAATGATATGCATTGATATTTTTAGCAAATATATGCATATCGTGCCAATTAAATCCAAGACACCGCCAGACATTTTAGCAGGAATGATGGAGAATATCAATAAGATGGGTGGCAAACCGAAATTAATTTATACCGACGAGGAAGGCAGTTTTTTTAATCAATCAGTATTAGATTATTTGAAGGAGGAGAAAATTGAATTACATAGAACTAGAGGTCATCCAGCATTTGCGGAGCGTGGAATTCAGACTTTTAAAGATCAACTGTTTAAACGAGTTGAAGCGGACAAGAAAAATGGAAAGCAGAATATCCAATGGACAGATTATATTTTTGAAATATTATTAACTTACAATAATAAGATGGTGCATTCTGCCACCCGCTTTGTTCCAGCACAGGCAAGATTAAAAAAGAATGAATTTGAGGTAAAAATGAATATTACAATGCAAGCAAAGAAAACTAGAATGTATCCAGAATTAAACGTAGGAAGTAATGTAAAAATAATGAGGAAGAAAGGCATAAGCGAAAAGGCACATACCAGTCATTGGTTAAAAGAAGTATTTAAAGTAAAATCAATTGATAGTAAATTAGGGCAATCTTATTTTCATTTGGAAGGAAAAACTAATCCTTATTTGAGACACGAATTATTGAAAGTTTAATATTAAACGAAATACAGTTAAAGAAAAAACGCCTTATAATATTAGTGAAATGTTGTTTAACTATAACAAGTGCGAATGCTGTAAATGCAAAATGAATAATTTGAGTTTAACCTTACATCATATACTACCGGCAAATGTAAGTAATAAAATAAGTGAATATAATGTATATTGCAATCAATGCTGTATAACAAGAGACCTTGAAAAGTTTTTTGTTGAAGAACATAAGGATAAGGGATATACAAAGTTTCAATTACAATTAAAATTCTTTATGCGACACCAAGCAAGATTTCCTATACACTTTTACCAGAAGATTTCCAGAAAGTCATATGAAAATGAAATTGATGAATTCTTTAGTAATATAGATTTAATTAGGAGGTTTGGAGGAACAAACGCAATTAAACCATATAAAGCATTTGTCAAAAAATACCGTTATTTGTTTGAATGGATTGACTGGCATTTATTAGACAAAGATAAAATAAACGAAGTCTTGAACGAATTTAGAGCAACTAAATATAGTATATGGTATTACTACAACACTAAATATAAAGTATGTCTATTGTTGTATTTATTCTTTTGGGAATATATTTATTCAATAATAGGAAAAAACAATATCAAATATATATACATTGGTGATATAGATAAATATGTAGATTACATATTTGAAGACATATTGCCTGACCATTATTTTAATCCATAAACCTTACAATAAAAAAACATTGTAAGATTTATGATTTCAAAATGACTTGAATAAATGATAACTTAATATATTATAGCGGAATGAGTGATACAGTCGGTATCAATGCTAAAGATATATTGAAAAACAAGTTTATGAGTTATAAATGTAAAGACTGTGAAATGCTCAAATTACCAATTGAACGGGGTTTTGCAAATGGTGTTTGTAATAATATTTGTCAATATATAATATGCAATAATTGCAATAGAATTATAAAAACAAATTGATGATATGAATAACAAGGATATTGATATTATAAATAATGAAACTATTGATGATGATTTAGAAATATTTGTATTTATTGAAATGAATAATTTCTTAACTATAGAAGGATTTGATAATTTATTAGAATGTAACGACGAAGGATATAATAATGATTTTATTTTTAAGTATTATAGTATTGTAAAACAATTATACAATATGTCTTTTAATATTAAACGTTTAAAATATGTTGTATTGTTTGATTTTTTAAATGAGTTTTTAAATGATGAGTATAAAACTCACGAACTTAGATATACAATAAAACGTGCGATTGGAATAATGGGAATGTTTAGAAAACAAATAAAAAATAATTTTATAATGAAACAACATGTGACAAAATAATAGAAAGAATTAAATTAATAATTTAGTTTTAGGCGAAATAGTCCTAAAGAAAAAACACCTTATATTAATAGTGAAGAAATGAACGGTATTGAAATCAATAAGTATATTAATAAGAAATGCTATGATTGTTGCCACTTTAAAAAGGAAAATATGGAATTGTATAAATTAAATTTACCTAATGGAATAATAAATAATATTATTGATTATGCTTTGGGTGAAGAAGATTTATGTAGAACTTGTAGAAGATGGAGACGATATCAAAATATAATAGAACATATTTTGGAGATTAAAAAAATAGATGAAAGAAATGTAGAATATGATATTTTGATATTTTTAACTGCAAATAAATTACCACCTTACGTTTATGTTAAACAGTTTCTTAAAATCAGTAAGAAAAAATATGAAATGATTTATGATATATTAAGGATGTTGTGTTATAGTCAAAAGAAAGGAGAAGATATTAAAGAATATATCAAATTTTATATTGAAATTTATAAAAAGTTTAATGTTAAAAATACAGTGAGAGATATTAATATTATTTTTAAAATGATGTATGACATAAGTGAGATTTGTCAATTAAATTATTACCCTGAACTGAAATTATAAATTAACCCATAAACCTTACAATAAAAAACATTGTAAGATTTATGTTTTGAAATTATGGGGATTTTATATTTTGGGATTTTGGGAAAATATATTTTAGGAATTTGGGATTTTGGGATTTAGGTGGTAAAATTGGTTGAGGTGGCGTGCCCCTGTTGGTTAATATGGTTGAAGTGGTTGACTGAGGGGATTTTATCTGAACTGGGGCATGCCCTTTGGTAGGTCTAGAAGGGGTGGGCTGCCCGTTTTCAGATCCCCCGCTGAAAGTGATTCACTTTTGTGGGTTTAATGGAAATTGCCACTAAAAACTAGAAGGATCTAAACAGCTAAGGGGATGGCTGGGAGCCACCAAGATGTCCAAAAGTGGTGGAAGGGGAGGGGGGGGGGGGGGGGGTTATGCTTTCTTAACATACTGCTGACAGATGGGGGGTGTCTTGTTTAGGATCTGTACGCCCCAAAATGGCCAACCCCCAAAAAAAAAAACCAAAAAAAAAAAAGCGTATGGCGATATATATAGAATGGCCACCCCCCCCCCTTTTTCGGGTCGCCCCGGGTCGCATACGTTCCATTGAGACATGGTGCCCCTTTCTGCAGACTAATCCCTACTGCAAATCATTTAGGGGTGAGGGCCACTTACAGAAAGTGGCCCTACAAGGACATGTTGCGCAACCATGTGTGGGGGAAGGGGGGGAAGCAGCACACTCCCTGTCAAAGGAATGTCTGGACCTAACAGCTCCATGAAATTGCAGGCTCATGTGTGTCTCTGACTGATTTGCCTGTCCGGGCAAACTGGGCCAAGTACTGAGCCTTCATCAGTGAGGCTGCCCTTCATCAGTGAGGCTGCCCCGCTGCCCCGCGGTCACTATCATTCGCGCTTGCCAAAATCACAAGCCAGCGCTCGGGAACGCGAATCTGCTGACTTGTGATAGCAAATTATTGAGGCGACTTTCCTGGAAGCTTTCCCCACGGACACACTGTAATCGAGGCCACAAATCTCTTTACAACCATGAACTTGGCAAACCCCTGCTTTGACCCAGCTGCCTTTTGGACCCACGTGGCCTCAACCCACCAAACCGCAGCCCTCGCTGGACCAAACGAGGCGCTCGAAGAAGCGCTGGCGACGACGTCGTCCACGCTCCCCGCGCCAAAGGCGCCAAGGGCTCTTTGCAGCACCCCGGGGAGGCGGAGAGATGCACCAGCCTGCGAAGGCACAGCTCGGCGCGCGGCGCGCGCCTAAAGCCGGAACAAGGCGATCGCCTTCAAAAGGTGGCTGCAACGACCTGCAACAAGTTGAAAACTTGTTGGGGGGGGGTAGTGCAAAACCCAACTTGATTCCCCCAAAAGTTAAAGTCCAGAAGCAGTCAAGCCTTTTGGGCCTAAAATGATTGAACCATGGGAAAACCAAAAGGTCAGATCCGATGTTTGGTCGATTCGCGCCAAAGGGCGAGTGAGGCGGGAAGTTTCAGGGATTGCTCGTCTTCTTTTGGGATCACCGCCCAATATAGCGCAATGGTGTGTTCTTGTGGTTTTCCTTTGCAACCAACCAAAAGGGAGTACCCTCAGAAAAAGACGAGCCGCCCAAATGCATCCTGGCAGGTTTTTGAACTCCGTGGTTCTCAGGGAGTGGCCATGGTAGGCCTAAAAGCACCTATGATGTCAAAGCAACTCACAGCTGTTGAGAAAAAAAAAACATAAGTTTCTTCCGAGAAAATTTTGTATGGGCCATTCATCAGGACTTCCGGCCATTTTATGGTATCAAAGTCCAACCATAGCCTCTACAAGAGGCCTATACCACCATTCCATGTCAATTTGCTTGGGAGTTCAGGCTCCAACATTTCTCAGGATGGGTTGGATTTGAGGCTCCAACACTTCTCAAGATCCCTGGCTTAGTTTTTTTTGGCGGACCCCCCGAACTGGTGGCGGTCCTGGTGGTTTCCCTTTTAACCGACCCAAAAAAGGGGTGCCAACTCCCGAAAAAGACCTCCTTTCCAGGAACGCGCGCGCGACGAGTGAACTCCCATGCCCGTGGCCGGCCTTGGCAAGCCCAGCCGTGACTGAAGCATCGCAGCCATTGGAATCGCTTCCGCCGAGTTCTGCTAAATCGCGGCTTTCTAAGATGGGGTGGCCACTGCAGCCTGTATATAGTGGCCATATAGTGGCTGCATATCCCATGAAACTTGTGGGGGTAGTGGTTTGAGGGTAGTGGTTGGGGTAATGGAAACCATCACAAATAGATAAAATGCAGCTTGGGTGGGGCCGCCTGAAGGACCTGGAAGAGGGCGATGACTTTTTTGGATCTTCATGATCTTGATCAAATGAAATCGTGGTTTCAGCCCAAAAAAACAAAGGCTCGCTTACTTTTGGGCAAGTGAGAGAAGATTTTGAGTGCTGGTGCCATAGGTCGGCCCACTTTTGGTCATGTGGGCTTCCCCTGGAAGTGTGCCATAGTCTTACGTTTGGTTTGCCAACTCAAGCTGAAGCTGAACCAATGCGAGAAAGCAGCAGGTCCTGTGCGTTTCCCAGAGCCTGTGCTGAATGGGGGAGGCTGGTATATGCCGGACATCCAAAGAAAGCGCAGGCCTGCCTCTCGGGGCCTTCTGTCCCAAGTTCTTACCTTCTGATCGAAGGGGTTCGTATTTCGGATTGAATCTTTGTAGGGGGTAGGGTTGTTTTTTTTCCTGAGCTGTCACTCGCAAACCCGCTTCTGGGCGTGATGTTTTCGAGGGCTACCCTTCTTGGGGGTAAAAGTGCAGCGAAATCAAAGAGGTTTATCACACTTTGAAGTACACTTTGACAATCTTGAATCCAACGTGTGAATGGTAGAATTGAGAGGCGTAGAGTCGGGTTCTCTCTCTGACACTTTGATTGCTAGACACCTCTCTCTACGTGTCTATTTTTCTGGATTAACACCTTCAGATTTATATGCCCATGCCGAGTGGTGAGTGTCCTCATCCTCCCAGGACCTAAAGGGCTCTTCACACATAGTCTTCAGGGTCTCTCACACGTGTTTATACTTCGATCAATATGTAGACCCAGGGCAGGCCAAAATCGCTGGTTTCCAATTTAACCCTAACGACATATCAACAACACACCCTGGATTGCCTTCTCCCTTGCTCAAAGTGATCAACTAGTGGGATATGTATCATAATCACCGCCAAACTCAAGTCTAAACATCTCAGGAACCGTACATGGGTCACTGGATTTCTTCGAAAGTTACTGATGGTTTTCCATGGAAACGGCCGGTACTTTTGGAGGTTCCAAAACAAAAAAATGGCGGACCTGCCGTATGGCGGACCCCGCCCCCATGCTCCTGGCGCCCCTCAGGCGCTGGGTCTGATGCGCCGCCTGACGCACACCCATATTGGTATGGGTCAAAATTAAGCCACCAGGAATCGGACCGCAGATTAAAATGTCCATGTTTCCATTTACCGATCGGGCAACCCATTTTGGAAATGGTTACCCTATTTTTGACTCACAGCCAGAGTTGGGGTACCTGTTCTTCTGCTCCACGTGCCTGTTTCTTGAGGGTCTCTTTTGGATGAGTTGAGGGAAACCAAGAAGGAACTCCGCCCTTTTTTCTTGGCTGGAATTGGGACCAGCAAAAAACATATCTTTTTTGCCTGGTTAGTGGAAAACAAAGGGGACCCCAAAAAAGCAAAAAAGCAAAAAGGGGAGCAAATTCTGGGGAAGTTTTGCGGTGCCTCTCTTTCTCTCCCTCTGAAATTCGAACCCCACCCTTTTTGGGGTCCTCTAAAAGAAGACCCACTATAGATGTATGAAGTCGATGGTAGGCCCGCCAAAACCCACCCAAGGGTGCTGATTGGAACTTGCAGGTGGGATTGCATATGTGCGTGTCTATTCGTTCATCCATCCATGCATCCATTCATCTTTGCATCCATGCATCCATCCATCCATCCGTCCGTCCGTCCATCCATCCATCCATCCATCCATCCATCCATCCATCCATCCATCCATCCATCCATCCATTTCTCCATCCATTTATTAATCCATCCATCCATCCATCCATCCATCCATCCATCCATCCATCCATCCATCCATCCATCCATCCATCCATCCATCCATCCATCCATCCATCCATCCATCCATCCATCCATCCATCCATCCATCCATCCATCCATCCATCCATCCATCCATCCATCCATCCATCCATCCATCCATCCATCCATCCATCCATCCATCCATCCATCCATCCATCCATCCATCCATCCATCTCTGCCTGTTGATCTATCCATCTCTATCTGTTGATCTATCGATCTCTCGATCTCTCAACCTATCGACCTATCTATGTCTATATCTATGTCCATATGTTAGTCTATATCTATATCTGTCTACAATATGTTCGCACCCACATCCTTTTGGGCGCCACAGTGGCTGGATTCACAGGCTGTAGAGAAAACAAAGCTTGCTGATCAAGCAATTTACCAATAACATTTTGTACCAGGTGTTTTTACTGACACGTACATTCAGTCTTTGACTCGGAAGTTTACAAGCATTTCAGACGATCCGTTTAGTTTCCCAGAAGGGGTGGAACAACAAAAGCGTGGGTGAGACTCGGACAGCTGCCGTTCCCCTCCTAGCTCACACAAAATGTGTATATGCTACCACGAGAAGCAATTTTGCCAACAAAGAGGGTTTATGTACTGGACCTTTACGCTTCATTCAGCAGGGTGTGTGTGTGTGTGTGCGTGCTCGTGCGTGTGTGCGTGTGCATGTGCGTGCGCGTGCGCGTGCGCGTGGGCGTGGGCGTGGGCGTGTGCGTGTGTGTGTGTGTGTGTGTGTGTGTGTGTGTGTGTGTGGGCGTGGATGTGGGCGTGCGCGTGCGCGTGCGCGTGCGGGTGCGGGTGCGGGTGCGGGTGCAGGTGTGGGTGGGTGAGTGGGTGGGTGGGGTGGGTGGGTGGGTGCGTGCGTGCGTGCGTGCGTGCGTGCGTGCGCGCGTGAGCGCGTGCGTGCGTAGGTGGATGCGTGCGCGCGTGCGCGCGTGCGCGTGCGCGTGCGTGGGTGGATGCGCGCGTTCGCGTTCGCGTGCGCGCGCGCGCGTGCGTGCGTGCGTGGGTGTGTGTGTGTGTGTGTGTGGGTGGGCGTGTGTGTGGGCGTCTGTTTGAGTCCTTTGTCATCGGTTCTCTGAGCCCGCACGAAGAATATGCCACGGTGTGAAAGCTTCAGTAGCGCGAAGCACTCAAGCATTTGGGAAACATGTCCTTGCCCATGCAAGCCTTTAAACAAGGTGCGGTTGGAGGCGTTTGTCCTGCCAAAATGGTCGTAACAAAAGAATCAAAGTGGACAATCCGAGATTTGCGCGCAAAACAAGTCTGGGAAGACAGTAACATGTTGGGTGATCTTTTAATGATGATCGAAGCTTAGTTGCGCATCTGCTGATTATGCAAGGTTTCGGCTTGTTCAAAACCTGCATGTGCCATGGTCAAAACTCCCACTGTGGGCCACGAGTTTGTCGCTTCTTGAGCCCGACCCAAACCTCAGGTAGAATTGCGCTTGACCATCAACAGAAGCAAACCACCATGTCAGCTCTGTCCAGGGACGCTCCCTTCTTGCAGCACGCCTTGCCTTTTTCGAGTCGCGAATCTTTCGGAATCGGCGACTGATCCAATCCTGAGACCCGTTCGGGCCGATTGGCAACCTGAAGTCCTGTCTGCGGCCAAAGATGTGGTTGGATTGCTTGTCCTTGTTTTTTGGGGGCCCCAATTTCTTTCTCGCTGCGGAAAAAAAAAACTCGCTATCGCATTCCAAGGCATTGATTGCTTGACTTGTTTGTATTTTGGTTCCAGGCTTGAAGAGCCCGACGCTTACCTCTCAATGGAAGCTGAAAGCATTTGGAAAGACAACTCTTTTGGGGAAACTCCCCAAACTTCCATTTCGAGGGTACCAACCCTGAGGGAGGGAGGGAGGGAGGGAGGGAGGGAGGGAGGGAGGGAGGGAGGGAGGGAGGGAGGGAGGGAGGGAGGAGGGAGGGAGGGAGGGAGGGAGGGAGGGAGGGAGGGAGGGAGGGAGGGAGGGAGGGAGAGGAGGGAGGGAGGGAGGGAGGGAGGGAGGGAGGGAGGGAGGGAGGGAGGAGGGAGGGAGGGAGGGAGGGAGGGAGGGAGGGAGGGAGGGAGGGAGGGAGGGAGGGAGGGAGGGAGGGAGGGAGGGAGGGAGGGAGGGAGGGAGGGGGAGGGAGGGAGGGAGGGAGGGAGGGAGGGAGGGAGGGAGGGAGGGAGGGAGGGAGGGAGGGAGGGGGATCCCAAATAAGGCTCAATCTCGGGCTTATGCCTTATTTTGGGCCCCCTGCGCCCTCCCCGGTCCCCTCCGTCTCCCCCCCCTCAGCCCCCCTGAAACTCAACTACCCTGTGAGGGAAATCGCTCATTGTTGCGTTGCAGTATGCCATGGGTAGGCCATGTTCGCACGGACCCGATGAATGTCCTTCAGGCGAGTCCTGTATGGCTTCTATGTTTAAAGCAAGCTTCGCTTTCATCCCTTCCCGGAGTTAAGACTGACGACCGCAAACGCGCGCGGTTGGTAGAGTGTAAGGGTTTGAACACTTCTAAATATGATTATCTTATGATATTTCATGAATCATGGCTTAACTTGCTCTTAAAGAACCCCGCAGCCCCATTCTTACATAGCCCCTTATAGTAATCCAACCTGATTGAACATGATCCATGTGTATCCATGTGTTTAGCTGCTGCCTCCCAGGTGAAGAACTTGGATCATTGGGCCATACGTGGATACGTGTCAAAACAAATCAAAGGACACCAATACTGCCAATCTTGACTCACTTGCTGAGTGGATGGCCCCAAAAAAGTTCAAACTTTATATTCACAACTAAAATGGTCGTCCCAAAAAGTTTAAAGTTCATGAACTCAGGAAGTGAGTTGATTTGGAGATGTCTGAGGGCGCATGTTCATTGCTGTTCGAACTGAAAGGTCCCCTTTTAAGCTTGATGCGGGTGATTGTCCAAAAAATGGCTGGCACCCTGCGGATGAATGTGGCAGTATGATTTTCAGGGCAAGTGCTGCTGTAGCGCCTGGGTTGTGTTCTGTTGAGGAGGGGGCGGGGTCAGCTGCATCCGCGAAAAACAACTGGATGTGGACGGACACTGCCCCCCAAGATATATAGTTGTTCAGGGCTCTTTAGGTTGTTGAATCGATGTGGGCATCTACGCTTGGCACACACACACACACGCGCGCGTGTATGGCGTTTTTAAGCGACAATCCTATGGTGTGCACTATGGAAGTCCCTGGCCGTGCTGGAACCGAGGAAAACCGCTTTTTGCGGAGCGGGCGGCATGCATTCATGCCGGCATGTGGTCACATGCATCGGCATGTCTATCGGGTGAAACGAGTACATCGACGGCAGGCTTGGCTGCACGCTGCCCAGAGCCAAATCGCATCTCTGCTAATGGTGGTGGTACGTTGATCCCTTGCAACAAGAGAAAACATTGAGTGGGATATTGTGTCAGAAACACCTCTAATCTCCCAACGACTGAAAGTCTATGGGTATGGCTGGGAACCGCCAACTACTCCGCGACAAAAAGGCTAACTTTTCTCAGTTATACATGAATCCCTTGCTAAAAGGTATACTTTTGATGGGAAATCCCTCTAATCTCCGTCTATGGAACCCCAAGTACTCACAAGGCCACGGTTTTGTCGGTGGGTCCCGAGGAAACCCCCACCCAGCAAAGGACACCACGGCTTTTTGGTCTGTCCCTCCGAACCCAACCACCGTGCCCCAAAAACTCAGCAGCTCTTAGGCAAAAACGATGGACCCACTGGGCTGTGTCTATCTCCTGCTGAAGGCACACGCCATTTTCAAAGCGTTGTCTCGAAGGAAAGGACAGCAAACCCTGAAAAAAACGCAGTAGTGATAGGTTCACTTTTAAACCAGGGGAAAATAGACCATGTTCTTAAGGAAATATGGAAGCAGAGCAACATGTCAGGGGTCCTCGATAGAAAACATCCAAGACAGGCGAGGCGAACAGGTAGGGTGGCCCAATGTGCAAAGCTTGAAATTTGGTTTACCATAAATGAAGTAGTACAACAATAACACAACGCAAATCGTGGGGTCCCCGGATCGTATGAAACTGGGTTGCATGTCTCAATTGGACATTTAGGGATCCACGGCCACCCAAGAAGGTCGGTTTAGGACATGGGACCCAGGCCCTTTTCTGGGCTGTCCAAACTGATCCCCTAAAAGTTGAACTTGTGGGATATAAATGGAACCCCTCAGCTAAACCAATTACAAACTTGCAACATTCTGGAACCGGATGGCTTGGAATCACCAAGAGTTGTCAGGTTCGCCAAATCTGCGGACAGGATTCGTCGTGCATTTGCTGATTCTTTTCTGGGAACAGAATCTGCGAGACCCAACGAGCTGCTAGAACCACACTTCCTCGCAACCGCGGGACCTGGGGAAAGAAACAGAGTCATCAAAATCATGTTATTAAAGTGGTCTACCCGGAACCATGCTTCGGCATTCCGCACTCATGGCAAGGGGGACTCTCATGACCCACGTGGCTCAGATGAACCTTCGGCTGTCGGGAGTGCCGGGGTCCCAAGGGAACTTCATGACCCATGCCCCATACCTCACGGGTCCCGACTCTTGCGACTTGCTGCTCGAAACTCTCAAAGTGCCTAGAACTAAATATACACATATAATATATGTATATATATATATATATTAAAAAGGAGAAATAAAAAAGCGGGTCCGGCGTAAAGATCAGGTCGGCTTCGGGGAGAACACCCAATACTTGTAGCGTGAGTATGAACCACAATGCTTGTTTCTCCGGGTGCTGAACAAATCCGAATGTCTCACCGTCAAGTTCGATCGCCTTCTGGCCGCATCGCAAGAGTTCCAGGATTTGTACATACAATATACAATGTATATTATATATTCGCTTTGAACCATCCCTCCAGAAGAATGCCCACTTCGATTTGGTCTTCCTCAAAATTCCCCCTAACTCCCTAACATGGCAAAGGTGTCCTTTAGTTGTTTGTTTGAATTGTATGCCAACCCTGGTCCAAGTTTGAGCAACTCCCAATTGGCCGTGGGCAGTGCGCAGTGTTCCAAGCGGGATTGGCCTTGGCCGTGAGCAGCAGCCGAGGGCGCGCAAGCGGAGCGGCTCAATGGAAGCCGTTGCGCTGCAAGTTCGCAATCTCCTCCTTCCTTGGGCGTCGAGCGCCCGAGATGTCTCGGCCCATATCTGGGGTACGGAAAAACACACACGCACACATGAACATGTATATTAATATATATATATATATATGTAGATTCGCAGATTCTGGTCCAGATTAAGCCTACACTAAAGGAAAACATGATGTTGGAGGAGGCCAAAAGCAACACCTCCTGGAACATAAGAACACCAGGTTTCAAAGGGAAAGACCTAAAGCAGCAACATCTCCAATTCGAATAACATACGCATTTCTAGACACGTCATTTCGATGCCTTTGGGTCATGAGGGCAGGCAGGATACTAGAGCACGTCCCTGGAGTGGAGCTTGTCATTGGGTTCTGATAGCATTCAAACCCACGCTAGGGACAGGCAACTACACGTAGCCCACCTGCTGTTGTTCGCTTCGGCCCAAAGTTAGATTGAAAGCACATGAGAGGCATCCTGCTCTCGGGTCGATTACTGCTCAAACATGTTGACAGCAAGATTGATGACACCCAAACCGATACTCTGCGGTTTCAGCTACTCCACCCTAAAAACACCATTGTTTATCTAAGCATTGTCATCATTCAAATTGGCCCTGCCTTTCTGTTAATTGTTAATGGAGGCAAGGAACCATAGGGGATACCGTTGAAACCCTCATGTGGCCAAAGGGTCCACTGGCTATGTCACGGCTTGCTCCCAACCTTGCCTCGTGCGATCCTGGAAGTAAGCACAAGCAGGTCGCCCCACTCTGCCGTCGCATACGCTGAAAAGTCAAGGGTCAATGTATCACCCAAAATCCTCACAGGCCATGCGACTTGATGAGGGCAAAACTCAGGGACCCCTCAGATGCCGTTCTTACCCATGGGGTTCGAACCAAAAAGTCCTACGGGTGAAAGAAGTGCCTTCTTTGGTGGACGTCACTGGGGATTTGTGCATACCATCTAGGGTCTGCCGGAAGAAACTCATAGCCAAGTTTCCTTCCTTCTGGGGTGTTGACCAGAGACCCCCCTTTACAAAGAGACGCCCCACACCCCTCCACACACACACCCCACAAACACCCCCACACCCCCACACCCCACACCCCACCTCCCCACCCCACCCCTCCCCACCCCCCCACCCCACCCCCCCGGCCCCCGCCCTACACCTCACAGTCCAACCCTCCCCCACCACGCAGCTGCGAGCTTCACCAAGCTGCTTCCGCTCCACCTGCATCTCCAGGTCTTGATTCTCATCCTGAGAACTGTGAACATGAGCTGCAGATCGAGTGGCTTTCCGCCCAACAAACAACAAAACACTGGAAGAACCCACCTCAGACGCCCGGTGGATTTTTATGGGATTCCAACCCCTTTCTTGGGTAATTTGGGGAAACACTGGGCATCTGGGATCAGCGGTTTCTTCTCCACCCCACATAATACCGGGTCCCCCAAAGTGAGGAATGGTTCTTTTTGGGGTGCTCCCAGAAGTTGGTAGAATTTCGCAAACGAAATGAACCTCAAGCCAACATTATCTGGCGTGTTTGAACCATTTGGGTATGAGTCACAATTCAACCAGAAGGATTAAAAAACAGCGGGTTTTAGTCCTCGGTTCCATTTACCGGGGCGTGGATCCCTGAAATCCCGCTGCTCTGGTGGGTCCCAAGGCTTCCCATGGGTCAGAGAATTTACCGAGGAGTCTTCTGGTGTTTAAAAATGGGCTGTGGGTCAAAAATCGGCACCCCAAGTGGACTCCTTAGCCCAGTAAACCCGGAAATCCCTGTTGCTGTCTCGTCTCTTTTGGAGTTGGTCCCCGGAAACCAAAAGGAAAACCGCCGTTCGGGGGGGGAAAGGGGGGGTCCCCTCAAAACCTGACACCACATTTTGAGCAGGGCTTCCTGCCAAACCCTCTTCCGGGGTTCCATTCTGCCGGATGAACTTCGATCCGCTCGCAAAGCTCGCAACGCCGCTCTCGGAAGCCCACCTGTTGGTTCAGAGGTTCTGACCTTTCGGCCTCTTCGGGTAAGCCTCCTTTTACTAAAAGTGGGGCGATGTTTGCAGCTTGGAAAGAGTTGGAACACTGGGGCTTGGCCAGTTTCAGGCACAAAAAAATCCCAGTCCAGTGAGCCCGGCAAAGAGACTTGGAACCATCTTGGAGCTTGACCCACGGAACAAACCTGGAAACGGGATGGCGCTGAAAACCGGCACTTGGCGTTTTTCGTGCTGGTGCTCAGTGGTGAATGACCCAAGGTGTTCGGAATGACCCAAAGTGTTCGGAATGACCTAGGGATTTCCTTCAACAAAACCACAAGAAATTGTTTACAGGGGTCCTTCCCTCGTTTCCTGCCTAGGTCCTCCAGTAGAGAGGTTAGAATTAGGGTACCCTTTTTTCTGCAGTCTATTTTAATAGGGGAACCCTCCCAACCAAAAAAGGGGAGAGAAGGGCACTACAGGGGGACCTAGCTGCTGACCAGCAAGAACATCTCCGCTGCCTGCTGAAGGTTCAGCCTCTCCGAGAGGTTCACATACCCCGCCATCTGCATCTCTAGGTCCTATCCACCGCCCGGGCGAGTCTGCAATTTTCGATTCAGCCATGTGGCTGTGGGTGAAAGATAGGTACCCCACATGGGTTGCCCTAGTAGGTGGAAACATGGACCAAAACCTGCGGTCCATGTCCTGGTGGCTTCATTTTGACCCATACCCATGTCAGCAGCTCTGCCAGCGCGTTGTTTTTTTCGGTGGTTTGCAGCCCCGTCAAAGTCACCCAAGCGGCGGGTTAAAGGGAAACAACCGATTCCATTCTCTGACTTTAACCCCCAGAGACCAGCGAAAGACTGACCACCAGTGCAAATCCATTTGCAACCACACCCACGGGCTGAACCCTCCAGTCTCCGCCCATCCAAACCAGCGCTTCGAAACGACCTGATTTCAGGTGTCAACGGGGCCCAATTTTCCTTTTGGTCCGAGTTTGGAAGCTTCTCACTTCAACTTGGTCACTTTGAGAGTGTCACCCCTTGGTCTCTGTGACCTCAGCCTGTTTGTTGGGCCTGCGCGCCAAAATTTAAGAAGAAGCTGTAAACGGGCTGAGGTTTGGAACGGAAGGCTCGCAGCTTGACCAACAACTGAGGCACGCTGACAGACCAACGATCATAGACGCACAAAGACATGTCAGACCCCTTGAAACCGAGGACTTTAAGTTGGAAACCTCTGAGCAGCACAAACCCCAAAGCCGGAAGCTTCTGCAAGAATAGCTTTGGGACGCCTTCGTGTTTTAGGCATAGTCAAGCTAGAGGCCTACCCAAACCATGCAAATGCTCAACAGGGACACTTGCCGCGCCGCACCAATTTCTATCGTTAAGTATGACGACGGCTCCCTCCCCGAATTTGTCGACGGATTTTCATTAGCCTGTTGGACTAATTTGTTCCTCCCAAAAGCGAAGGATTCTCCTCGATGGGACCACCCCCTCACCCCTATCAACAACCAGAACTTCTTCTTAACCCGGGGCTCCCGTTGGGTTTGATTGGCAGCCCCAACAGTTAATGGGTTCCCTGAAAAACCTGCCCAAATCTTAAGGGTTGGTTTATTGCTGGCTTAGAAGGTGTCTTGATGTTTTGCTTGGGTTTTGGGGTGGGTTAGGTTTGTTTGGTTTAGTTGGTTAATGCTGGTTTAGAAGATTTCTGCTGGGTTTCTTTGGTGGGTCTAGGTTTGGTGCATGGTTGGTTCAGGTTTAGTTGTGGTTTACGGTTTAGGGTCGACGACAAGGTAGCTCGGTAGCTTACTGGATTCTCCACTAGAGTCCTTATTTGTGTTCTTTCGAGGGGGCGCTGCTTCGAGGCAAAACCAAAACACAGTACCTCAAAGCCAGCCAAAAGCATTCTGGCCGAGGCAACTAGGGTTTATGAACCTGGGGTGCCCGCTGGGTTTGACGGGGGAAGGCCCACATCCTAACCATGTTGGTAGAACCTCAAGAGTCAATTCGCGTTCCCTTGCACCTGAGTCATAATCAAAACTCGGTCTTAAAACTGTCTGCGAACCACGTAAAGAATGAAATTGGCGGCTGCACTTGCTTCTAGTTGGACATGTCCCTCACTAACTAGGTCCTCCGGTAGAGAAATGTTAGAATACGGGTACCCTTTCTTCTGTATAGTCAATTTTAGTAGGGGAACCCTCCCCCAAAAAAAGCTGGCAAAAGGGCACTACTGGGGGACCTAGTGTCCCTTACTAACCTTCATCTACCCGAATCGCTTTCGAGCACGTGGCAACACCTTGGGTTTTGTCTCTCAGGTCTCGTCCTCATCCACTTGCGCCTTCTCGGTCCACAACTGTTCCATCGCCTCCCGCAGGGAGTCCCGCTCCTCCTGAAAACTCCAAAGGGAGTCAGACCCAAGCCCTGGATTGAAGGGGTAGTTTGAGGGCACCAGAACGTCCATGGGCCATGGAACCCGCCAATTTGGGCCGTAGACAATGGCCTTCCAGTCAAGCCTTAGGTTCAATGGCAACTTGGATAGGAGGGCACTTCCTTGGTTGCTGTAACGCCCCCCTCCGCAATAAGTTGTTCCCCTTCCTTGTGGGTCCAGTTCGGAAAATCCGACCTGTTTCAACCACGACTCGTTAAAGTCCAAAGATCCGTTCCCAAATAACCATGGAGCCATGACCCATATGTGCCATGGTCAGAAGATGCGCTTCTTTGGCCAGAAGTCGTGCTTTGCGGCCGTATAAAGGGAGTGCGAAAGCATTGCCTGGGGCCATGGCAAGTGGTGCTCAAAGGACGCCCCGACCCCTGCCCTGCAAAACGAAAAAAACCGAAGCTGAGAAGTCGACTCGTGCTTTTGCGGCCTGGCTTCCTGTGCAAAGGGCGGGAAGCCTCGGGTTTTGGAGAAACAAACCACATCCCACTCCAACTCGGCCTGGTTTCTGGGTTTGGTCCTCTCGTTTTGCGGAAATAAAAAAGAACAACAAAAAAAACGAAAACAAACATCCACTCCAAGTCGAGTCCAGTCGCCCGAATTTCCTGCGAAAGTTCGCGCCTGGAGGATCTGCATTTGGAGCGTGGCGTCCTCCGCCTTGGCCTGGAGCTCGTTCTTCTCCTTCCGCCGACTCGGACCAAATGTCCATGGGTTAAAACCCCGGTTACCCCCCTAGTGAACATCCGATTCAATCCACTAGAATAGGAAGCCCAAAAAAAAGGTGCTGAATTCACCAATCCCAACCAAAATGCTACTATTGCCATTGTTTTAACTGTTTCTTGTGGTGATCAAAGTCAGTACATGTGGTTGTTTCCCTTTACCCCACCACTTAGGGGGTGACTTTGATCATGGTAAAATCATGGGGCCTGCCAAATGGGCACTAGGCAAGCGACCGGTGGCTCTTCGAGCGTTCTTTTTTTTGGGGAATCGGACCCGAAACGGCTTCGGCGTTTCTTTGCTTTGTTGGACCGTGATGGGACGCGCTCATGTCTCGACTGAACCAAAAAAGAAATTACTTCGCTTCGAGCAACCCCCACCCACCACACTCACGAGCTTACGACCGTCAAACTCCACTTGTCTGCGAGCTGATCTCGAGAACTCAAACATCGGTTCCGTTAACAAAAGCCAAAGCCCCTTCCAAACACAAACCTGACGGGGGATTAAACGAAGTTGCTTATTCACAACCCAAAGCAACACAAAAGCTTCCCTTTGCGATCTCTCTCAAGACACGAGGGCAGCCCCACTGCGCGCCGGGCGGGACATTAAGCAAAACCAGGCTGGCGAGCTTTTCTGGCGGGACACTGGCGGGATCCACTGGCGAATAATGGCGAGCCGCTCCGGCTTGATACTGGGAGGATACTCGGCAGGATCCACTGGCAAGGGATACTCAGCGGGATACTCGGCGGGATCCACTGGCGAGCTACTGTGTGGGATACTCAGCGGGATACTCGGCGGGATCCACTGGCGAGCCGCTCTGTGGGATACTCGGCGGGATCCACTGGCGAGCAGCTCTGGCGGGATACTGGGCGGGATCCACTGGCGAGCCTCTCTGGCAGAATACTCGGCGGGATCCACTGGCGAGCCGCTCTGGCAGAATACTCGGCGGGATCCACTGGCGAGCGGCTCGGCGGGATACTCGGCGGGATCCACTGGCGAGCCGCTCTGGTGGGATACTCGGCGGGATCCACTGGCGAGCAGCTCCGGCGGGATACTGGGCGGGATCCACTGGCGAGCAGCTCTGGCGGGATACTCGGCGGGATCCACTGACGAGCTGCTCTGGCGGGATACTTGTTCGGGATCCACTGGGGGCGTGGTGTAGAAGCATCGCAAACGTGGATTCCAACATAAAATCTAACAACCCCTTCCTGTCGGGTGGGGAACAAGACGTGCTGCCCTCCGCGCTTTTTTAACGTGCGAATCAAAATCCAAACCTGGTAAAGGAATCTGCTCGTGGCGAACAATCATGACGGCAAATGGTTGGGATTGTCCCTAACTCACCTTCCCTCAATTGGGTGGTTTGGATTGGTAGTTTTGTGGTTACGGGGTGGTGTCCCATTTACCCACAATATTTTGGGGTTCAAAACCAGTAGTAGGGCAGATTAAACCAGCTCACCATGGTGTAGGTCCTGTACGTGCCCCCCAATTTCAGGTTTTAGAACTATTGTTGAACTTACATATGGGGATGCAGAACAGTGCCCTTGAATAGCGGCACAGTAGTCATAGTATGTCTGACTTGCAACATGCCCAAAAAGGCACAAAAAACACTGAATCGTCAGCCAAGGAAAAACGGACCCCAGCAACCACCAAGTACTGCCCAAATCGAAAGGTGGTGGAACTGTCTTCATCTAAACACAATGGAGAACCTCTCAAAATGCTCACCTTCAACTGTCTCCTGGCAATCTCTTGGGAATAGTTTCACATTTTTCGGGCCCCTTGAAAGTGGTCCGACAAGTGCAATCAGATCGAAAAGCTTGGCTTTGACCAGCCCCATAGTTCATGTAGAACTCAGCCCCCTTCTGACATGCTGGATTCCCATGACCCTCGGCCACAAGCGGCCACCAAACACCAAGATTGCCGCACCCCTGCTGAGTCCAGGGCAAATTGCGATGTTCACAAAGCGATCATTGGAATGCCCAAATCTGGGAGTACATCCAAGAGTTGGGGGTCCATGTTGAGGAAAAGCCCAAGGCAACATATGGGCGTTGATCAAAAGGTCCTTTACACAGGATGATCATTGGAGAAACCACTAAACATATGATACTTCAACCACAAAGGAAAAGTTACCCATGGTTATTTGCGCAATGTAGATCAACCCCCATATAATATAAGAAGTCCTAACCCGGAAATCAGTTGAAACCCGAAAGGCACTGGAGTTGCCCGTTGCACGTTGCAACTTGCCCAGCTCAGTCAACCACTAACCTGATCTAAGGAGCCAGCAAATGCACACGTGATTCTGATATAAGCATGACCTAAATACGGGCTCAAAGGACCCTCCCACCGAGCAATTTTCAATGAGGCATAGAATCTGAACTGTCCAGGTCCATTGGCACCTTGGGTATGGCTCAAAATGAAAGAGCTAGGGCAAACCACAGGTTTTAGCCTGGGTGTCTTCTTTTTGGGTGGGCGGGAACAACCTTTTGGTTAATTTTTAAGGGACACCGCCACGAGCCACCCATTTACCCTTGGGTGCCATTTTGGGTCCAGCCCACTGACATGGAGCCGCCAGGAGTTCTCTCTTAAAAGAAAATGGCCTTCCACATTCCAGGACCCCGAAACCTGAGGTTCCATGTTTGTGGATGGTAGAGAGCACCGTTTCTTGAGCAGCTATATAAACACCAAGCCCGAAAAGTCGAAGGACCCGAGGTGTCCTGCTCTAGGCGGCGGTTGCCGCTGCGGTGCTGCTCCACCTGTGCAGTTCGACGATTTCCCGACGTCGGGCGTCGGGCGTCGGGCGAGCGCGTTTTTTCCAGCGACATCGCCACGTTTGGCTTGTTGATCTTACAGGCAAAACAAATTCCCCAAGAAAAAGGGGGAGGAAGGCGCTGGCAACTAGGCAAGGTTGATTTACCAAAGCCCTCAAACGGAAAGAGCCGACTCCGCTGAGCAAGAGGTTCAACTTGGGCCATGCCACCCAGTGGGTGAAGGTATTTTTTACCCGACCACCATGCCGGGTTCTGCGGGGGGGGAGGAAAAACACCCCTCGGCTATGCGTGCCAGCGTGCGTGCGTGTGCCCTAGGAAAGCCAAATGAATGAAACAGGCAAGGCCATGTATGCCATGGGTTCAAGGAAAATCATGGGGCTGTGTCTTAACATAGGGGGAACCCCTAAAATTGGCGGGTGTCCTGTTGGTGTTCCTTTCAACCACCCTCACAAAGGCTACCCACGCATATATACAGATATATATATATATATATATATATATATACATATATATATATATATATATATCTTGGCTGTCCGTTTTCTGATCCCCTGCTAAAAGTTCAACTTGTGGCTTAAATGGAAACCCAACCACCTCTCACCAACTAAAAACACATCAAAACACCTTTCCAGAAGCAAACAATTTGCTGGGAACCACCAAGATATAAACCCCCAAAGCCCCCTCCACCCCTCTACCCCCAGCCCTCTCCCCAACTGTTCCACCCCTCCACCCCTCCCCTTCCATGACCCCCCCCCCATCACCCAGCTCAACCTCCCCCACCCCCCCTACCCCCCCCAAAGCCCCAAGGAGGAAAACCCCCCCCAACCCCCCCAAACCCCCAACCCCGCCAAACCCCACCGCCCACCGCCCAGCGCGGCCTCGGAGGCCATCTGCGCGGCCTGGGCCTCGAGGTCCTCGATCTTGGAGCGCAGCTCCGTGCCGCGCGCCTCCAGGATCTGCTGCTGCTCCTCTCCCCGGCAGCGATGAGAAACCAACCCAGGGAAGGGGGGGGAAGGGGGGGGCGTAGATCAAGCCAACCAGGGAGGGGGGGGGGAGATTTGTTTTTTGCGGGGGGGAGGGGGGGGGGGAAGGAAAAGGGGGGGGGACAGGGGGTAGATCAAGCCATGGGGGGAGGGTAGATCAGGCCATGGGGGGGGGGGGGGAGGCGAGGCCGTTCTTGTTTTTTGTTTCTTCCTTTTTCTGAGGGAGGGAGGAAAGGGGGCAAACAAGGTGGGGGGGTAGATCCTCTCCGTTGGAGTGAGAAACCAACCCTTCGAAGGGGAGGGTAACCGGGTAGATCAAGTTTGGGGAGGGGTTGGATGGGGGGAGGCGGAGGGAATATCCATTTGGTCAACCGAGGGGGTAGACCAAGGGGTAGACCAACCAACCGAGGACGGGGTAGACCAACCAGGCGGGGGGGGGGGGATTCTTGCTTTTTTTGGGGAGCGGGGGAAGGGGGTAGATCCCCGTCGATGAGAATGGGGGTGTCTTTCTTTGGAGTTAGGTACCCCTTGTCTGCGGTGTTTGAGGAGAATCAAAAGGACAACTGCCATTTTGGTCCCCTAAAAAGAGACACACCCCCTGGGTGCTTTCTAAGTCTCCGGAGACGGGACACCAACTGCCAGAGATCCAAATCCAATTTTCGGAAAACCACTCACTTTGCGAGCCTCTTTCCTTTTTCCATGGCATCCACCATCTGAAAACCAAAAAAAAACATATCCCTCGCCTCCGCAGCTCACTGCTTTCCGCGAACCGAGCGAAACGGCTCGAAGCTCCTCCGGGGATTGGCCGATGAGCTCCTCGTCCGCCTCCCGCCTCGTTTCCAGCGAAAGAAGACTCCGGGCGAACATGCCATCACTTCCGATCGAGTGGATCGGATGAAAAAGCAAACTGTTTGTTTCCCATTTTTTTTTCTTTCCATGTTTACCCTCTTTCCCGCGAACAATCATGGAGTCCAGCTTTTGACCCTTTTTTTCTCCCACGTTGCCATGGCACCTGACAAGGGATCCCAAGTGATATAACTGATCTTCTTCCCTCAGGTGCAAACTGTTGGTGGCAAGGGCAACTGGAGCTCATGGAGCTCATGGAGCACCCCCTTTCTTTTGAAGACAGCCAGTAGAGTCCGGCTGGAGCAGAGAGTTTCCCCCCCCCTTCCGTCAACCAGAGGACTTGTAATCTCGACATGGGCAAGCTATCTCTATGGCTACGTCAGGGTTCGGGACATGGGCGATGCTCTCAATTGCAACAGGGGGATGGAAGCCGCATGTTCCACCAGCGACGTTTTTTGTCGGACAAGAGGATGGACGAAATCCGCTTGCATCGCTTTGAAAACATGGGAAACGAGTGGTTGTTTTATTTGCAAGGGAAATCAACATGGGAAACGAGTGATTGTTTTATTTGCAAGGGAACTCATCATTCCAGTCCTGGGTCTCAATGTGTGGACCACCTAGGCTTGCCCAGACGGCTGTCGTCATCCAAACAGTTGCAGGGTGACCGTCAAACCCTCCTTGAATCCCAAAAGGTGATGTGAAACACCACCACCAAAAGAGGGAATATATACTGGGTCCTCCAGTAGAGAAGTTTTAGTAGGGGAACCCTCCCCCAAAAAAGGGTGAGAAAGGGCACCTAGCTGGGGGACCTAGTATAGGGAATCTCAAAAGAGGTGCGCAACAGAGCGAGCCAAGCCGCTTCTGCCGCGCCCGCTGCACCTGTGCCTCTACCCGCCGGGCCTTCGCCGTAGATGCCTCTCGGCGGTTGGCGGAGGCTGGGACGGGGGGGTTATGAACGACTCACCGGTGAGTCACAATCAAACCTTGGAAAGCGGTCTACAAAAACTCTCTGAACTTCAAACCACAACTAACATAATGGCCGTTCATATAACCAACATTATTTAACCTAAGGATTGTCATCATCCAAGTTGGGTCAACCATTCTTTTCATGGGGCTTGAACCTTAGGGAATTCATAACATCAAGAGGGCGGATTTTCGCACGTATGTCTGAAGTTGGGGCTCGTTTTACAAACCTTCACTCACCGGCTCACGTGTTTTTGGGAAACATATGCCGGGGTTTGGCGGTGTTGGACCCAAATAGGTTCCACTGGTAACATGCACTGAGTGCTTCCCGAGTTGCGCATCGGAAACAAACAGCTTGCGTTTCCGGAAAACAAAACTGACTTGACCAGTCCGTATTCCAAATTACTGAGCCACAATGAACTGACTTTTCCGAGAGGACATGGGAAATCTGGTGAGCCGCCCATCCAAAGTGCCAAGAATCACCTCTCTGATTCTGTTCAATATGTTGTGTCTCTCAGAATGGTGGACCCCTTCTTGGGTGGCTTTAAAAGGGACACCCAAAGGAAACCACCCAGTTCGAGGTGCCTTTCAAATGCCCACCTTTGGTCTACGCAAGAATAGACCAAGTAAAAACTAAGGTCCCTTAAAATAATTTGCAAGACCCAATGTGGATGATGACAATAGGTAAAGAATGGTGATTGTATCAACCCAACCAGGCTTTTCAGGGTGGAAACTGAACCTCAAGGAAATGCAATCCGCTTTTCTGTTGGTTTCCCTTTCAAACCACAAAACAAATGAGATTCCAAAAAAAAAACACGATACCCAGGTCGAGCTTACCACTCGATGCTTCACTTGGCGGTGGCTCAAAAATATGGTACCGAAATGGCACCTTGGTAAATGGAGCCAAAGGCGAACACCTGCGTAACCGTAGCTCTTTGATTTTGAGCCATACCCATATATTTCCGCAGGTAGAACACCCCAAAATAGGTTCCCCCCTGAGAACGGACTCACCAAAAGAACGTTTGATCGAAGACCCAACGAATCAACGAGCTCCGCCTGCACCGCCTTCTTCACCTCCTGCCGCTTCTGCTTCAAGGACTTCAGCTCCTGAGTCCCAGTTCCTAGCTGAACGCCTGCGGGTCACGTGGGTTTCCCAACCACGAAACCAACGAACAAAAGAGGGAACCTACAGTTCTAGGGGTTGATTTTTGTTTCCATTCTTTTCGACCATCGTTCTTTCCAAAAACCAGATCCGTTTTCCCGACATTTCCGGAGGTTTTCTAGAAAGATTCGGATCCCTGGAAGGAATGGGGAAGGTACCCCTAGAACAGTGCCCTCCTAAACCACCAAACCCTCAAGTTGAATTGATGGTTTTGAAAGGAACCACTGAACCAACCTTCCATTTGCTTTTCCGCGCCCTGGGCACACATGTGAACATATTTCCAGTAGTGAAATCGATTCCTTAAAACCAAGAGGGGGAAATATGTTTAGACAAAAAACAACACATGCTTAAGCAAATGGAAGCCCAGAAGGCGACACAATGGGGTGATTGTCCGATTCGGCTTGATAAGGGCCCCTCCCACAGCCTCCATGATTTCCTGTTCAACTCGAAGGGTGGTGGAAAACTAAATGGGTAAGAATTCTCATTGGCGACCCTTGTATCATTACATAGCGACACACACACACACAAACACAGATTGGCCATTTGATGCAGCCTGCGATGAACATGGCAAGCCCGATCCTTCACGTGGAACCCGACAAAAAACGCCATCTGGAAACGGAAACTACTTTTGGGTTTCCTGTTCGCAAGGGAGTACCCACAAAGGTGGCTACGGAAAATATATTCCAAGATGGTGGACGAAGACAGACTGGCGAGTTTGCGTCACCATCCGGGTGAACTATGATGGGCGAGGTGGCAAATCAAATCCCCTTGCCAGGTCGCTACTATTTGCGCAGAATTGTGTAGAGTGACACTGCGAACCAGTCCCTCCTCCCTTAAGGGGATGATACATTTTGCCAACTTGAGATCATCCAACAAAAAGACAACCCTGCATGTAAGTATATGATTACATGCCCCTCAAAATCAAACAAATAATACGAATGCGTAGGCATTTTCCGTGGCCATCCTTCTGGTGGACATCATTTGGGGGTTTGCGTCCACCGACCATGTTTGAAGGTGTTCCCCATTGACATTCGCGTCCAAATGAACCCAGTCTCAAAAGGACAACCTGCTACCCGTGGTTTACATTCGACCCTAGACCTGGGGTTTAATTCATTTCTACCATCATCATATTGTAATGAGGGTAAAGATGTGGCATCCATTTTATTTAGGGCTCCTTTGGTGGACATCATTTGGGCGGTTTCATTCATTTATTATATATACATATATATATATATATGTCCAACCACTGTTTAGGTGGTTCATAATTAGCCATCTTAGAAACGGGCTCCCCCCCAGATTCCCACATGTGTCGGTTTTGCTCTTTCCCTTTGAACCAACCAACCCTGGCTACCTTCGGGATTCGGCCGCCCGACCTGGCCCCACGGCCAACGTCTCACGGCTCAAATTGGCCGCGGTCCTCTTGGCCCTGCTGCAGCTGCGCCTGCATGGCCTCCAGTTGGCTGCCCAGCAGCTCCATGATGCCCTCCTAATCCATCGAGCCCCCGGTGCGAGGGAATCCGAAGGCCGCGGGGAGCCGAAGGTTGCAGGCCATGTTCGGGGGGGCCTTTCTGGGGAAAGCTTTGGAAGGGGTGTCTAGGTCCAGTAGAGAGATGTTCGAATAAGGGTACCAACTTTTTGCGGTGGTCTATTTTAGTAGGGGAACCCTCCCCCCAAAAAAGGGTGAGAAAGGGCACCTAGCTGGGGGACCTAGGTGTGCTGCACAAGTTGGGAGAAATGGACACCCAACCACTAAACCAAGGGTCGATAGGCCGAGACATCGGCAACGCCGGGGTGGTTTGGGGCAGCTTTCAGGTTCCGGAGATTCGGTTCCAGGGCTGCGGAGGATACCACCTGGGCTTGTTGAAAGACTCTCCTTTTGGCTTTCCTTTAGGGGGACCAGAATATGGTTGAGACCATTTTGCCCCATGGAACCAGTCCTTCCTCCCCTCCCCTATTCTGTGCCCCAAGCTTCCTACCTGGCCTCAGCGTCTTCTTTTCTCCACCCCACCAACAAAACAAAAAAGCGACACCTCCGCGCGTTTCCTTACACCACAACCGAACCAAACAAAACGACACGACACCTCCCCGAGCAGCAACCAACCCATAAACAAGAAACAAGCCCATAAACCATGAACCAGACACCTGCCTTCCCCCCCCTTTTCGGCGGCGACGAAAGCTCGGCGTCTCCTCCGAGAGGTTGGAGACATCCGTGAGCCCGGCGGCCTGGCGCTCCAGCTCCATGAGCTCCTGGTCGAAAGCGAAAAGAAATTCGGGGGAACCCGCCAGATCCCGCCTGGAGGGGAGGGAAGGGGAGGAGGGGGGAAGAGGGGGGAGGGGGAGCGGCTCATGTTTGGCAATGATGTTGCCCCTTTCTGAACCCAGAAGCCCCGTGGCCTTGTTTGGTTGATTAATGTTAAAATGGAGATCCATCCTTCCCAAACAAAGGAGCGGGACAAGGGGTGTTTTAGAAGGAGGAACATATAGAAGGAACATATCCAATTGTCCAACCGGGGTAGTGGTTTGGGTAGTGGACCCTCTTCGAACATGCGAGCGTGCCGACCAAAAGTCAGATCTGATTCGGAGCCCGCAAGCGCAAGGGAAGACATGCGCAGGACATGGATGGCCCTTACAAGAATGGTCCTGAAAGGTGCCAAATAGTCAGTAGAGATAGGTGTCCTAAAGTGGCACAAAAATCGATGGGTTCCCTAGCAACCGGAAAGGGAAATCTCAGGGTGGCCTTCTAAATAAACATGGAAGTGGCTCGGAAACCCTGTCTTTAAAGGCAAGTTTGAATACCCTAGCTCCTCTGCTCCCTTCCAATCACCAGCTGAGCCTATGGCCAAGACAGTCAACAGAAACATGGGCCACCCAGAACCCGTGAAAGGGAGCCTCAAGTGGCGACCGTTTCAACCGTTTCAATGGACAACACTAGTAACTTGATCAGCTTTTAAAGAGGAAATCCAGTGATCCCTGTGTGAAATCAACCCACAAAAACATGGGCGCCCACGCTTTTCTCCAACTAGGCTTCTGATTGGGAGAGAAATCATACATTGTGGCTTTATCTTGGCGTTTCCCAGAACCGGTTTCTTAGACTTTGAATGGGAAGGGAACCTTTCAAGCCAGCTTGTTAAACTAGTTTTTTGGGGGGAAAACGGCCTCATCCATGCTGGTTGACCAGCAAAAACTAGATTTACACCAAACCCCTTCCCCCCAACGACTCGTAGCGACCACAGGTGCCACTCGCCGCCAGCTTGCCCGCTTGCCCGGCAAGCTCCGTCCTCGTCACCCTCCGCCTCCGCCTCGGACTCCTTCTGCTGGCACTCCGTGGAGATGCGCCGCAGCGCCGCCTAGCGGGGCAGCTGGGGACCGCTGCAACAGGCCCATTGAAACCGGGCGAACCGCCCCGGAAGACGAGGAGACCGTGGGGAAATGCTTGGGGGATCCTGGCGGCCCCAAAAAAAGCGACGACCGTGGATGGTTGGGCGTGGCTCGGGAAATGTTGGACAGGGGCAAACCCCGGGTCTGAGTGTCTTTGTTTTCATTTTCATGCGTCAGGGTGCCATTCTGGGTACCATGTTTGAGCCACAGCCATTGGTGTCCAGGCGCCATGCAACAAACACCCAAGATCATCTGAGTCACGACCGGTTCCGCCAAATCAGATGTAGATGTGATTTTCATTTACGGCAAAAGTGTATCCTTTTCGCAAGCCGTTCCGTTCCAGGGTGATGTCAACGTGGCTGCAACTTCAGTGTGGAACCCACTACACGTGGCGAACGGTGTGCGTGTGTCTGTGTGTGTGGAAAATAGCCGTGTAGCCACCCTCGTCTTATTGCTGTTGATTAATGTACTCCTACAATGCTAAGAACGGGCAACACGTACAACCAAAGCCAACATCGGGATGACTGTTCTTTGATCAACATTCATAAGACTTATTTGTATACGACTTATTTGGTGAACATGGCTTGCCCAGTTCCGTGACGCTGTTTAGTGAGATCTTCCAATCCAACTGTAACTAGATAATCATGTTATCAATATTTCATTGGCCAGACAAGAAGGAGCAACCTAAAATACCGACATTTCACAACCGCAGCTTTCTTGGGAGTTCCCATACTTGGCGGTTCAAAATGGTTCATGGCCAATCCGAACCACAAACCCTATTGGAAACCACTAAGGGGACCCCTTAGTCAAGGGTTGGGATTGGGATTGGGACCTTGGAATTAAGTACTGTACATCCCGGACAACCATGGTTTTCGGAAGGTTTAGCCTTCATCCAGCAATTGAAATGAGAGTCTTGGAAGGCTACGTTCCACTTTGATTGGTGGAGAGAGGGCCCTCTGCTTGCCGCTTTTGTATTTGTGACTTCCGATACTCCCCACAGCACGCAAGGGGTGCAGCAACTTCCAAGGCGGCTTAAGTTGCTGTGGCTTGCATCACCAAAAGTAGCGATTCGCGGTTGCTACTCCTGACCTCTACACTAATGAAGCCACCTCAGCTTTTGGCCAAGCAGAAGCACATGTGATATTTAGTAAACCTTGAATCGTCAACGCTTGGAGCCTGGCCCATGTTTGGACTTTTTATGTATAAAACAAATCTTCCAGACTGGGTACGGGTTTGACTGGCACGCCAAACAATTCCATCAGGATTCTCCAACCACCAAAGCAAACGGACCCCAAATGGGTGTCTCTTCTTCAGGGTACCTTTCTTTTTAAAGGGAACCCAACAGGAAACCCACAATCCTTGGAACCATCATTTTCTTGACCCCTCCTTTTTCTTGACCCCCCTTCCCTTTTTGTTGGTAAAAAAAAAAGGCGAGCCCACCATCCTTTGGGGGCTCCGATTCCACGACGAAACTGGGCCCCGCCTTCACTTCCTGGAGCTGGCGCTCAGCGCTTTGCAGCTGCTCCTAATGCGGCGGCGTCGACATAAGAGGTTTCGTTCCCTCGAAGAAATCAGCCAACCAACCCAACCCAACTAAGTGCTCCAGTAGAGAGATGTTAGCATAAGGGTACCAACTTGTTTCTTTTTGGTCTATTTTAGTAGGACCCTCCCCCGAAAAAGGGGAGGGAAGGGCACTACTGGGGGACCTAGCCAACCCAACCAAACAAAATCGAAAAACCAAAACATGGGGGGGGGGGGGGGGGGGCAAAACGAGCGTGGTTTTGGTGGCTGTTGTTTGGGCGGGGGGGAAGGTTCCTAGTTTTCCTAGCGGAAAACACAATAAACAAACACAGCATGGGAGAGTGGGTGGGGTTGTTGGCGGGCGGTGTTGCTCGGAAGGTGAGGTTGGGGAAGGTTTCCTTTGCGGATTGCTGCAACGACAACCCCAAATATCAACAAGCCCTTTTAAAGTGTCTGCTTCGTCGAAATTTCAGGCAACCTCTTCAAACCTACGTGCCCGCAAAGTTGGTGTGGGGCTTGCAGGGAAGCCGGAAGTGAACCACTTCATCGTTGGGTCATACTGCCGTTCGCGCCTTCCCGAATCGGCTATGTTTGGTATGAACCCGCACAGCAAAGGCCACAAATCAAGACCAACAAAAACCCAGAAAAAACATTTCGCAAAAGAACTTGGAAAAGCCCTGGTAGAGGGTACTCAGTTGGAGGTGTCGGTTTTGAGGAATCGGGCGCCCCAAAATGGCTGCTTTCCTTGTTGTTTCCCTTAAACAACCATAAACCAAAATGGTTTTTGTTTACCCCTACATTGTTCCAAGCACCAACATGACTCTTCCGTCCGAGTCGCGGAACTCAGTGCTTCCATTTGCTTGAGTCCCCTGAAAAACAGAAAAACAGAAACACATTTCCAGTGATAGATTCCCCTGAAACAAATCAGGGGAAAATGAAAAAACAACATATTCATTTCAGCAAATGGAAGTCAGGGACTGAGCCAGCCACCCACCCAAGCTCCAATGGTTGCCTTGAAAGGAACCCCAAAACCGGTTCACTCCCAACACCTGGACTCGTTGTCATTCCCCACCTATCGCACCGATCGCAAGTAAAGCCACCCACTCGCCCAACCACCCAAGCTTTTGGTTTCCCATATCAAACCCCCCTTCCCCGAAATAGGCACCCTTAAAAAGGGAACCACACCCAACTTCTGCAAAAACAGCGGGAAATACTTGCCGGTGCTCAGAGCCACCCTCCCACCCACCCACCCAGCCACCTGCCTACCCAACCTCCACCCCCCCACCCACCCACCCGCCCGCCCGCCCGCCCGCCCATCCACCCAAGCTCCACCCAACCGCTCGGCTTCGGCTGGTCTCCTCCTGCGCCAGTCGCGCCCGGGACTCCTCCGCGAGCTGCGCCTCCAGCGCAAACAGCCGGTCCTCGCGCCCGCCGTCGTGGCCGCCGGCGGCGGACGCCGTCGATTTCGCGAGCCCAAACTGAAAGCGACCAGGCTTGCCAACCTGTCTAATGTCTGAGACATAGAGAATGGGAGTTAGTTGTGTGGCGAGTCCAGAAATTATTGTATGCTGTAAAATCCTTTGACCATCACACACACGCACATAAACATATGTATGTATATCTCTCTATATATATATATATGCTATAATTCTATCATCAATTGACTACAAATACGACCCCCAAAAAAACGGAGTCCATTAGGTACACCCAAGTGTCCATGGCCCTCGCCCAATCCTCCCATCAGCGGACCCCTCGCTCCTCTTGGCTCTCACCACCCTTGGCGCCCTGCCGGCTCTCCACCACCGCCTCGCGAATCCCGAAGCAGAGTCGGACACTGGCTGGTGTCCCTTCAACCCTACCACTGAGTCGGGGGCTTTTCTAAAGGTAAACTAATAATTCTAGGGGTGTTTGGCGGGTGTAGGAGCCACACGGAGGACATGGGAAACATTCGTTGGCTAGGTTCCCCAGTAGAGAGGTTTGAATAAGGGTACCAACTTTTTTCTGCAGTCTAGTTTAGTAGGGCAACCCTCCCCCAAAAGAGGGGTTAAAAAGGGCACTACTGGACCTAATCATTCTACCACTGCGTGGGGGGCGACTTTGACAAAGCTAAACAAATACTGGGGCCGTTCCTTCCAGCGATTCCAGCGAGCAAAATCCCCCAAAAAAAAACACCCCCTAGCCAAAATCAACCAGTTGATCCTTGGGCACATGAGTATCCAATGCTTCTTATCAGCCCAGCGGCCCTGAGAACAAAAAGGCTCCCCTTCTGCTTCCATTTGCGGATACATCCTCTGGGAAAATGAAAAACAACATGTCCAGTGATAGATTCCCTGTCAACCAACGCGCAAATAAAACATAGTCAGCGCACATGGAAGCAAGGAGAACTGCTTTCTCAGTGTTCCCTCTGATTTTTGTTTCAAAGATGGCCCATGTGTAGTCAACCTCAATCATGTTAAAGGAGATCTCCAGTGAACCAAATCACCCAAAGGCCAGATACTGCCGGCTGAATGTGCAAATCATAATATGAACCCATGTCCAACGTGGCTCTTATCCCGTCATGTGTTGCATGGATAATCATAGTTAGTTGGCAGATTGACCAGTGGTTCATGTTCTGGACGTATACGTTTAATCTCTGAAGAAGGATGTGTGTGTGTGTGCTTTGTACGGCAGCAGTGTGACTCTGGGAGTGTTCAATGATGCCAAACTCGCTTGCTAAGTGGATGGCCCAAAAGAAGTCCAAACTTTGTGTCTACCACTAGAATACTAAAATGGTCTTCCCCAAAAAGAACAAAATGGAACTCAGAAGGTGAGCAAACAGCCATCCCAGCTAAATTTAAGATCCGAGATGCACGCACGCACACACGGACTTGCGGTCCGACAGATGCTTGCCATACTCGCACGACAGCCCATGGGGGCTTCAAGCACCATCAGCCTTGGTTTTCGCCAAACAGGTCCGTGGAGTGGCGTGACCTTACCGAGGGCTTGGGCCCAGAATGAAACAATGTTGCGGCCATACATGCTTTTTTGTTGGGGGGGGGTTGGGGTTGGGTTGGGGGGGTAAAGAAGCCTTCAATAAAGCTGTGTCGAATTTCGGCTTTGCAATACGACCCCAGAAGTCTGCTTGCTCAATCACATGCATCGAAACACTACTCAATTGCCTTTGGCAGGAAGGACAACTTGCGTCAACCGGCCAAACTGAACAAATCGTGATTTGCCTGGTTTTTTCTGCGCTTAGATGCCTTGTCTGTCTGCCGATAGCCAGCTCAACGTCTGGCTCAATTAATAATTACCGCCCTTCCTTCTGGTTTGCTCAAATTGAGCCTGAAGGCAAAGGAAACTCGGCAAGCACTCGCAACGCCAAACCGATTGAAATGAAAAATGATGAATCAAGAAACGGCAAGAAGCTACAAAAGGCGCTAAGTCTGGCAGTGATCAGACTCAAAATGTCTGTTCTGTGCATCTTGGCTGTCAAAATATGTCGCTCGCTCGACCGCTCCTAACCGACTTGCCACTTGCTGGCCTTGGCTGCGCGGATGCACTTATCCATGCCATCCAGTAGCCTGCCAGCCAGCGAGGGAGAAACACCTTGAGCTGGGTGTTTCTCACAATTGGTTTTACACACTATCCAACAAGGAATTGCTATTTTGAGACAGACCCAGCTTGTTGTTTGATCCGTTGGAATATTTGCTTCCAGTTAGTGGGTCCCGCAAACATCAAAGAACAAGGACTTCGAGGGTACTGCTCAGAAATGGACGCCGGAACAACCGTTCAAGGCTGCGGCATTTCCATATATCTTTCCAATATTCGGTACCCCTCCAAGAAAAAACCCGGCGCCCAGGGCCGGGTTTTTTCGCATTCTTCCAGGTGCCAACTCCTTGCCAAAGGGCCCAACTCTGGGGTCTCTGGGGTTTGGTTTCGTTTTTCGGGGTCGTTGTTTGGTTGCCGTTTTGGAGGGAAGCCAAGCGGAAAACGGCCTTGCCGTTTTGGAGGGGTCCCAAACGAAAAAATGAGGTCAGGGGTGCCTCAAAGAGGGGACCCCCCAATGAAAAACGAATAGTCGCTATTGGCCCTTGTTAGGACTGGGGGGGGGCATTTTTTGGGGGGCCCGTGACAACTATCCGAAGCACAAACACACCATGTTCAGCCATATTTGGGCCAAGGGCAGCTGGTAATGCGGGCGCCGCGCATCTGTCGCGCGAGCGCTTACTCCGGTCGATTCGCTACAACTCAGGGTCTCAAAATGACTCCCCCCCAACCGCCCGCTGCTTTGGATGGCCTGGGCAGTTGGTCCGCCTTGGGTGCCTGCGTCGCCTCCGGCGGCGCAGGAGGCTGCATGCGGGCGCCGCAGAGCGCCAGCAGCTGCAGCAACCGCAGCGTCTTCGGCACCTAAACGCCAGGCACCGCGGGAAGTTGGCCGAAAAACATCCAAACGTTTTGCTTGCCCCTAAACTGGTCTTCCCAAAAAGTTTGAAGGCCAAATCTCATAAAATGTGGTTTTATCAAAATTTAGGAACTTCTGTACTGGAACTAATTCGGCTGTGCTTCTCTGATGAACATGTTGGCACGCGAAAATAAACCTTGAAAAACTGAGCATCGCGTGCATTGGGTGAATTCGACTCCTCGGCATGTGCGCAAACCACCTCTGTCGTGACGCAGGCTCCGAACGGTCTCGGAGCGGCCTCGGAGATGGGCCCGTTGGCACGGCCGTGCTCATGTCAACCCTTTACGGACTTTCATGGGGTCGACCCTCAAAAACTTCCTTCCTTCAACTGGGTCAACCATCAGATGGTGAACTCTCTGCGGAGTGGACACTTTCAATCTTGTGATGCGCGCAGGGCCTCTCTGTTTGGCTCAAGCTGCCAAGCGCCAGCCAGAGGACCGAGTGAGCTAGCTCGTGCCACAGCTTGCTGAATCTTGCGTGATTCTTCGCGACCTTCACGCACGCTTGGTTCGAGACTTTTTGCAACTGACATGTGCCCAGCCGGAAGATGAGATTCTTCTGCCTCGAGCTAGGACGTTGCAGAGCCCCCCATCCTCCACCATGTCGCGCAAGCCATGCTCCAGCTGCCTCAAACCCCTCTGAAGCAAGTCCCTGAGGCCAGGCCCACACCCAGCCGAAGCCGGGCAAACACACGCAATCCCGTGGAATCCACCCTGGAAACCGGTCAAGTTCCCCCTACAAACTGATCAAATTCGGCCAGTCCACGGCTCTCGTTTTATCTACCTGGATCTCCTGGAAGTTAAGAATTCCTACTCCAAAATTGAAAAAGTACTTTTTGGCCTGAGGACACGGGTATTTCCACTTTCGAACGGGTATTTCTACTCTTGAACGGATATTTTCACTACCATCGAAGTGTTCATAAATCAGCACTGCACATAAATGATCAAAGGCTTATTGCGTAATGTTGGCGTATTTTTTACGTACCTCCGAACGGGTCCGAACGGGTCCGAACGGGTTCGAACGGGTTCGAACGGGTTTCGAACGGGTTTCGAACGGGTTCCGAACGGGTCCGAACGGATGCCTGAGCAGTCGGAACTACCCGAACGGGCATTTTAACACGAAGTGAAAATTATCACTCCAGCATGGAAGAAAGTACTTTGTTCTTTTTGGAGTGGGAATTATTAACTTTCAAGAGATGCAGGTAGCCTTCAAGCCATGCGGAAACGTGCGAACATGCACCCAACCTCTATCTTGAAAACCAGACTTCGGTGCCGACTCACTCACTCGGACAACAACAACACTTCAAGGCAAACCAACACACAGTACCTCAAAGCCAGCCAGCAGCACTGTGGCCGAGGCGGGCAACGTGAAGCGTTTACATTAAACAAGCCACTTCTGGGTTGGTGCACTCAGGCTAAATAAGTGCACCCGGTACTCATATGCAGGTGTGGAAAAGTCTCCAACCACACCTTGCCCGGCTGCGGCGGCTTTACCTGATCTGGCTTCCCTTGGATGATTCTGTCGGTTCCATCCAATTTCGTCACAATGCTTTGCGATGTTGGCAATATTTCCATTAAGAACTGAATCCAAGCAAAGAGCCGGGAAGCTCACCATAACATTGGCAGAAAATCGCGAATCTCCCCAGCATCTCCAGTGGGAGACCCCTCTCGCCGACAGGGATGCTGTCAGTTGCTTGGGCTTCGTTGTTCAACGCCGAAAGCCATGTCTGAAGTCAGGCAACCTTTGGGTCTGTCTTTTTCAGGGAACCCCTTTGAACACAGTCATGTTAGGGGGGTCTAAAAATTAAAAAAGACGAGCCGGCCACTTCAAATGCCCCAACCGTGGATGCCGGCGGAATCCACAGCTGCATCCCAAAGAAACCCTGGAGAGGTGATATGGGTCAAGTGGAGGGAAGTACTGCGTGCCAGGAACGTGCCAACCAACGATTAGTCCCCTTCAGAGTCAGACCAAACCACTCCTCTCCTTCTTTTTGAGGGGAGTCTCCAAGTGCTGGCCGGCAATAGGTTTAAAAGCAACAGGACTCCAACCATCTTTGGGGGGGCCGTTTTGTTACCTGGATCTCTGCGCGGGTTGGACACTTTGCGGAGATACAGCCAGTGGTGGGGGGGTACATGCCAACCAAAAGTGTCCCCTTCAGCTTTGTTTTCCTGGATTCCCAGACCGATCCAAACCAAGCAAAGGTAACCAAGGCAAAAATCCGACTTCTTGCTCGGCCCAGCCAAACCACCAGTGAAACACATCCTCTTCGGCGGGGAACAGGGCATAACAGACCAAGCAACTAAGGGAACCAAGGCAAAATCCGATTTCTTGCTCGGTGAAACACATCCTCGGCGGGGAACAGGGCGCTAGCAAAATCCGCAGCTTCCATCTCCAATCGGTGGTTTGGTTTGGTGGTTTGGTGGTTAGGGGTGGTTTCCCGTTTACCTCTACCGGTTCAAGTCCCCAATCCACCGTTCCAAACCACCAACCAGAGGAAAGCTGGGCCAACCATCTTTGGGTGTCGATTCAATTCCAAACTATTTGGTCTGCAAATGGGGAACTGCAGCCCAAAATCGGTTCTCTTTTGGCTTCCCCACGAAAAACAGTCACACACACACACCCAAAAGGCTGACGTCAAAAACATAAAATAAAAATGAGCGATTGCCCTTGAAGGGTAGTTAGAGGGTACAGAAAGCCATGCCGTCCCCTTGGCTACTTCACTTTGAAGGGGATTCCCTAGCAACCGTGAACCCCGGATTTTCCACAGTCATGAGCCCTAAGCTTGGGTGTACGCCTTTGCTTGTGCTGAAAAAAGGAAACCAACACGAAAGCAACCCATTTATTGAGTTCCCTAAGCTGGTCCCCTGCTAAAAGTTTAACTTCTGGTGGAAACCCAACCACTATACCAACCAAACACATCTGAGAACCTGTCTGGAACCGGATGGCCGGTTGAACCAAGTCAAAAAGATGAGCCACTCATTTGGCTGTGGCTCAAAAAACCGGAATTCCAACATGGCTTGCCCTGGTAAGTGGACACATGGACCAAAACCTGCGGTTTGCCCCTCCGATCGTTTAATTTGGAGCCACACCCATTTTGAGGATCCAACACCCCCTCGGTTGTTCAGTGACCCTGGGAAAAAAAAGGGAACCCTTTTTGGGGCTTGGACCATTTTAGTGGGGCAGCCACCAAAAAAAAAGGGAAAACGGATTGGAGCCACTGAGCCACTGAGCCCCTCTCTCATTTCCAGCCCATGTTTTGGCGCCTCTTTGCCTTTCAGCACGTCCACCCCGTCGAAATCCAAGGCTTCCATGCTCAGCTCGCCTGCGGAAATGATTTTTTGCCCAGCTCGGTGCTAGCGTAACCAGGGCTTTGGGCTACCCAAACCAAGGAATTCAGGATTTGAGGACAAAACGGTTTGTAAGGAATGAAGGATCTGAGACTTAGTCTTGCTGGTGCTCAGCAGGGAATGAGGGAATGACCCTGTAACAATCCCTTGTGGTTTCCTTCAAGGGGACCCCTGGGTTCATTCCCACCTTCCCTACTGAGCACCAGCAAGTACTTCAGGATTTCAGTAATTGTTTAGAAGGAACATGTTAAGAAAGAGTGTGTGTGTGTGTGTGTGTGTGTGTGTGTGTGTGTGTGTGTGTGTGTGTGTGTGTGTGTGTGTGTGTGTGTGTGTGTGTGTGTGTGTGTGTGTGTGTGTGTGTGTGTGTGTGTGTGTGTGTGTGTGTGTGTGTGTGTGTGTGTGTGTGTGTGTGTGTGTGTGTGTGTGTGTGTGTGTGTGTGTGTGTGTGTGTGTGTGTGTGTGTGTGTGTGTGTGTGTGTGTGTGTGTGTGTGTGTGTGTGTGTGTGTGTGTGTGTGTGTGTGTGTGTGTGTGTGTGTGTGTGTGTGTGTGTGTGTGTGTGTGTGTGTGTGTATATGTATATAGATAAACGGGTTTAGACGCCTACAACCTTGGGGTTTTGCATTTGGTGCGAAATGGAATAGTGCGTCGATTGCTGACGCCTTGGGAGGGACGTGTTGGGAATCCACAAAAAGAACATTTTACGCCACCCAAATAGTGGGTACCTAGAGTCCATCCCCGGAAGTGGCTGGGCAGTGAGAAGAAAACCGAAGAAGTCGGGAACCTCCAAATAGGGTTTGCCTGAGGGCAAACGTTTGGGAGCAACACGCTGGGTGCTGAAGACCTGAAACGAACGGCCTACTTGTGCAACTGTTTCCATCCACCAGGGCTGCGAGTTGCTTTGTTTGAGCCCCCATATGGCTATGGTTGAACTCCTTATGTCCACATCATCCAAGGTCTTCGGTCGCCGAGGAATCGGGAACAACGGGCTCTAAACTTGCTGACACCGTTCATCTTCCCTCGTTTCTTGGTTTGGAGCCTGGCTGGGAGGCGTTTCCCATTTGCCCCTTACTCTCGGTGCTCTCGTGCCAAGCAAAGGCCGCCGAGCTCTAGGCTTTGCAAGGCGTCGGGAGAAGATCCAATGTCCAACTTCAACCAACAGGTTCCAAGGGCTCATCAAAAAGTTTCCCCCACACCGGCCGTAATCTTTATGGAAGATTGGGGCAATCCGACAGAATCGGAAGGTGCTGGAAGAAAACATCGGCAAAAAAAAGACACCAACACCAATTCGACGGAGTTCTTGGAAGATGCTGGAATGTGGAAACCCAGATGGTGGAAACTACAAAACTGGCTCGCTTCCTGAATGGATTGGCTAAAACAAATCCCCACAGTGGTTGCCATGCAAGTTCAATGTTTGTTTGCGGAGGGTATCCCCAACTTGCCCAGAGGACCTCAAACTAAAAGGTTAAACTGTTTGAAACCTTGACTCATTGACTAATTATGGAACAAAGTCGGGAAACCCATAGGCTAAAAGGCTCGATTCACTGAGCCCCTTAACTTCCGCCTGCTTCAGTTTGCTGGGGGAAAAAAAAACATCCATCAGTGATCGATTCCCGTAGAACCAACAGTCAAAGAACATGGAAGCCTTCAGAACTCACGCATGAAACTACCCATGTGAAACAAAATTGACAAAAACAACCACCATCATGTTGCTACCCATTTTTAAGTTGACACATTTTCGAGTGTCTACCGGAACCCTCGCTTGACCCCAGGGAAGGAGCCGCCCGCGCCTCGGATGGCCTCGGCGATCTGCTGAAACCGCGCCAGGCGCTCCTCCCGCGACTCCGGCCACTGCTCCTGTCGCGACTCGGATCAATCCGTGGAGAACCGGCACACAATGTGGTCAAAACAAACCCAACTTGCAAAGATAGGGGCTGACAAATGGGAGTCGGGACTCGGATTGAGCCGTGGAGAACCGTCAAAACAAACCCGACAGATAGGGGCTTGCAGGCGTTCAAAACCCACCGGGTTTTGTCAAAACAAACCTAACCCAAACTGTGTGCGGTGGCAAAAGACCCAAGGTGCTTTTTGGAGCCTACTAAGAATGAGGTTCCAACAACCCAAAAAAAAACGCATCAAACACAAAACAAACATGCCAGTGAAAAACTCGGGCCCGTTTGTGATCCCCTTGCCGAAACTCACCACATGAAGTTGGGCTTTCAACCACAACACGAAACGCAGCCAAGTAAGATGTGTTAACCTACCCGGTCACGGTTGCCAAACCAAGTGCTTTGTGGAACAGCTTGGGTTTTGCTACGCCTCAGGGAAGCTGCCACCACTGGCGGCAGTTCCAGCGATTTGTCCAATCAGGTAGTCTAGAAGCCTCTTGAAGCCTCCGTTGCCCTTGGGACCTTTTCACGCTGGTCATGGAAACCAAAAGCAAAATTCACCTTCCCTCTTGGTGGTTTGGAGCCTGGTGGGGAGCTCTCGGGTAGCTTCCCATTCACCATCTAAAAGGACCCATGGCTGACACACCTTCATCCACCTGTGAGGTGCTAGCAAAACCACCCTTTGCGAAGACGTCCCCTGGGGAAAAAGGGAACACGCTTCCAGTAGTAGTAGACTCCCCTTAAAAACCAACAAAAACGTGCTTTTCCAGTAGTGATAGACTCCCCTTAAAAACCAACAACACAAAACATGGGTGTTCCCAGTAATGATAGACTCCCTTAACACCAACGGGGGAGCATAAGACCTCTTCATTTCTGCTGGAAGTTTGGGATCTTCGATATAGCTAAAGGCCTGGGTCCCCGGAGGCGGAAACTTCGCTCAAAATTTTCCGGGCCGGCTCGTTGGGGTTGGCTCAAACCAAGGAAAACCGTGAAGCCGGTGATCCTTCTTTTTGTTTGGGCGGTCCAATTCTGGGCCTGTCTTTTTTGAGGGTATCATGTTTTTGTGGCTTTTGAGAAAAGCCAAAGGAAAACTGTTTTTGCCACTTTGGGGGTTCCGTTTGTCCAAAAAGACAACCCCAAATACCCGTCCCCTGAGACCTGGTGACCTTTCCCTTTGGGTAAGTTCTGACATTTATGGGCTACACTCCGGTGAACATTTAATGTCGACTTCGGATCAAACAGGGCCCTAAGGACACCCTCCGAGGGTCATTTCCTTAAGAAGGGCATCTGATTTGTAACCGGATTCTGAGCTTGACGCTTTTACTCAGATGCCAAAGGGCCGCAAAAAAAAACACATCCTTTCTTGGCGGACATTTACAGCGGACCCCTTCCCCCAAAACAACAGATAATCCTCACATGCCCCTGAAAACAAAAAGCGCACTCCTCCAGCTGCGCGGGGAAGCCCGTGACCGCCTTCACCGCCACCGCCACGTCCAGCAAAAACTTGGGCGGCGGCCTCGCGCCCCCGAGCCCCGCGTTTTCTCGGGCCCCCGATCCGAGTCGACCGAGTCCGAGTCGAGTCGCGAGTCGAACAAAGTTTGGGTCCCAGGGATTCCCCGTAAACCCCCCTTTCAGGGGTTCCCCTGTGACTGACCCCCCAAAATGGGGCGAAAGCCCCCTGGTCATTGCTCCATGACTCAAGAGAAACCAATGAGATAAACTAACATGGTATCCTCAAAAACACAGAAGACCATTTTCCTGTTAAACGGACGGAGTCCCGAACGTCCAGTTCCATGTATTATTGGTGGGAGGGTACCTGATAAAGGTCGGCAACCAAGAACTTGCCCAAAAGGAAAATGACTAGCTCCAAAATGGGTGTGGCACCCAAAAATTGGAATCCCCACAATGGCGCCGCAAAGAACAAGGAAAGACTAAAACCTGCGGTTTGCCCTAGCTCTTTCACTTTGAGCCACGCCCAAATCGGTTGTGTTATCTTTTCCTAGGCACCCCTTCAAAACCACCCAACAACTGGGATGCTCCACGCCCCAAAAACCAAAGGTTCGATCAATATTCTGTAGGTTTAATGGAAAGAACATTTGTTCCAAGGGATCTAAGGGGCTAAGGACATCAAGTTGTGTAGGCTTGATGGAAAAGCCATTTGTTTCCAAAAGGTCTCTAAAGGGCGATATGTCCCGTTTCTCGGCTTCTTTCAACAGCACCTGTTTTTGCCTACAGGTGAGTCTCGTCATAGGCGCGTGTCTAGAGACCAAAATATTGGGGAGCCCAGTCCGCAAGACCAGACAGGAGACCTTTTTTTTCAGGGTTGGCCACGTCCTTGACGGTTGCCCAGCATAAATTCGCGCATCTATGGTAGATGGTGCAATCGTGCTTCATCTGCTGCTGATTCATAACGACCCCTTTTCTCCCAGGCACCATGAAAGACATACGAGCTCCCTGAAATGTTCAGCCTAACACATGTGTGTGCTGTTTGAGGGTACCCTTTCAGGTTGGTTTGAAGGAAACTCGAAAGGAACACCGACATCCACATGTTTTTTTTTGCAGGTCCAAATCCCTATGTTGACACCTACTCTTTTTGGGGGGTTCCCTACAAAAGGAACTTTTGTGCCCCCCCCCGCCCCGGCCCAGTCCGCAACCTGTCCAAACAGTTTGGCCACGCAGAACCAAGGTTCTTATGGCAAAATGCTGAGAACACACCACCCTGTTGGCACGCAACATCTCGGGTGTCCATGTTTGGAGGTTTAAACACGATCTACATATTATACATGTATTGTTTACATTCATGTATATATATATATATGGGGGTTGTTCAAAATAAAAGTTCCTGGAAACGGCCCTTTCGCCGGCCTTTCGCGGTCCTATCGCGGCCCCATGTGTTCCTTTCGCGGTGACAAACCAGTCCTGAAAAACTTGTTTCCGAGCCCAAACGAGGGTTCTACCATGTATTCGTTATGTTTCAAGTCCTTTCGCGTTCCTTTCGCCGGCCTTTCGCGATGCAGTGTTTTCCTTTCGCGCTAGACCTTCAGAACCTCCCTTTACTTAATTTTAAGACTGGCAATTTAGAACGACTCCCATATGCCATGTTCATGACCCTGGCTCTGAATCAACCAGGTCAACCAGGAATCGCCATCCATTTTGTCTACCAGAAAAACCACATTGGCCATGTCCGTACAGAACCTCGATCGGCGGCTCCGAAAGGCTCCCCTCAGCTCCGTATCGGCTCCGTTCCAACCACCAGCTCGCCTATGCCGCCAGGAATCGGACCGCAGGTTTGAGTTCTGGTTTCCAATTTTTTCCAGGGTAATCCATTCCTTCTGGTACCTATTTCTGACTCACAGCCTATGGGCATGTTGATCCTGCGGTTTTCCTCTTCCTTTTCCTCGATGGCAAACAAAACAAGTACCCACACTTTTTGTTTACCACTAAAACTTGGTCAAACCCAGACATGTGACTAAAGTCCGAATCGGAACTCGGGTGAGAAATGGGTGTCTTCTTTGCAGGCACCCTTTAAAAGGGACCGCCTTAAAGGGAAAATTCCAAAGAGAAACCAAGGGCCCCTATTTCGAGCCACATTTGTTGAAGTTGGCACCCCCGTTTTTTGGGCCTTTTGTTTCGAAGGGACCCAACAAAAAGGAAGCTCGGGCCGCTGCGCCACGGGCGGTGTTTTGGAGGTCCCGTTTCGGTCCCGTTTCGGTCCCGTTTCGGATCCGTCGGAGGCGTCGGAGCCGCGCCTGGCCAGCAGCTCGGCGGGGGACTTCTTAGCCTTGCCCATGACGCTCTCCCAGCGGATGAGCTGCGCCAAGACCACCTCACGGTGGAACGAGCTTGCGCCTTGCCAAAAGTTAAGCTTCCAGTGGGATACGTCATGATCAGCTCTAAACTCTAAGAGCCAAAGGAACCCTATGGCTGGATCCAAACTCCAAGGGCTATACTTTGAAACTAAATGAAGGCACAGGGCTTAGTACTAGGTCCTCCAGTAGAGAAGATAAAATAAGGGTACCCGGTTTTTTCTGTACTCTATTTTAGTAGGGGAACCCTTCCCCCAAAAAAGGGGTGAGAAAGGGCACCTAGCTGGGGGACCTAGTACCTGTTTGGGGGGGTTCGTATGTTTTTTGGGGTCCAAATGCTTCTCAACCAAAGACCTGAACCCAGAACAAGAAGCCCAGGCAAGATCGCCCACAAACTCACAGCTTGACACGGGACACCCCTGGACATCGGTTTGTTTTTCTTGCGGTCTTCCTTGTAAGCAGCACTCAAAGAGAGGGTTCATTGTTTTGAATCACCCGCACATGGAACGTGCAATGACACACCAGCCCGACACCGCATTGCCCCAAACGCCTCTGTTGTCTCAGGCGTGTCCTGGACCTCATCCGGAAGGTACCTTGGAGCAAGCATTCGGAACGTGTAGCGCACGCAGCGCACGCAGCGCACGTCCCACGCGCGAGGTATGTCAGTAAGTTCGCCAGTTGATGTTGAGCCCATGTTGATCAACCCCCTGGGCTAACCATTCTTGTACCGGGTGTTGATTCTGACTCAGGTGGGGGTTGATCAAAAGGAAAGTGCATGAAATGACCAATGCCGACCCCAGAAAAGAAAATCAAACAGCCAATTTATTAATATGGGGGGGGTGTTCTCCTCCAAAAGTGATAATTCCTCACTAAGCCCAGAAAAACACCCCCATATGAATAAACACGGGTTGATCAATACGGGGTCAACATTAGCTAGTTGACCAGTCGGTCATTTCATCATGTCCAATCATGTGTCGCTCGCCAATGCAGTCTGTCCTGGATACTCTTCCTTCACCATCCCGCAGTTGAATCACGTGCATCTCTCATGCTCATTGTCGTGCACGCTTCCCTTACAAACATAGCACCTGTCGGAGAGCACCTGGAAAATCAGGTGTCTCTTGAAGAAAAAAACACTGTCAGGTGCCAGGTGCGCGGGAGGGAGGGCACATGTGTGTGATGTGGGCCGCCGGGGAGAAGCAGGTGTATCTTCTTTGAAGCACCATCGCACTCCGTCCAAGACCCATAATTTTGAATCTCAGTGGGGTCCTCTTTCGGAGCCTCATCCTCCAAAAGTAGGTCAACCCCCCAATCTGGCCATTTTTGCTGAGTCGCCAAACGAAAATAAACAAACGCACACCCAAGAAAGCACCCTCGGAACGTGACTTCTAGCGGAGAATTCGCCCTACGTATAGTAAAAGAACATGTCCAGGCGCACCAGGTTGCACAGCCCCGGTAAGTGAGGGCCAATGCTGGTTCATTGCCCGGAGATATGGGCAGACCCTATTTATTTGGGAGGAAACCGTCCTTGCGAACTGAATCTTTGGTAGACATCATTTACACGGGAATTCATGACCACAAAAAGATGTGAAAGGATTCTATCTACTTGATCGTGCCTTTCTTGAGGGTGCGCTTGAGGCGGGCTTGAGCTCAACTCAGGGAAACCTCTCATTTCGGGGTTGCATTTGGAGTCCAAGGATGATTCGCCTGGCTGATTCAAGGGTCATCAAACTGGGCAGCAACAGAGTTCCTCGATGGAGACAGCCAAAAACCACCCGCTGGACAAGACTGGCTCATTTCGCGAAGGGTTCCTGTTTACGGGTGAGGGTGGCGGAGGTTGTGTTCGCGATGTGTTCTAGAGTTGGAATGTGTCTCGGCACGGTGTCTTTAGGGGTGTGTTGGGAATGCCTGTAGGGGGTACCTGTAAGAGATTCTGTCTCTGGGGGTGTCTTTTGAGGACGTCTTCAGCTGTCTTGGGCAGCGTCTTTGGGGATGACTTTCGAGGTGATTTTGGAAGGCGCCTTGGGAGATGTTTGGATGTTTCTGTGGTATGTAAGCTTGCGTTGGGGGTGGATGGTTTTTTGGGGGGGGTGTTTGCATTGGGAACAATTTTGGGGAGTCTCGGGGATTGCAAAGACACCTGCAAAGACATCAAACCCGAGAAAGTCATCCCCAAAGTCTTCACCCAGAACAAACTGCGAAGATCAACGAAACACCAAAGGGCACCATCCAAGACAAGAGCAAAGATATCCCCAGCCAAGACACTTTCCAAAGACACCTTCAAAACTCGGTTGCTTTCTGCTCCCTTGCTAAAAGTTTAACTTTTAGTGGCTTAATGAAAAACCCGATAGTTGGCAAAAAGTTAAAGTCCTAACATGCAGGCAAAATGCACCAAAGGAAAGACATCCGCAAAGTCATCCCCAATTCGCAAAGACATCTCCCGAAGACACGTTTGAAGCCGAATGTCTTTGGATGTGTTTGGGGGTGTCCTTGGGCCTGGGCATGTCTTCGGGTCGACTTTGGGATTCCTTGAGCGACTCTTTCAGGATGTCAAGGGTGTGTTCAGTGGCGAAGTTGCCTGTGGGATGCTGTTGTGGATGTGGTGGATGAGGGTTTGATTTATTGAGGATGTCGCTGGGCGTGTTTGCTTGAGGGGGTTGTCCTGGGGAAAGTGCGTTTGATGCGCCTTAGGTCGCGTAATGAGGAATGTCAAGAGCAAGCGCAGCAAGCGTGCAAGCAGAGCACGCAAGTCACTTAGCACTGCCGCAAACAAAGCGTTGCGAGGAAGAAAATGCGCGCCCAAAAGGCAAACGAGGAATTTGCAACCGCCAGCGTTGCTGCCATGTTTTCATGACACGGCGCGTGGCGACTTGGCGCAGTATCTGCGGCATTGCTTTGGTTGTCACACGTGCTGCGCAGACATGTTACCCCAAGAGTCGCGAAATACCGTATGACGCCTTCTATCCGTTTTTGTTTTGTGTGTAAGTAGTACCATAGGCACGAAGGGTTTCTAACCCCGGGTCGATTGACACGAATGGGTGGTTTCCATGGGTGAGCTGTTGGAAAAAACAGCTGGGTTTCCATGGTACATGGCACAAGCCCCATCCAAAACCAGTCGAACCCATCTATCCCAACCAAGCCTCAAAAGGACACCTTTGCTCAGAAATATGAAACATAACAAACGAAACCACACTTTGGCAGTTTCCTTTTGAGTTTCCCCAAACCCCACGGGCCAGGGGCCCTCCGCGCGTTGCGTCCTTTGGGTCCCTTCCGCTGATCAAAAGAAAGCGGCTCCCGCAGCGGCTTGGCGGGCATGCCGATGGGCATCACCGCGAGGGCCGGGGAGGTCAGCAGCGCCTCAAAGATTCAAGCGCTTCTTTGGGTCATATTTGTGCATTTGGCCATGGGATTTTCAAAATCTAAATCGGTTAGCCCCCAGTGAGCAACCAATCCAACCACTAAAATAGGTTCTAAAATGCGTGGTGCCATCGGTTTTGACCCACAGCCATTTCTCAAAGTAGGGGCCCTCAAAATAGGCTCTCCTTTTGGCGTCCATTTCCATTCCCAAAAGGAGGTCCACTGGTCTTGTTTTTTTGAGGGGACACCTTTGGTGGCTTTTTTCAAGAGGAACCAAAAGGAAACCAAGCATTTGTTTGTGTTTTTTTTTGTGTGTGGGGGGGGGGGCCTAAAGAGCCACACCCGTGTGCATCAGAAACAAGCCTGGTGGGGGGGGAGGGGCGGCACATGCTTTGCATACAAGGCCTACCCACTGTTTAAACGCGTTAGACACCCCTGGTTTAAAACAGCCTGCGTTTCGTACGGACTTGGACCGGGGTCCAGGTGTTTCAATGCCTTGTTCGGCGTTCGGCTATTGAGATCTACCCGCAAATGGGGATACCCCACGCCAGGTTTCTCCTTCCATTCCAGCTCAACTGGGTGATCTCAACTTGTGGGATGTGTCAGAAACGCCAATCATCAGCTTAGCCCTACTTGGTGGTTTGACTTGGTAGTTTGGTGGTGAAATGGGGTGAGGTTCGTCGGCGTTTAGCTCCATGGGCCATTGCATTTTGTAAAGTACAAAACTAATGTCTTTTGATCCCGACAAGCATGACCTGCTGCTGGCCAGGCCTGTCTGATGTGTCTGAGACTAGCCTCACAGCCCAGCCCAACCAGCAACCCACCAAACACCCAGCCCGACCACGCTGGTTGGGCCTGAGGCAAGTCTCAGACACTGGGCTGGGCCTGAAGCTGGTCTCGACATGTGAGCCTAGTCTTAAACATGTCAGGTTGAGACACGCTGGTTTGTCTGACGGGGGTTGCGAGTCTCAAATATTCGGCAGCCGGACTGCTTGGCGGGCCTGCCTGGGGCCGGGCGGGCTGGGGCTTGCTTCGGTGGTTGCTGGTTGGGCTGGGTCTGAGGCGAGTCTCAAACACTGAGGCCAGTCTAGACATGTGAGTGTAGTTTTCAGACATGTCAGGTTGCTTGGGTGGGTTGCTGGTTGGGCTGGGCCTGCTTGGTGGGTGCTGCTTGGGCGAGTCTCAAATATTGAGCAAGGCTCACCAGCCCGCCCAGCCCAGACCCTCCACCAACCAACCCAAGCAAGGGTCTGCTGGCTCCATGACTCACTGCTGGCCCTATGCATCGCCTTGCCCTTGCCTCGCAGATTCCCGCGGGCCCATGACATCAACATGCCAGAATCGCCGCTTGACCAGCGCAGTTGAACCACAGACGCTGCGTGCTCGGCTAGACCGAGGCGGGCAACGCGCAGCGCTTACAATAAAACATGTCCAGCTCGCAACTCGCAACCTGAAATTTAAAGGGGCTACCTGAACTAACATGGCTGTGGGTCAAAACCAATGGGATCCCATTTTGGAGTAGGTGAGTTCACCACCCATTTTCGAACCTATTTTAGTGGCTGGATTGGTTGATGTTCACTGGGAGCTAACCGATTTGGATTTTGACCCATGGCCACACGTCCACAAGGGCTCCCTGAAATGAAATTCACCTCGGAACCCTCCGGCGGTATCCCAAACCGCCAGTTCGAGCGCGTTCGGCCTGCAGCGCCGCGGCAGCGGAGCTGGCCTCTCCTCGCAAACAGGGCGCGGGCGCGGGTGGGGGGGCGCTGAGAGAATCGTTCTTTTGTTTGGGTGTTCGAAAGGTGGCCATGCTTTGGTCACTTGTAAAGAAACCTGGGCCCTCCAGTGGAGAGGTTAGAATAAGGGTACCCACTTTTTTCATTCTTTTCGATTTTGGTTGGGGAACCCTCCCGCCAAGAAAGTTGGTAAAAGCTTTTAGTTGCAGTGTTCAAAAGGTGACTGGTGACCATGTCTTGGTCGCTTGTAAAAAAAAAAAAAAATAACTTGCTGGTTAGATAGGCAGGGAATGAGAAATGGAATGACCCCAACAAACACCATCCCCTATGGTTTCCTTATGGGGATCCCCTTCCGGTTCATTCCCAACACCCGGACTCGTTGTCATTCCCTACCTATCGCTCCGGCACGTCTTTGAGGATGTAGCAGAAAGCTTCGGCTCTCCACTCCACGGTTTCTTGCCCTTCGGCAAACTGCGGGTTTCCAGCGCCAAAGTATTCACCCAATGGTCTCAGGTTTGATTCCCCATTCTCTTCACCCATCGTTCTCTTTAGAAACCACCCTTTTCCTGGTGTTTGGCCCATCTGTTGAAGAGAAGGAACCATCTTAAGAGAATGGGGATGGGGTACCACTCCAAACGGTATCTGAACCCCAGGGTGTCGGTGGGAGTTGAAATCCAGCCGTCAACTGGTCGGCTCGCTTTCGGCGTCCCGAACCAAGAGTCACTGGACCCAGTCCCATTCGAGTTTTTTTACACATCTCTCTCCTTGTCTAAGCGCGCGGCAGATGGGTTTGACACTTGGGGACAGCACTTGTTTCAAGCACTGGCTTTCTGTCGACACCCAAAGTGAGTTCGGCAAATCTGGTAGCCTATCTGAAGAAGATTTGCGGTTGGTCAACGGTTCTGCCTTCGCCTAAAGGCAGGCAACTAGAGCACATGAATCCTGAAACTCACATATGGCTGTGGGTCAAGACCAATGGGATCCCATTTCGGGGTGGGTGAATTCACCACCCGTTTTGGAACCTATTTTAGTGGGGATTGGGATGTTCACTGGGTTTACGATTGGGATTTTGACTTTTTTTGACCCATGGCCATATTTGTACTAAGTGTTCTTGAGCAATCTGTCTTGAGGAATCCCTACGGGAACTTCAGGAGGGGCTCACCCCGCCAACGCGCCCCAGAGTTGGAAGCAATTTGGGTCTTTTTGAGGGGGACCCACCAGAATTGCGGTTTTCCTTTGGGCTTTCCTTTGAAACACCAACAAAAAGGGTGCCCTCCAAGACAGAAAGACCCACCTATGTGTGAAAAAGCAGACAGACCGCGACAGCCCCCACCCATGTGTGACCCCGCAATCGGCGGCCTCTGGCCCCGCGCCCACGCCCAACTCTCGCGTCCTTCATCCAAGCCCTCCGAGAATTTCAGCACAACTTCGCAAGTCCTCGAGCGGAGTACAACAAACATTTCCCCACGGCACCTGTCCCGGCGGACTTGGGAATTGGGTGATACAGCCCCAGCGAGTAACATGGAGGTTTTATGGTGATTTTTGTAAGCCCTAAACCTCTACACAAAAAACCGGGGACCCCCCCCCCCGGCTTCCGTTGGACAATTTCCCTGCGGTCGCCCCTCTGGTTAGGTTAGAAACGCCTTGCCTGGGAGGGCCAGCCAGATAGGGATGGAGGAGTCTCCTAGGTTGGATAGGCTAGAACAACTTGCTAGGACTCCATTGAAGTGTAGGGATGGGAGGCTAGGGAAGTGTAGGGGCCTGTAGGGGCCTGTAGGGAAGTGTCGGGGATCGTAGGGGAGCGTAGGTGAGTGTTGCTATCGCCTCTTGTTTGAGAGAGATCCATGTTTTTTCTGATTGTGTTAACATGTCAAGCCCACATCTCGTCACGTGGCAACAGAGACGTGAGCGGTTGAAGCTAAGCGTAGCGACCCTCCTTTGGAAAATCTCGACTTCTCGAATCTCGACTTCTCGGACCCTGAAAATTCATGCATGCTACGCCATGTCAAGCAAGCTCGCCACCCCTCACCCATTCAAGCCTACCTAAACATCCCGAAGCGACTCTGAGCCCACTTGAATCCCGCCGTAAACCCACCCTAAACCCATCCCCACCCTCGCCTTGAGTGGGGATCCGGTGGATCCGATGAAATGGCCAGCCATGTGTGGCGCAGAGTCGATGGAGGAAAACCCGCAGGTTCTCTCACGTGGGAGCAAGATCTGGTTTTCGGAAACTGAGTCTTTTCAATGAGACGGGAAACTACCATGTCCACCTTTATCTTGCGGCAACCCCTTTTTGAGGCTGCTGCGTCGAAAAAAAGGAGGCCGCCCGTCCATTTCAATCTTGTGGGTGACCCTTTTTGGGGTTTAGAGGAACTAAGGACCCACCGTTTCACTTGTTGAGGTTGCCGCAAAGAACCCTTCGATCCCAGGTCCTCCTGATTTGAGATGTTAGAAGGGCACCCACTTTTTGCCTTTTAGTCTATTTGAGTAGGGGGTGTCCCTCTCAACCAAAAAAAGGGGGCAAAAAAAGGGCACCTAGCTGGGGGCCCTAGTCATGTAAGGGGTCCTTGAAGTAGGGGAACCCTCCCCCCCAAAAAGTTGAAAGGGTAGAAGGGCGCCAATTGCTGGGGGACCTAGTGGAGGAACAAAGGACTAAGGACGCCCACCATTTCCAGGCATTCGATATCTGAGGACCCGGACCCGGACCCGGACCGGTAGAAACAAAACTTCGCCAAGCCGCTGCCCCATCTCCACAGATGTGAGGCTTCCTAACTCCTCCAGCTTCGCCTGTGCGAAACACTGAGCAGTGGTCAATTTTGCTTCTTTGCCCCTCAAATGCCATGGGAAAAATGAAAAAAAGCCCGGCATCCTTGTTGGATCGTTGAGTGTAAAGGGGAACCCCTTGATTAAAACAGGTCGGAAAAACGGAATCCACTGGGCGACTGGGTTTCGCTCTAAAGGACTTGAAAAGAAAACATGCCATCAGTATTACGACTTGTTTCCCCTAGGACATAGGGAGTGCTCTCAAGTTCCAGTTCGAAGACGTGGTTAAAAAGACATGTAGGAAAGTCCCCCCCCTTCTCGTCCTCTCGTCCCTTCCACGTGGAGAATAAGTGAACGTATTGACTGAACCTCACACGGATACGGGGGGACCTGCAAACCACGCTCTGGGAAAAATCGCCCCAATTCTGGGTCAAGTAAAGGACCTACATCGTGAGCTCGTTTTACAACTAGGTGAGCTCGCCGACATGGCTGGCGTTTTGTGAGCTACCTGAAACAGGTATGTCAAACCAGGGATTTGGACCTCGAAAGTTGCCTTTGTGTTCAATCTTGGGGCTTCCCTTTAACGTAAAACCATCCCAAGAGGGTGCCCTCAAGAACACTCAAATGACATGGATGGTTGTCTTTTTGGAAGTTGGTACCTGGACCCTCAAACTATCTTTGAGAATTGGGCTGCGCCACAAAATGACGGGCTATGTCAATGCCCATTTTTATTTGTTTCGGGGTCCAGGAAAATGTGTTGCTTTTGCTTTTAATGAGTTACACCCTTTCCAATGAATGTGGACAGGATCGGAGGTCCCCCAAAAGGAAAGCAGTGTTCCAGAAAGAGCACCGCGTGGATGTTAACGCACGCAACCCCAAAGACTTTCGACACCAACATGAACCCGTTTGAGGATACTCGCTTTGGCTGGGTTGTTTTTCAGGGAAACCAAAGGGACACCGGATCCATTTGTGGGGGGTCCCCTCTTCAACTGCCAGGTGCTCGTTTGCTTCGTGGGAGGAAAAAATCCAACAGCTAAGTCACCTTGCCTGGTTTGGAGCCCACCGGTTTGGAGTGTCAGGGAAGGGAAACCCCATTTATCTACAAGAACCAGGTTGCTTCAAACCAAATCGCACCAATCCAAACCGCCAACCTGCTTGATGGGTTGCCTGGCCGATTTTTTGTGTTAACACAGACACAGCTCAAAGGAATGCATAAGGTACATGAAGGGAAACATGCTCCCTGGATTTATCTGGAGAATTACGACAAGTACGGCAAGCCCAGGGTATTCGCTTGAGCCTCAAGGGGAACCGTTTCAGCCGGGCCCGGACGTGTTTTGTTTGCTTCGACCGGTTGCAAGCAGGAGTGGTTTTCGCGCAGAACCCGGAATCAGGTGTGTTGAAGCTTTTTGTGGTTGTTTGTGTTGTGTTTGGAGGGGGATAATTCTTTTGTTGTTGTTCTTTTTTGGGGGGGAGGGGGAGGGGACCGCCTTTTAGGGAAGGGGTGTCAAAGGGAAACCTGGTTTTAGACCCATGCTTTTACGCGTTTCAAAGGTAAACCTGACTTGTTTTCATCGGTTGCCTCCCTTTGTTCAGCCGAAGTTTCGCCCATCGCACGGAACCCCAAGACCGGAGACCGGCTCCCACTCGGCTCATTTGGTTGACTTGTCTCTGCCGGTTGTCAGAAGCCCGGGTATCCCCTTAACCTTCCACTTAGCGGGTGCCGTTTGGCCTTCCGAACCTTCAAGTTTTGGGGATGGACCGGAAGGGGCGTTTTTCTGGGGTTTACCACCTCGGGGATGGTTTTTGCCTAGGTCGTTCCAGCTCATTCCCTGAGAACCAGCCTTAACCTCACAAAGAGTGCCCACCCCTATGGGTCTGTTTTTTTTGGGGGGGGTACCCCACAGTGGTTTTAAAGGACCACCAAAAGGGAAAGACACGTTTTTTGGAGTTGCACCAGGTTTTGGCTGGGTTTAAAGGAGCACCAACAAGACATCTCACCATTTTGGGGGGTCCGAAACCTTCAAAAAGGACGAGCCACCCATACATTAACCCCCAGGCAGTCCCCCCCACTTGCTAGTGCTCAGTGAGAAATGACCGTTCCTGGTTTTGGGAATGAACCGGAAGGGATTTCCCTCAAAGCAAACCAAATCATGCCATGTCTCACTCCCCAATGGCTTTCCCGTTTTTTTCCTTTGAACCAACCTCACAAAAGGCACCCATATGGGTCGGTCTTTTTTTGAGGCTCGTTACCGCCTGTCTTGGTGGTTTTAAAGCTTTTGTAAAGGGAAACCAACGGAGAGTAAAAACACATTTCATTTAGTTGTTTTGTTGGGGGGGGGGGCGTGTTCCCCTATTTGAGACACATCCTTTGGAAACGAACACCAAGATCGATTCCTAAAAAAAGACGAGCCAGCCATACATATTATTCCCCAGTCCCACCCAAAATTCCATCTGGTTTCCACTTGGACTCCCTTCAAAACTATCCAAACCTGTGTCCTCAAAAAGTGGTCTTGGTTGCTTTCAAGTGGACTTCAAAGAAAACAACCCACCAAAATACCAAAACACCCATTTTTCCGGAAAGTGGCCCTGTACCCTGAACCAAAAAAGATTCAGCCCACGCCCAGCTTTGGGAAGCGGCTGCCCCCGATTTGGAGTGGGGTCTCAAAGGGGTTCCTTCGGTTCCATGGGCCTCTCAGTTCAGTGGCCCTGGAAAAAAAGGGACACCTTTTTGGGGCTTGGGCCAAATTTTTAGGGCAGGCAGCCAAAAGAAAAAGGGAAAAAGGGCGCAGCCACCAAAACAAAAGGGGAAAAATAATTGGTGTAGCGACGAAAACAAAAGGGGAAGAAGAATTGGCGCCACTGAAGAACTGAGGCCTGGAGTTGCTTTTGGATCAGCGACAAGATCCGGGCGATCTGCTCCATGGAAGCCTCCGCCGCCTCGCCGAAGCGCCGTGCCGAAGCGCCGACGCGGCGGCCGCGCCGACGCCGCAGCTGAGGGGGTTTCGGAGGGTAGTTGCGTGTTTGGGGCCCATGGTCTTTGCTTGGTGCTTCTTTCTTTCTTTCTTTCTTTCTTTCTTTTTTTTTTTTGGGGGGGGGGGGGCGAAGGGGACAGGGGCCGGGCGGGAGGGAGCCTTGCTTTCTTTCTCTTGTCTTTGTGTGTAGTTTTTTTGGGGCGGGAGGGGTGGGCTGGGGTAATGATACTTTAAGGCTTGGAGCCTTGCTTCTTGTTTGTGCTGGGCAGGGGAACTGCATTTTGAGGCTTTGGGCCTATTCGGGACTGTCTGCTACTTTCTGGGCATACGATATTTCCGAAACTGGAACTAAGGGTACCCGTGCAGGACCTTCATACATGAGAGCTCGTTTGAGCTCCTAACATTTGCCCGCTCCTCAATCTCACCTAGCCCTTAGTTGGTGGTTTGGATGGGTGGCTTGGCGATTTGAATTTCTGGTCATTGGCGTTGTCCACCCCCTAACCTCCAAGCCACCGGTCTCCAAACCACCAGTCGGAGGGAAGCTGGCAATCTACCCATCAGCTTCCTTCTTTGTGGTTTGGATTAGTGGTTCAGGGGTAGTTTCCCATTTACCCTCTTAGACTCTACAAGCACAGGCTCAAATCCCCCAACCAATCCAAACCAGCAACTAAAGGCAAGGTGACGATAAGGCGAACCCCGGTGTTGCCCTACGGTTCAAACCCCAAACAATGGCAAGAACGTTTTTGTTTTTAGATGATGACAATCCTGAAGGGTAAACCATGGTGGTTGTCTGAACCCAACCATCGTTTTAATGGTGGCTTGAACTCCAGAGGTTGGCTTCTGGCATTCCAACAACACATCTTCCTGCGACTGCCTGGCGCTCGCTCTCCTCGCTCTCAGCTTCCACCTCCAGTGACTTGCCTCGGATCGAGTCGGAGCCAGAGTGGACAGGGATGCGCCCCACCCGGGACACAAAACATGCCGCATGTGTGGCTCAAAATAGGAATCGGAGTTCCCGAAACGGGCATGTCTTTGAGGGTAGCCCTTTTTGATGGTTTCAAAGGGAAATCAAAAGGACAAGCACACTTTTTGGTGTCCCCGGAAAAAAAAGGAGGAACAAAAAAACAAAGTGGTTGCCCTGGCAAATGAAAAAGCCCACCTGCGGTTTGGCTCTGAAACTTTGAGCTTTACCCATTTGGCCATAAGGCTTGACCCCGACAAGTTGGCAGTGTGAAAATCAGCGCCCCCTCCCACCAGACCGGGCCCCACGCGTGACGCCAAGACCCCAACATGCGTCCAACCAACCCACCACCCGACCAAGCAGCCAACCAGGGTTAAGCCCCCGAACAAACTCGGTTCCATCCATGCATGCAACAAAAAGCCGCCAGCTCTTTCTCGATCCTCCAAAAACAAAGCGTTCCCCGTCGTTTTTTTCGTTTTGAACCCGGTTCAGGCCGCCAGTTCCGCAAGCTTCCAACTCAAGCCTGGTAGATGGAACAGGGCTACTTCCGTTCGAGGAACATTGTTCCTTGCAGGAACCAATGCAGGACACCAATATGGCTATGGCTCAAATTTCAAGAGCTAGGGTTACGCAGGCTTTAGTCTTTGGTTCCATTTACCAAGGTGCGATTTTGGTACATTAATTTGAGCCACACCCATATCAACTTCTAAATACTAAGCTTGTGGTTTGGTCATTGGTCGGAGGCTCGGAGCAACCCTTACTCCTGAAACAAAGGAACCACAGATCGGATTCGATTTCAGGTCTTCGACTTTTGCTGAAAGATTAACATGGACTCCCAGAAAGAAAGACATGGATTGATTTGCCTGGGAGTATGTGGGTCAACAACTTCCAGCATCTTCCAGCGGCCGTTTGCTTGGAGACGCCCCTTGTCGCCCGGCGACAACCTGGGGGCTCTTAGGGAAGAGTATCGATTTGCAGCGCAAACATTTGGGCCTTGCAGGGCGCCACTTTGCAAGCCGGATCCACTGGAACTTCCTCCATTTGCTTACCCCGGGGCAAAAAAAAAAACAAAAAATACTTTCCAGCAGTGATAGATGCTCTTCAAAACTAACAGGGGAAGACAACAAATGCGTGTCGTTTTGGGGGGTGCCCCTTTTTTCAAACCCAGGAAAACCAAGAGGAAAACCACTTCGCATTTATTCATGTTCATGTCATGTTTCTTTCTTTTGGGAGGGGGTTCCGATTCTTGCTTAAAAAACGCAGAAAAAAGAGATGCGTCCCCAGAAATGTCCGAAGCAAATTTTGTTGGACGAAACGTCCAGGCACTGGGTCGAAAGCTCGCAAGGTCGTTGGCCGCCTTCTTCAGCTGCTGCCTGCGTCGAGGCTGGACCCGCCCGGCTTCAAGGAAGAAACCGGATGTCTGGCCCGTCGTGAATAGGAATCGGACCCCACAAAAATGGACTTCGCCATGGTCTTCCTTTGGGCTTCCTTTACCAGCCAAAAATGGGGGACCCAGCCCTTCGTATGGGTCTGTGTTTCTAGAAGGGTAGCCGATTCTTTGATGGTAAAGGGAACCAAAAGGAGAACCGAAAACCATTCTGGATGTGGGAAATTTATGGAGTTCCCCCAGGTCCACTGCAAAACAACAGACTAGTCGTTGCGACCCAACCTTATTTATTATGTGGGTTTGCCTCAAAATAGAAGGACTCCAAACCGGGCTTCGGTGTTTAACCTAGGTTTCTTCTTGAAACCCCCAAAAGAGTACCGAGCCTCAAAAAGACACACTCGTATACGGCTGCGATGTTTAGTCAGACACCCTATTTGGTCACCAGCCACTTTTTGGGCGGCTCCAACTCTTACTCTTGATGGTCATGTGCGTGCGTGCGGGCGGGCGGGCGGGCGTGCGTGGGTGGGTGTGTGTGTGTGTGGCTCTTCCACCCCCGAACTGTGGGTGTTTCCCTTTAAAGCCGCAACAAAAGGGGGTTCCCTCAAAAAAAAGAAGACCCCTGGAAAAAAAATACAAAATATATATCTCCAGTAGTGATAAAATCCCTTTAAAACCAATCAGGGAAAATAAAACGCATCTTCATTTCAGCAAATGGTCCTGTGGCTCCAACTCTTGATGGTCATGTGCGTGTGTGTGTTTCTCTTCCCTGCCCTTCTGCCAAGCTGTGGGTGCTTCCCCCTAAGACCATAACAAAAGGGGTTCCCTCAACAAGACCCCCATACAAAACATGAGCCCGACCGACCATGGCCGGGCTGCTTGAGGTCGTAGGCCTCGCTCACGCATTGGCCTTGGATCCAGCGGTTTCAGTTTCGGCCTGCCTCTCGATTGGGAAACCCTAGCGCTGAGTCCCCCGAAAGTTTGCCCCCACCCGCACCAGCCCAAGCCAAATGGCGCGTGCTACTACTGAAAGCCAGAAATGAACCTGAAAGTTACTGAAAGCCAGAAATGACATCTGCGGAAAGTGGAACCTTTGAGTGGGGTGTGGGTGTCCAGACTGTAGACCCTTTTTCGAACTCGGTGGGCAAGTTTGAAACCAACAAGAAACAGGGATCCTTACTTTATACACCTGAACATTGCCTTGTAAAAGGTGGTGTCCCTTTATTTTGCTGGAAAAAGCCATGTTTCAGTTGGGCAAAATGTATCTTTTAAGGAGCCCTGAGAAACCCTGGCCATTTCGGTTCCCCGAGATTGAAACACCAGCATCCTGGGTCCCGCTCTACGGGTTGAGTCCCACCATTCTCTTCAACCATAGTTCTTTCTCAAAAAAAAAAAACACCAGCTTCCCTGTTTCTGAGAGTTTCCTGCAAAGATTTGAAAGGGTCCCTGAAAAGAATTCATGACTGGAGGCGCGCCCCTAGCTTCAAGTTGAGGAACAAAATTGGCGCCCTTGGAACAGCCCAGTTCCCGAGCAGACTCCCTAGTTGACATTTTGTAGGGGATCCCCATTTTGGGGGAGGGGGGTTCCTCTAGAAATCCTGGTGTTTTGTGTTCCATGAACTGCCAGGGTATTTTGGCACAAAGCGGACTCCCGTACAGCGGTGGACCGCGGTTAGTTTCTACGACCCTCACGGATTGACGTGGAGCACCCAACCCACAAGACTTCACGTTCAGCAAACAAGCTCGGGGGAGCCCTGTCTGTAGCTTGATTTGCAGTACGCATCTGTTTTGAGCAACGCGTGCAGACGATGTTCTTTTCCTTCCATTTGCTTAAGCCCCTGGAGAAAAACAAAATCCAGTAGTGATAGATTCCCTTTAAACAATTGAGGGAAAAATAAAACATATTCTTAAGCAATAGAAGTTTCGAGGCCCTTCAACTTTGAAACAAAGGGGGCAGAAGGTAAGCCGAACAAGGGGACCTTGCGTGGCGCCCAAGTTGGTTCCTCTTCCAGTGAGAAGGAAGCCACTTTGTCGTTAACCCTTTGTCTACAGCTGTAAACCATCAAGCAACACAAACAATCTACTTCTGTTTTCCCTTTGTCCTTAAGCAAGATAGGATCTGGCGGCGTAAACAAATGTTGCTTCATTCCACATTTCCAGCGTTCGCCACAAAATGGAGCATGGAATGATAGGTGTAAATCCACCACAACCATTTCAAGGGAGGCGCTTCATTTGGGAAACTGCTCTTCGCAAAGGGTGCACATTTCCCATGGTCGTCTTTTCACAGGACCACAATTTTAAGTTGCGACTGGCAAAGGTGTACAGTTGGTCGGCACCCTTGTGACCAACCAAAACCAACCATGGCTGATAGTCCCCTGGGTCGACAAACAGGGCCTATGCTGAGATGGCCGAGAAATCGTGCCAAAGAGAGGCACTCACCGCATTCTCCCAGCCCCTACGTTCAGCCACCAGAAATCCTTGACAGTTGGGTCCCCACCGAAAGCCCTGGAAGGAAAAATGCCAATATGGGGACCCCCTTTCAGATGCCATGACCATGGGGCAAGTCGAATCCTCAATTTGTTGCCTCTCCAAAATGCGGGTTTGAAGGAAACCCACCTGGATGCTAAAAGTGCTCTTGACACTGAGTCTCTCAAAATATACTCTTGGCACAAAGATCCAAGTAGATTTCCTTACTCTGGGTTTCAAACCTGAAAATAGTGGGGGTTTATATACCCCCCCTTCCTCAACTCTTCGGTAGTTGCATCCAATTCAGGTCCAGCCTTCTTTTCGTGGAGCTTGAAGCTTCGGGCTTAGCTTTTCGGTGACCCCCGCTAAGAACCACCCCCCATTCAAATCGGGTTCCTTGTCTTCCGAAAGCCAGCTTTGGGCTTGGACCCTTTCGAAAAACGAAGCAAAAAAAGCCCGGCAAACAAAAAAACAGGAAAAAAAGGGAAACAACCGCCCGGTGGTTTTGTTGTTTATCGCAGGCGCCCTCCAGCTGCAGCAGCTTCTCGATGGCCTTCCGCAGCTTCTCCAGCTTCGGCAGAGACCTGCGCCCGAAGCAAACGGCTCGGAGCAAACGGCTTTGGTAATTGTTTGGGGCAGTCTCTTTTTTTGAGGACCCCCAAAATGGTGGTGTTGGTGCCTTTTTTTTAGGGGACGCCCCCCAAAACAATGTGGTGTGTCCTGTTGGTGTCCCTTTAAAGCCAACTTTCAACCAAAAAGGGGTAGCCTCAAAAAAAAGACAGACTCACCCGGCCATCAATTTGAAGAGTTGGAAGTTGGAAAGTGGCTTGTCGACACAACTCACCGATAATTGATTTCTACCGATCCCTAATCAAAATTCTCACCCGTAGGAGTGTCCCCCTTTTGGGATCCTTTCATGAGGAAACCCAAGTTGAAACTATTTTGAGACAAATCATAAAACATATGAGGTTGGGTCAAAGCTTCTGGTAGTGAATGGTTTTGGGACGGACTAGGGGGGGGGAGCTCTAAAATTCTCACATCGACCAGGGGGGCGAACTCTGTCCTATGTTCTTCAGGGGAAACAAGTCATTTCTACGGTGGGCTTATACTGTGGCTGGACGATATCCTGCACCAGTTGGGATGGATGAAACCCCATGATGACTAAAGGATAAACCACCTAGCAACTGTTGGCGAGTTTCGCTCATCCGCAATGTTGCCAAGTTTATAAATCAAGCACATCCAAACGAATCCCTTTTAACCGAATCCAAGCAAATCTCCCTTGGCACGTGAAAGCTACCACAACCCAGCGGTGCCCAAGTTGCATGGGCCTCCGGATCTCAATGAGAAAATGGGGTGTATTGTCCACTGAGCACCTTCAAAAGGTGGGATCGGACCAAGAGGTAGTCCTTTTTCTCTTGGTCCTTTCAAAAAACAAAACATCAACAACCCCCGCATAGCCGCAATATCATCAGTTTGGACCCAGAAATAAGGGGTGATCACCTTTTGGGTTGCCATCTGTCTGAAAATTGGAATCCAACAAAAGCAAAAAGGTCACTTCCATGGATGGCCGGGAAAAACGCCCCCAAACTGTGTGTTTGCCACTATGGTCGAAACCCAAACGGAGTACAGGAACTCGAGTGAGAAATGGGTGTGTCTTTTTGTTGAGGGTACCCTTGTTTGAACTGTTTCAAAGGGAAACCAAAGGGAAACTAAAGGAAACCACATTTTTTTCGGCGGGTGTGCTTATTTTGAGACGCATGTTTTGAAGTTGGTACCCCGATGTTGGCGGATTTAAAGGGAAACCCAAAAGATTAAGCGAAGCCATGTTTTGGAGGTTCCCCCTTAAGCGACACACCTAAATGGCCATGGGTCAAAAGCCAAATCATACCCCCAGTGAACATCCCAATCCCCACTAAAATAATTAGGTTCTAAACTAAGTGGTGAATTCACCTAGCAACCAAAATGGGATCCCAAAGCTGTTTTGACAACCACGGCCGAATTGGTACCGCTTTTTTGGCGCGGTGTGTTGGAGGTTCCCCTTTAAGCGACACACCCGAATGGCGAAGCTTCGCATCACCGAGCGCTCGAACGATGTCTTCTGCGCCTGCCGATGCCGGTGATCTGCAGGGTGAGGTCCTCGGACTCTGCGCCCTCACCCCAGAGCTTGAGGTCCTGAACCGCTCGGGGAAGCGATGCTAGGAATTCCGTGTGAGGGTCCTCCAGATTTGAGAGATGTTAGAATAAGGGTACCAACTAAGGCCAAATCCAGGAACAAACCCCAAAGATAAACGGGAAAAAAACCCAAAATATATAGCCCTCCTTTCTTTTTTGTCTATTTTAGTAGGGGGTTTCCCTCTCAACCAACAAAGGGGTTAAAAAGGGCACCTAGCTGGGGGCCCTAGTCGTGTAAGGGGTCCTTGAAGTGGTCAGAATTCATATCCACCAGGTGACCTGGTTTAGCAGGTGGTTGGTTCCTTTGTTTGAGGCTTCCCCTTTTTGTTGGTGTTAAAGGGAAACCAAAAGGACACCTAGCTGAAGCCTTTTTGGGGCCAAAAAACAGATCCACCAGCCACTCAGGCTCCAACTCTGTTGAACAAACCAAAATTGTGACCCCCCCCCCAGGTTGGCCACTCCAAGCCCTAACACCCCAAACCTCGCGGAATTGTTTTCATATGTTGAATGGTCTGGAATCTCAATTTATAGATAACAGGAAAAAAGGGAAATATAATGTAGGATGATTAATAATCTCTCACTCCATGAAATCCTCTATGACTCTTTGTCTCCTCTTCGAAGCCGTGCTTGAAGACGTGCACCAGGTTCCGCTGCTGCGCCAACGCCTCCATGTCCTGCCTGGGCGGCTTCAAACTTCGCGGAAACGAAACCGGGCCCCTGCTCAGTTCCTAGGACATGCGTCGTGCTTGGGTGGAAATGCAACTTGTGAAGCAACTGGAGCTTGAACCTCTTTGTTTTCTTCTCTTTTTGTTCTTTTTCGGGACACCACAAAAGAAGAGAATTGATCAGTGGTGACCCCCATATTTTCACCAACCCCAGTTTATTAGTAGGGGGGTGTTCCCTGCAACCGCGGTCTGATTCCCCACATTTCACGAAATGGACACCCCCCCTAAACTAAACTGGTTGGTCGATGAACATCTGGGGTCATCACTACACAAGAGGTGGTTTGAAACATCCTCAAACCGGAACCCGACCCCGCTGGCGAACGCAGCCGGCGGTGCGCGCGGGGCGTGCGGCGTGCGGGGCGCCCGGGCGCTGAGCCGGAAATGACGAGGCGGGCCAAAGGAAACGATGCGTTTTTTTTTGCTTTTCTCCGGCACGAAAGTGTACATCTTCAGGACCGTTTCCCTAGAGCAAAAAGACACAGCACATGGGTGTGTTGCTTTTTGCTTGTTTTTTCTTCTTTGGACACCAGGGAAAACATGTGTTTGTCTTTTTGTGGGTTGGGGGGGTCCCCTAAACAAGACGGACCCATCACCTTGAGCGAGGCACCCTGTTTTGACGAACCCCAACCCCCAAACTCAACCCACCCAATCCTAAACTGCAACCCATAAAGAATGGGTGTGTCTGTTTTAAGTGGACACCAAAAGGGAAACCACCATTTTGAGGGCTCCCCAAGATGTAGACACGCCCATATTCGCGAAAACCCACCCCAAAACAAAAACAGAAGGAACAAGAACACCCCCAACCCCAAACCCCCAACCCCTCCGACCCCCCAAAGCCTCCACACCCCCTTCAAAAAACAATAGCAACAACCAAAAAAACAAACCAACAAAGCAAAAACACGGACACCCCGCAAAAACCTCCAACCAACACCAAACCACCACGAACCCAAAAGAAAAGAAACAAACAAAAAGGACGAGCCCAAAAGAAATAAACAAAACACACCAACCCAAACGCCGTGCACGTCTCGCCAGCTCGCCCGCTCGCGCGCCTCAGCGCGCGGTGGCTCTTGAGCCACTGCCGGCTCTCCGCGAGCACTGCGGGCGCGCAGCTCACCGAGGCGGCGAGGTCCACCAGTCCTTTGAGCGACAGCTCCAGGTCGTTCCTGGGAGCAGAGCGGAGGGACGCTCGCGGTTTTGGGTGGGGGAGGGGGTTGGGGTGGAGTTGGGGGAGGGGGGAAGCGGTTGGGTGGCTGGGAGGGGGGTGGATGGAGGGGGAGAGGATGGGAGGGGGGGGGAGGGAGACAGTGGGAGGGGGAGCGGAGGGGAGTAGAGGGGATGGATGAGGTGGATGGAGCCAGGAAATTGGGGGTGTTGGGGGTAGGGCGAGATTGGGGTTGGGAGGGGTTGGGGGCGAGGGGGTTGGGAGGGGTTGAGGAGTTGGGTGGATGGGATGAGAGCTGTTGGGGGTTGGGTTAGGGGGGGGGGAGGGGGATGGGAGGGGGTGTCCAACAGTGGAAGCTCCGCCTGAAACTGATGGAGCTGGGGCTATTGTGCAACCACCTTCTTTTCGCGTATTTGAGAAGAACCTTTGCAAGCTCCCTTTCAACCCAAAAAGATCAGAAGCTAGTACCAAGACCTGACGGCCCTACCCAAACAAATGTAAAGACTTCCAAGGCCGGACATCCGCACCTATTTCTGGCTGGAACTGTTTCCACTCCCATCCACCTGGTTTTGTTGGCTACATCCACCATGGAGCCATGGTGCGTCCAACGAACTGGCTTGGACGTCCGAACTCGGACGGCGTCTTCGCGTTCACTTGGGCATGTCTTTTATATGGGACCCCCGCCCCCCCCCCAAAAACGGGTGGGTTGTCCTCTTGGCTTTGCCTTCAACCACACAAGTTTTGTGGTACCGGACAGCGAAGACTCGCTTCCGAACCTGGGCTGTAAGGGATCGGAGTTGAAAACTGGTGGGTTAAATTCGGCAACCCAACCCTGGGCTGCCCTCAGATCCCCTGCTAAAAGCTTAACTTGTGGGTTAAGTGGAAACCGCCACTAAACACCAAAAGGCTGAAAAAACCTAAGGAACTGGATGGCTGGGAGCCACCAAGAGCCAGCAAACCAACTAAAAATCCACGAAAACCAACCTCTCTGGAGCCGGACGAGTCGCTGGAGCCGAACGATTCGCCCAGGAAACGTTTCAGAAAATAATTGTGTTTTTTTCCTCTTGGTGTCCGCCAACTCAAAAAAAAAGAACATGATGTTGATCCCATATTAATCAACCGCTGCTTATTCATCAAGGGGTTTTCCCCTCCAGTGATGATTCCCTACATTTCACCCAAAAATGGACACCCCCTCCTAAACTGAACTGGTTGGTCGATGAATATGAGGTCTGTTGACCCAAGAGTGGCTTTCCTCTTGGTTTCCCTTTAAACCACAAAAGGGGTACCAACTCCAGAAAAAAGACATACCCAATAACATTCCCCATCCAGTGATGATTCCCCACATTTCACCCAGAAATGGACACCCCCCTATTGGTTGATGAAACTCGGGGGGCAGCATTGCCCTCTCTCCTTAGTTTCCCTTGAAACCACCACAAAAGAGCACCAACTCCAGAAAAACACACCCCTATTAAACTGAACTGGTTGGTTGATGACAATCCGGGCTCAGCATTACCCATTTTTCGGAGGCCAAATTCCTCTTTCTCCTCGGCCAGGGGGCTTCTCCTCTAAGAGCCTTAGGCGCTTCAAGCGCTCCTCCTCCAGCGCCGCGGCCGCCTTCTCTCGCTCTTCCCGGAAGCGCTGCATCTGGCGCTCGTGCTCCTATGCTGGCGACTCGTGGGACCGGGGGGGGGGGACGAGGGGACGGGGGGGGGCGGGCGGCCTGGTGTCGGTTGTGCCTGAGGACCCAAAAAGGGCCTGGCAGTCGCAACCCAGCTCCATTTACATACCCCTTCGAGAAATACATGAGGTATGATTGGATCAAAGGTCCATTGACAGAAGCCCAGTGCACTTTTTCCAGAGAGGAAAAGGAGAGGCGAGTTCCAGAAGTGAAGAGCTTGCGAATGGAATGTCAAGAAAACATCCTGAGTATGATCAGGAACACGTGCCACCCAAACTGACAAGACCATGTGTCGACTTGCTACAGGCAGAGCATGGACAGGCACCTTACCGTGACATCCAGGCAGCTAGTTGGAACCGATGGCGATGAGCGATGAGCATCACCCAGTTGAGCTTGCTATAAAAGAGGCAAAGTAATGGCACCTTTTTTCTGTAGCCTATCTTAGTAGGGGAACCCTCCCCCCAAAAAAGTTGGTAAAAGGGGACTACTGGGGGACCTAGTTTATCGGCACCTATGTCTAGTTTGTGGGAGTGCTCGAACAAGTGGGGGGGAGGCGAGCGGGGGGGGGGGAGGGAGCCTTTTTGGGCTGGGTTGAACAAGGACATCGACCACTAGGGGGAAACACCCGTTTCCTTGACAGGCAACCCCTCACCTGTCTCAGATGACTTGGAAATACAAGGCAAACTCTTACCAGTGGTTGCCGTCCTCCGATTTCCTTGTGAACAGGAAAGACCATCCCAGCAAAGCCCAGCTGATATGCCCAACAGCCCCAGAACCCCCTGAAAACGAATTTCCGGAACCTTCCCTGAAAGCTGCTCCAAAGCATCCCAGAGCCTATCTGGGCCTATCGACCCTGTAGTAAGGGAAAAACAAGACATGGAACATTTGACCTGAGTGGGACTTGTCCAAGACAAATTCGGGGCACCTTCTTGCAGGTGGAACCTCAAATGCCCGTTTGTTTCTTTGGCTGCCCTTTAAAACCACCCCCAAAAAAGGCGGGTGCTTCCCCTCTTGTTTCCCTTCAACACCCACGGCAAAAAGGGGTGCTCTCCAAACACACTCGTCACAACCATATATTTGGACCAAATTTATGTGTTGTGTGAGGATTGCTCTTTTTTAGTCATATGGTAGTTTTCTGGACAAACCTCTTCAGCTGTTCTGGCTCCCGCTCCTCTCCTAGGTCCTCCAGTAGAGAGGTTAGAATAAAGGTACCCTTTTTCCTGTAGTCTATTTTAGTAAGGGAACCCTCCCCCAAAAAAAGTGGGGAGAAAGGGCACCTAGCTGGGGAACCTAGTTGGTGTTAGACACGGAACATGTGGGCAAAACGGGACTTTCTGGTGTTTGGCTGGCTTTGCTTGGCTGGTGTTGTTTTGCCAATGAGATATGGAAAACATGGGAAAACAATATGGACAACTTTGTTGGAACACTGGAACACTGGGAGAATGCTATGGACAACTGTTCTGGCTCCCGCTCCTCTCCTTCCCGCTCCTCTCCCAACAAACCCCGGTCCTCGCTGAGACGGGCCTTCTCGTCCCAGTTGCTGCTGAGCATGTGCTCCATCTCCTCGAGTCAGCCGCTACCCAAAAACTTGCTGGTGAGCGGTCGGTAGGGAAGGAATCCCGTTTTGGAGCTCTCCTTTAAAACTGGGCTGCCCGTTTTCGGATCCCCTGCGAAAAGTTTAACTTTTAGTGGGTCAAACGGAAACCACCACGCTGGTGCAATTGGTAGGGAATGACCGTTTTGGGATTTCCTTAAAAGAAATCCCTAGGTTGGATGTTGTTTTTTTGTTTCTCGTTTTTTTTTTTCCATTCACGGTCATTCCCTGCCTATCGAAGGGCATCTTGTGGTAGTTGTTTTGGGTAACGGCGCGAGGCTGTTGACTCTTTTTAGAGCAAATTGACTCCCAGCTTGATCGCGTGAACGGCAAAAGACGAACAAGTTACAGGGTGGGTGGGTGTGGCTGGGGTAGGCATGTCCGTGGCACGTGCTGGGTGGGGTGGGGCAGGGCACGGGATGGGGATGTGTGCGCACGCGTTGACAACTTGATCAACAGGTGCCACATTTCGACGGATCTGTGAAGGCGCATCGCTGTCTTCGCGGATGGAGCACAAGCCAACATATTGAGTAGAACGCAAGTTGTGCCAAAAAGGGGGGGGTCGCAAAGGAGCGGGCTACAAACACAGGCGAGTTCCAAAAAGCAGGAACCCAGACCCCTAGCCGGTGGGATCACATGGAGAACGCAACCCACGCTGCTCATTCTTCGGTACTCGCTCTGACTGCACGGGAGAAGTCACACAAAAACACGTCTGAGCGGTGTTCAAAACGTTCTCCTGAAATCAAGGTCGTAAGGAAGTCTTGGGCAAAGGTGCTTACGCGAGCTTACGCGAGCTTACGCGAGCTTACGCGAGCTTACGCGAGCTTACGCGAGCTTACGCGAGCTTACGCGAGCTTACGCGAGCACCGTAGATCATGCGATCCACCACGCCACTTGCACTTGCGCAACACACTTACGCGGCCGTACTCCACATGTTTGCCTTACGCGGGGGGGCCCATATGACCACCCTTCAATCGCAATGCAAAGTGGTTTTGAGCCCTGCTCACCTGATTCACAATCAACCTGGTTTAATGACAACCTGGTTTCAAAATGGTCTACCCACCATGTAAAGAATTAAGAAGGCGGCCGTACCTATTGCGGGGACTATAGCTATCCCTTAACCTTCGGGTTTGATCCGCAAGACTCTGCGAACACTGAAGCCGGGAAAGAGTCAACAGTCCCTCGCGGTCGAGGTTGATCTTAAATAGAACCCCCTTCAAGAACAAGTTGGGTGCGTCCTTCTTTGGAGTTGGTACCTTTTCAAAAGTGGCTTTAAAGGGAACCGCAAGGAACATCCTCCCCATTTTGGGAGGTTTTTCTTCTTTCCCCAAACAGGGCCTTCCCAGTCTCCAAAATCGAGGAGCTGCCACTGGGTGATTTCCTGCGGGTTCCGTCCCTTGCCCCAAACCACATGTCGCCGATTTCTGGGCGGATGGATCGACCCCCAAAACGCTGGAGGAAACACATCGGAGACCCATCGGATCCGAAACATCAGAGGGAGCGTCCAATTTTCAATCAGAGGGAGGCACCTTCAGATTTCGAAACCATCGGAGATGCCGCATCCAGGTATAAACAGAACCCGGGTCCAGGCATATGGGGATGTAGATTCGGTGCGTTACCAGAAGTCAGAATCTCAAGAGAATCATGTGTAATTGTGTAAACCCTATATGATTACGCTTCAAATCGGAATTTGGACGCCGAAGTTGTGGTTCTTCATTTGCTTGCCCTAAATCAAAGGTGATCAGAGTAGCAACTCAACAAAAAAAAAACACACACACCCACCCACACACACACAAACACACAAACACACAAACACACAAACACACAAACACACAAGCACAAAAACACACAAACACACAAACACAAAAACACAAACACAAACACAAACACAAACGCAAACGCAAACGCAAACGCAAACACAAACGCAAACGCAAACGCAAACGAAGCGCAAACGCAAACACACAAACACACAAACACACAAACACACAAACACACAAACACACAAACACACAAACACACAAACACACAAACACACAAACACGCAAACACACACACACAAACACACACACACACAAACACACACACACACACACACACACACACACACACACACACACACACACAAACACAAACACAAACACAAACACAAACACAAACACAAACACAAACACAAACACAAACACAAACACAAACACAAACACAAACACAAACACAAACACAAACACAAACACAAACACAAACACAAACACAAACACAAACACAAACACAAACACAAACACAAACACAAACACAAACACAAACACAAACACAAACACAAACACAAACACAAACACAAACACAAACACAAACACAAACACAAACACAAACACAAACACAAACACAAACACAAACACAAACACAAACACAAACACAAACACAAACACACACACACACAAACACAAAAACACAAAAAACACAAAAACACAAAAACACAAAAACACAAAAACACAAACACACACACACACACATACTCCAGCTCAACACAACTGCCCACTTGTTCCAGCCAATTTTGCCCAAGTTGGGGGAAAATACAAAAACAAAAGTCAGCATTGAAACACCGAGAAAAGACAACAAAGGGAAACACAAACAGAAACCAAAAACACAACCAACGCCAAAAACACACGCACAAGCCCATGTTACCTTGAGCTTGGGCGACGCTGGTCGCGACTCATGGAACTGCCTGGGGATCAAACCACCATTAAACCAATGGTTGGGTTCTCATAACCAACATTGTTTACCGGATTGGTATCATCCAAAGTTGGGTCCCAACACCTGTCTTGTAATGGTGTTGAACCGAACCCTCCCTAGGGGAAGCGGTTGGCGTCCTTGAGCTGCTTCTGGAACTTCTGCTCTGCCTCCCGCTCCGCGGCGGAGCCGCCAGCCCCTGCGATGCTCCATCGAGCGAAGGCGCCCGGGATTCACATGACTCGAGTTGTTAGGAACTCTCAGTTGTTCAGCGACCCTGCAAAAAAAAAGGGGAACCCTTTTTGGGCTTGGACCATTTTTGGGGGCCACCAAAAAAGAGGGAAAAATAATTGGTGCCACTGAGCAACTGAGAACTTCATCATGGCTTCGGGTTCCTTTAGGCCCTTTAGGTCTTGAAACCACCCAAGTCATGGCTTCGGATGTCCCCCTGGCGTGAAAATTTGAACCAAAAATATGGGGTGCCCTTCAGCAAAAAGGAACCACACCCTCAGGGAATCCTTTGGTGGAGATCAAATTTCGGTGAGGACTCATGAGTTCCCTATAAAATTGTGAGCGACATATTTTTTGGCTTCAGGCGGCAACTAGTCCCGGATTTCTCCATCCACAGTAGAATTGACATGTTGTTTTACCATCATCTTCGCCAAGGGCAAAGATTCCAAACATTGACCCAGAAATGATTGGTGTGCCTTGAACAGGGTTCAAAAAAACATTTGCTTTGCAATGTTATAAATTGTATCTTCCTGTCTTACTACCAATGATTTCTATCTTCATATTATGTTGGTTCTTATTGTATCCTCCTGTCTTGTTCCTTTGAGGGTTGGGACCCCCAATTTTTTGAAATAAAACGGAGAGGGGGCTAACCTTTTACACGCAATAAAATGGGGGGTGCTAACCCCCGCAAAAGTTGCCGACTAGGGGACCCGCGAGAAGAAAAGGTGAGCCGCCCGGCGAAAATACAATGGGCGTCGGGAAAAAGGTCGCAAACCCAAAGGGCCACGGGGCTAACCCGAAAGGCTAGGCCCCTTCGGCCGGGCCTAAAATCTTCAGGGCGCCAACCTTTCCCAAGCCTTACTCTCAGATCAGTGCGTAATTCAGTATTGCCACTGTTAATGTAGCCAAGACTTGCTCTCGGTTTCCCAGCTCTTGATTTAGCACTGCCAATTTCAAATGTATTGCCAAGCCAGATTCCCAACCCCAAACAAGTTTGACATTAAAGCGACCCTCGAAACAGTCGCAGGATTCTGAATGAGGGAACAATCGTTGTATAGAAGCGACCGTAATGGCAACTAGGTCCTCCAGTAGAGAGGTGAGAATAAGAGTACCCCTTTTTTCCTGTAGTAGTAGGGGAACCCTCCTCCAAAAAAGAGTAAAAGGGCACTACTGGGGGACCTAGGCAATAAGGGATCCCGAAATTTTGGATGAGGGTGACAAATTGCGTTTCCGGCGCCACTCCCCGGGGAAGCCCCCTCCCCCAACCCCGCCGGACGGAAAGGCAAAACTGATGAACAAGCAGATACACTGGATGAGATAAGCCTGCGAGTTCATCCGTTCCTTTCCTTTCTTGTTCCCATTCCCAATTCTAATTCTCAAGTTGTGACAGGGGGAACAAAGAGGTGGGAGATGGAGTGACAGGAAAAGAATATGAATGGGGACGGGCGATGGGTAAAGAGACAAGAAATGGTGAAAAGACAAGAATTCTAAAGGTATAACATAGGAAGAGAGAGGTACCAGTCTAAGTCTTGCATTTCCTTCATTTCTATCTCTTTCATTCTCTTGGACATCTTCCTCGTCTTATTTGGTAATATGTGTTTCTTTTATCTATTTATTTCTCACATCCACATCCAGCATTTTTTCTCCGATACTATGTTGAAGCGGAGTAATGGACGTGGATGACCAAGAGCGATTCAATGAGGGAGAGAACCAGTGACTAATTGCCGACCGTTCAATCCCATCATCTATTTCTCTGTCATTGAAGTAGATCCTGGAATCATTCTCTGATGACGATATGAAGTGATGAAGAGACGAAGATAATCGAGATACAACACGCAAAACACACATTAAAGAGAAGATACCAATCTGGAACTTCTCCAAGGATTCTATATTGGAAGACACGCATTGATATCTTTAGGTGTCTGCGTACCTTACATATCTTCATCACATAGCCAATAAGAGAGACATGCCGAGTAATATCTTCTCTGATGAATTTCCAATTAATCTTTACCAGCTGTAACTACAAAAGGAAGAGACTCACTCATTCTTTATTCGACCTTTTGGAACCACAAACAAGGGGTACCCTCAAAAAACCGACACACCGCAAATGCATCCTTCATGGGACCCTGTTGACATGGCCGGCCCGATCGGCATTGCTCGCTGCAACAAATGGTGCGAAAGAGCCTAAGGATCCTAAGGGGACGGCCGGGAAAGGCCAAAGAAACAAACAAAAACTCGCCAATTTCTCTCTTTAGCTTCCTTTGCAAACCAAACCGGGCTCTCCGACCCCGATTGGGCGACCCGTTTTTCCACCTACCTGTTGTCAACCCAGGTAGCACCCAAAACGCCTGCGTTCCTTCTGGCTTCAAAAGACAGCCAAAAGGAAAGGGTACCCTCCAAAAATGCACACGTCCAAACGGGCGAAGGTGAGCCAAAGTTCTGCCCATCTAAAAGGCGGTCCACCGATTAGTCGGGCAAAGCTAAGGCAAGGGAAAGACACGCAGCCACAGGGGACAAAAGCAACGCTTCAAAAGCTGTACTTTTCCGATTACAAAACCAAGGGGTTGTGGGTTTCGTTGGACAGTGATCCCCTCAAGAGGGGCAACTCCAAGACGATGGGTGTGCTATTTGGAGGCCAAACCATCGAAAAGAAACGGGTCCACTTCTGATCAGGCAAAAAAGGCAGCCAGGAACCCCAAGAAAACGCCTGAACACCCACATTTCAAGAACTCCCCCCCCGCTCAAGAACACCTGAAACACCCCCGCTGCACCCCAGATTTTCTCCTCCCCGCCCCCGGTTTTTTCCCCACGACCCCTGAAAAAAACCGCGGCCGGCGGAGCCTCCGGCGCCGGTGCCCATCAGCTTCCTGGGCGGCGCAAAGCAACGGAAGACTGGCCGGTGCCGGTCCTGTGGAGAGATGGTAGAACGAGGCCTCCCAGTTTAGTAGGTTTTAGTATAGGTAGCATTTTAGTATAGATTTTCTTCAAAGTGGTCGATTTTGGTATTTTAGTAGGTTTTAGATAATTTTAGTAGGGGAACCCTCCCCCCAGAAAAAGTCGGGAGAGAAGGGCGCTAATTGCTGGGGGACCCAGTTGCCTCTCAGCTTCTTGTGCTTGGCTGGTTTTGTTTTTTTTTCTGGTTTTACTTTGAGGCTCCCTTCATCTCCCATGGTCACCAGCAAGAAACGCTAAGTTCTGGGATTCAGTTACCACCATTAAAACAATGCTTGGGCTCAGAGGAAAAAAAACATGTTGTCCTACAAACTGGGTCAACCTTTCTTTCCAGTGGAAATCAGTTGAACCTTAAGGACCCGTTTTTTCTGGTGTCAAAAAACCGCTTCCGCTTAGGGCTGGCTGGGCGTCTTCTTGAGCTCCTCCACCTCCGCCTTGAGTCTGGAGACCTGGGCCGGTGACTTGCTTCGAGTCTGAGTGAGTCATGGAGAACCTCCCAGTGAGTCACGAGCAAAACCGATCGGTTTCACAAACGGGTGAAGGGACAAATGGGTGACACTCAAATGGGTGACAAATGAAGGGCCAAATGGGTGACACATGGGTGACAAATGGGAGAAACATTGCCCCACAAGCTTCAGTGGCTAAGGAAAACTGCGCTCCCATGCAAAAAGTTTAACAGAGTCATAATCAAAACCCGGTATTGAAATGGTCGTAATCCCAGAATGCTTCAAGAAATAAGAAGGCGGATATCCGCAGCTAACCGGGTGGCTGGGATCGTCCCTAACCTTCACTTACCCGGGTTTTGATTGTGGCTCATATGGGTCATAACATGATTAGACTTAGGCCCAGTTATAGAATGTATATTCTATTGTTTGCTTCCCTTTGAGGTATCCTACGTCTACCCCGGATAACTTATGCCTCCATTTTGGGGCGGATGAACACCCAGCCACATCGGTCATGCAACAAGCAAAAAAAACAGACGAAAATTGACGGATGGAACCGCAAAAAGGGGGGCCTCTACAAGGGCGGCTCGTCTTTCTTGGAGTTGGTACCCCGAGTTTTGGTGAAACCGAAAGAACAAAAACCGAACATGTCTTTTGGGGGGAGGGTGCGTGAGCCATCGTTTCTTGGAGTTGGTTCCCCTTTTCGCGAGAAACCAACAGCAAGCAAAAAGAACGCCATTCTAAATGGGTTCTAAGAAGCGGGTTCTAGGATACACGCCATGATGGTTCTTCGGTGCCAGCTGGCACCCGTTGGAGCCCCGTGTTGAGCCATAAGCCCTTATCGAAATCGCCCAACGGACTCTCAGCTGAAAAAAAATGCCAACAACACAGTTGTTTAGACATATCTAGGTCCTCCAGATTTGAGAGGTTAGAATAAGGGTACCCTTTTTTTTCTGTAGTCTATTTTGAATAGGGGAACCTTCCCCCCAAGAAAAGGGGTAAAAGGGCGCCTGGCTGGGGGACCTAGCTACGGTCCATTCGGAGATTGAAGCGAAAGCACTTTGCAGGCACGCCTACAAAGAAGCGGAAAGGCGTATGATGCTGCTTCTTACTCGGCAGCTGCTGGCTGCAATCTTGTCGTCGAGCAGAGAGCATCATTCATCGGAAAAATCTCAAAACATGTCCTTTGTGCCCTTCATGTCATCACACCAACGAAACAGGAGGTATGATCATGGAACCACTTGCTTTCAATGTCTCGTAAATTTCTTGTAAATTACCCCCAAACAGGCTCAGATAACCCACATTGTTTACCTAAGCATCGGCATGCTTTCATTGGGGTTCAGGCAGGCCAGTAAAACAAGTAAGACAATATTGTTGGGTTCATATTTCCACCAGTTCTTGGGTCCCAAGGGCCATTCCTTTAATGGGGGCAAGTTGCAGGGACCAGAACTCCGATTTCGTTCACCGAAACGCCGAAACCATCTCTGCTCGTGCCTGGGACGCCTCCTCGTTCTTGGTGGCGGACACCTTGATGGCCTTCGCCCGGTTCGCGTACCGCAGCGTGGACATCGTCTCCTGGAAAAAACTTCGGCGCTTCGGCGCTTCGGCGTCGGAGGCGCAGTTTGGGCGGACGCCCCGCAACGCGTGTGCGTTACAACCCAACGAGGTCTACACTTGGCTATTGAAGTGCACCCCAAATTCGACCGGCGAGAAAGTTGGTCCCTGAAAAGATAAAACTCAGTTGTTCAGTGACCCTGGGAAAAAAAAGGAACCCTTTTTGGGGAAGACCATTTTTGGTGGGGCAGCCACCAAAAAAAGGGGAAAAAGGTTGCCACTGAACAACTGAGAAAAAGGAGACATGTAGCGCATACTAGTTGTCTATGGGACCCTCGTTTCCGGGTCGTAGGATACTGTATACTTGAGTGAATGGCAAGTCACCAATCTGAAATCAGAAATTGGCCCAAAGCATCTTCAAGGTTTCAAGCCGAGATGCGCCGTACAACTCAGTTGAACCTCCCCTCCGGGTCAAACTGACGGACAAAGTCCGTGCCAGGCACGTGGGAAGCGATCCCGTTGTTCACAAGCGTCAAGCATCCATGCCATCTAGTGCCGATCTCTCCCAAGAGCCCAACTTGCTCGTTTGCAGGCTGGCGTGTGCTTGTGGCTCATGGATATCAAGGATTTGGTTTTGGACCCTCAAACTAGCTGTAAAAGGGGATATTGCCCCAAACTTCTGGGGTGAACCTTAAGAAGCCAGGCAGAATTTTGGGAGTCCCCGACCATCCACGAAATACGCATTCCGCGCCTCGTAGTTGCATGCTGCGGGCGACAGTGTGGCCAGCATGGTGCAGAGGGAGTTGCCGCCCAGGGACTCTTGCCTCGATTTGCAATAAAGAGGGTCCAACTAATTAGTTTTGCCAACTACTGTGGTTCCAACATGGGCAAGGTAGAAAGAACATTGGCCGTGTCAGCCAAGTTTTCTTCCAAGTTGGTGAAGCTGTTTTTGCTTGGAGGTCGTTTGATTTTGGTTCCAACATGGTTCAGGTTTGCATGCTCCTTACTTCGACCTGTAGTAGAACCACCTCCTGAAATGGCCAGCAGGAATCGGTTTTGGGTATCTCTCCCGAATTGTGGTTCTAAAGAATCGCTGATCCAACTGTCGATGCTGCGAACCCAAGTAGCCCGTATTATTTTTCAAGAGGGCCTGGATGAATTGCGGGTCTGAGTTTTGTGGGTAATCTGAGTGTGGCCCCCATTCTCGTCCTCACCATCACAACGCCAAACTACCAAGAATTCTGTGGGTGAGCAATAACAATCAGCCTGAAACATCCTGAGACGGATCGCAAGTAACCTTCATCGAGTGAGGTCACAAACTCACCTGCCGGAAGCGCGCTTCCGCTTGCCCGTGAAAGGCCTTGCGCGACATATGTCTAGTGGGCTGTCCAAATTAGTGGGCCTTCCGAATGAACCTCGGCACACATGAACCCAAAATGGGACCCAAAGGAGTACACCCCATGAACCTGCATGGGCAACATAGGCCTCGCATCAGAAAGTTGGTAGACTTTCTTAAGGCCGCCCACCGGCGGAAAGGCAAAACATTGCCACGCTGCACATGGCACGACCAGGGACATGCAAGTGTCCCATCTGGACAGAAGCAGCTGCATGTTCCTAAAAGTTGGTTGAAAGGAAAGTCGTGGCAACCCCTCCATTTGTTGTCACCTATTCAAAGAGACCCCTCCGTTGAGATAGCGAAAAGCAACTCACGGCTTTTGCGGGGGTCGCCTGGTCAAAAAGACCCCTCCTTTGAGATTGCCTTAAAGAAAAACTTGTCAAACAAAACCATTTGCCGGGGCCAACGGCTCTCCAAAATCCCGCTGGTGCTTTTTTTGGCTTCCCCATGCAAAGGCTGAGGTGCAGCACGCGGGTCAACTTGGAGTTGCGATACGGGATGAAGACTTTCTTCCCGTTCGCTGTCCTTCGCTGCACAGCGCGGCCCCATCTTCTTCCAAAGTGTCAGACATGTAGTTTTCTGTATCAACATGGCGCTGGGCCTCCCTTTTCTCCCTCGGTATCCATGACTAGACGTAAAAACGGCACGTCCACACGTGAGCACATCGTCCATTCGTATGTATGCAACGGTATCACTGTGTAGGGCAGGATAAATCTAGGTATGTGCGTATGCGCGTATGTATGTACGTGTCCATGTACGTGTACTACGTATGTATAGGTGTGTATACGTATGTGTATAGGCGTTTATACGTATGTGTATAGGTGTGTATACGTATGTGTATGTGTGGGTATGTATGTATGTGCATGTGTGTGTATCTATGTGGATGTATGTGTATGTATGTGTATGTATGTGTATGTATGTGTATGTATGTAAGTATGTAAGTATGTAAGTATGTAAGTATGTAAGTATGTAAGTATCTAAGTATGTATGTATGTATGTAAGTATGTAAGTAAGTAAGTATGTAAGTAAGTATGTATGTATGTATGCATGTATGTATGCATGTATGTGTATGTATGTATGTATGTATGTATGTATGTATGTATGTATGTATGTATGTATGTATGTATGTATGTATGTATGTATGTATGTATGTATGTATGTATGTATGTATGTATGTATGTATGTATGTATGTATGTATGTATGTATGTATGTATGTGTATGCGCGTCTGTGCTTCTACCTAGTATGACTTTTGGTCGCTTCTGGGTGCCAGGCTGAGTCCAAGTGTCATTTTGCTGCGATGGCTCATCTTGCAGCCTGTACTACTTCCTCTGAGTGGCCCCTCTTTTGCGGCACGCTAGGACGAGGCTCAGTGTGTGGCTGCGGCGGATGAAGGAAAACTGCCGTCTGAGGATGTCATGCCCTTATTGCCGTGCAGTCGCGGTTGCGACCTGGTGCGGGGTGGCGGGCCTGACTAGGCAGCGCGTCCCCTGTGCTACACTTATTTGGGTCTCCGAGCCTGAGGGGCGCTTGGCTAGCTTGAACTCTAAGTGAGGAGGTGATGACGTTTAGGAGGGGTGGCGCCTTAGGCAGTGGCTCGGCGCCTCTCGCCTAGCGCATCTGGTTGCACTGACTCACTGACTCACTGACTCACTGACTCACTGACTCACTGACTCACTGACTCACTGACTCACTCTAAATCTGCAAGTCTGGGCTTGCCCTTCAATTGATTCACCGGCATGTTGCTTCTTCGCCTACGAACCATTCCACTGGATCCGGGACTTTTCGGCCAAGAATCTCCACCAGTGCGTTGATCACGTTGCCCAGTGCACCTTGGCCCGGGAGCAAAAACCCCCAAGGATCCTACCCAGGACGGGTTCCCACATTGTGGGCGTCTTTTTTTGGGGGGCCCCCCCTCTTGGGTGGTTTCAAAGAGAAGAACCAGAAGGCAACCGTCGAAATTTGGAAACCCACACATTGGAGAATATGTTCCGAGCGGAGTACCCTCCCCTAAAAAGCTGCCAGAAGAAACTTTGCAGTACCATTCATGGGTTCGATTCTGCCCATCCAAAACCCCTGAAAAGTTCTTAGATGCTGAATGGAAGCTGCCAGAATCTAAGAACCCCTGGGTGCTTAGACAAGTGTCTTTTTGGGACGAAGCTTATCTGGGATCTTGATGAGGTCCGTCCGTACGCCAGGGATCCGGTGACTGGCTTTTCGAAGGCGAGGAACCAGAAACTACCCAGGATGTGTCCGTGCCGCAGGATCCTCTGTTTAAACCCGAGAATGGATCCGAATGCGAGCTAATTAGTAGAACTCCTGAATCCGCCACTTTGAAAAGATTCACTCCAGTGGGCATCCCAATGTTCTGCCGGGTTCCTCGCTTTGTTTTCCGAAACACTCCAGGCACCTGTTGGCACATCAGCCAACCAAAAAAACACGAGGCGGGACAAGAGCTGGACCTAACAAGGTGCACAGGACCTTCAGGGGACGGGAATTTGGGCTCGCTGAGCCGCACCCGAAACCCATTGACATTTGGCTCTACGTGGCAATTGTCCAAATTTATGTCGGTCGTACCTCACGAAACCGGGTAGGAACTGAACCTAAAAAAACGGGCCTTTTTGGGCCTCGCCTTTGTTGGGCGCCCGGTGCTCGCACTTCCTGGAGTAGCCAAGACTTTTAACGCTCTTCCCACAAAGTGACTAAGATCCAGGAACTCGGGGGGTGCGCACAAGGTGGTGCTTTGAGGACAATAGATGGCCCTGGCCTGGTAGGCTCTGAAACCAGGTCCCGGCCAGGAATCGCCATCTATGTTCTACCAAAACAAGCAAAAAGGACACCTACTGTACGTGGACAAGAGCCCGCACCACCCAAGAAACCTGGAAATGCTGCTTCCATCTCCTTTCATGGGGTTGGCTTTCTCCGGAGTTCGCCCACCATCTCATAGAGTGGGCAAAACGGGCGCAACCAGAAAGGCGCCCAGGCGCTCAGGGACTTGTTGATGTTCGCGCCTTCCTTGAGCGTCTGCCCCGAGGCCCCGGTGCCCTTCTGCCGCTCGGAGCCCGCGAGGTCCACCAAGTTCAGCTTCGCGAAGACGTTCCTCGCGAGGCATGCGCCGCGCGGTTGGCGCGGTTGCCCCCCCCTAATTTGTTGGTTTTTGTGCTTTTGTTTGCTCTTGGCGGGGGGGGGGGGGGGAAGGGGCATTTTCTTCGAGGGGGGCGGGGTGGGGGTCCAATGGGATGGGCCGTTTTGAGGGCACCAAGATTGAGGTTGGCAAGGAAACCAAAATCCATTTTGAGGGTGGCCGTATTCTACGACACACCCAAATGGGGTTGGGTTTCCTATGGTCAGCTGGACCCAAAAACACACACCGCCGGAGGTGGGTGTGTGTTGTGCCCCTTTCCGGTTGGAAGGACAACCACCGGACGCAACCCAACACCCCACTTTACTTGTGGCTTGGCAATTTGGAGAGCTCCAGGGTCTTGGTTGTCTAATCAACTTTCACGGGGGTTCTCATGGTATCACAGAGCATGGCAAATTTTTGGAGGAGACCCCAAATGGCCCAAGTGAAAAACATTTTGAAAGGTTCTCAATCCATTCACTTTTGGGGCCCATCTAGAAACCGGCTTGGATGTTCATTTTGTGAATCCCTGTAGAATATCAAAAAGAGTACCAAAAGATTCCTAAAAACAGGACCAATACGGGAACCCCGTGTCCCGTGGAAAAAATGAGAGCATGTTCAGTAGTGATAGATTCCCTTTAAAACCAACAGGGAAAATATGAATCATATTCATTTCAGCAAGTGGAAGAACACATGTTAAGACCACGCATCTTTTTGGGGACCCCAAAAATCCACCGGGCAAGCTTGAGGATGTCACGTGGATGCTCTGAGGGCCCCCGCAAAATTTGCGCGGTGACAACGGGGCCAGTTCCCAAGGACGAGTCCGCTTTGGATCGTTTCTATTGGAACATGTCCGTGCATTTGAGGGTACGCCCCCTGGAAAATATGAGAAAGATATGACCAGTAGTGAAACCGATTCCCTTTAAAACCAGAAGGGAAACTATGACATATTCAAATTTCCGCTAAATGGATGTTTTGAAAGAAGGTGCCCAAACAGCTCGGCTCTGAACTCCAAAAAATGAGATTTGATTCTGGTGAGGCAGCCACTTCGCGCGAACGGGACTATGGATTTGAATCCCTGCCTGGAGGTATCTTCCTCGTCCTTCTGGTGAATCTTGATGGTAAAAATGGAGTGAGACCTGCGAAGCTTCGGGCCCCCGTTCGACCACTGCCGCTGTGGAGTGAACTAAGCTCCCCGTCACATGAAAGTTACCTTCCATGGGCTGCGACCTGCGCAGAGGGCTGTATGTCCCATGTAGTTCGGCGACCATTACATAGAATCCTGGCAACTTACAACTAATTGGTAATTCACCCTCCGAAAATACAGGAATCCTGTGGAGAAAACATATATTCATGGGTGACGTCGCAACCTCCCTCCAGGAGTGTCGCGATGATTTGGCCAAATGGAATGCAAGCAGAGTACCGATTACCATCGTGTGCAGCAACAAGACGATGCAAGCGGCAACTTGCGCACTTACGAAAGCATGGACGCTGAAGCGCTCTCTTCACTTTTGCGTCCCCCCATCACAAGGTTGTATAGCTTGGCAACTGCAAACGAGCCGACACCTCCAGCGTTTGCCCCTAGCGAACAAATCAAACGTTTAGACAGAAAATAAAAACACATGCAAGAAAAGAAAGTAACTTCGCCCCCCTCCCGAAAGAAACAAAAACAGAAAAAGACAAAAAGAAGAATAAAACAACATGAGCCACCTGAAGCGACCATTTTGCAGTCCAAGCCCCGTTTGTTGTTGTCTTTTTCTTTTGGGGGGGGGGGCTGGAGGGGGAGTGGCGCTTTTGGGGAGGATTTAGGCCTTTGGAGGCGCAGGGAGCAAGGTGTTTTGGCCACATTTTGAGGGTCATCCATTTTGGACCACCCCAAAAACCCTGGAATGATGATTCTCTTGTAAATACCAACAAATGTGGTGCGAAATGGATTTCGCAACCATCCACAGTAGGGTAAGATTGGCCCCAGATGAATCAGCCCCAGTTTACTAGGGGGGTGTCCCTTGGAGGGGAACACTTTGCTATTCTGAGGGTACTTGGTGATCGGCCCACACAGCTCCCACGCTGTGCCTGGAGCTGACGGAGTTCATCAGAGTCGAGGACACCGCCCGGCTCTTGTTGCCGTTCTCCAGCAACGTCTCGACCTTCCCCACGTCCTCCGCCACGATCTCCTTGGATCGATCCGACAAAACGCCGAGCCGGTGCCGGGAAAAGCCGAAGACCCCTGAAACAGCGTCTCCCTTTTGGAGCGGAAAATGGGTGAAGGAGAAGAACCAAACCCAACATGCGGAACCAAAACGAAAAACGAGGCAAAGATTTGCCGGCGCCGATGTTCCAAAAACATCAAGGGGTGTCAACTTTAATTCAGGTCCCGAGCTGCTGCAAACTGCCCAATTTTTGGTGTCCTGTTGGGTCAGCTTGGCTGATCGATGGATTCTGGCACTTCGTTCGAAGATGGCAACCAGAGGTTGAACTCAGCTCCCGCAGTCAGTCTCATGATTTTGCCCTTTGGGGTCTGGACTCCTACAACTAGGCCACAATTGAAGGCAAACTGGGGCTTATCAGGGGTTCATATGTGGGCGACCCCAGCTCTTGTGTTCCGAAGGGATTCCCTTACCAAGGTGAAAAGGCCCTCAACAAAAGCACAGATCCAAAGGTCACACTGGTACACTCAGCCGTTGAAACAGAAACATGGTGGGAAATAACCTCTTCTCTGTACTAAAGTGCCACCCATATACATAGCCTACCCTAAGCTAAAACTCCATTTGCTTGAGATATTTCCAGTAGTGCTAGATTCCCTTTAACACCAACAGGGGAAAGTATAAATCATATTAATTTCAGCAAGTGGAAGAAAACACCTTTTGCGACCACGACCACCCCATCTTTCTAGAGACCCTTAAAAAAACCTGGCTTCAACACATTTTACGACCACCCATCTTTTTGGAGACCCCCCCCCCCCACAAAAAAAAACATGGCTTCGGCCGAGTGGCTGTGAGGTCCTTCACGTAGATGCCCATCACCGGATGCTCCTTGATCTGCAGCCCTCCGCCGAGCTTGGTGCGGTCGGCCACGGGGTTCAGCAGGTCGAAGATGATCTCGTTGTAGATCTCGAAGAACCTCAACCAGCCCCGCTGCCAACCCCCACCCCCACACACACACAAGGAAACAAACACTGGATATGGGACAGCACACTTTGTTTGGGATTGTTTGGGATTGTTTGGGATTGTTTGGGATTGTTTGGGGAATTTTGGTTTGGGCGATAGACACATGCCCCCACCACCCCCAAACACACCACACACAGACACACACACACACACACACAGACACAGACACACAGACACACAAATACACAAACACACACCCCACAAAACACACACACACACACACACACGTACGGCCAACACACCTCCAGTTTCGGGTCCATCTTCTGTCTAAACTAGAATCTCGAAGAAGAACTCGCGGCCGTGTCCCACACCACCCCCAAAGCAACCTCCAAACATGGTCCATGTACACCCCCCCAAAAAAACAAACACATGTTACGTCATTTTGTTGAGGGATGTGTTTCCTCAACTGAGTCAGAATCAAAACCGATCGGAACTAAAATTGTCTACCCGGAACCATGTAAATGATCTCGTTGTAAATTTGGAAGAACCTAATTCGGACCTCAAACACACACACACACACAGACACACAAACACCCAGACACACAGACACACAGACACACAGACACACAGAGACACAGACACACAGACACACAGACACGCAAACACGCAGACACACAGACACACAGACACACAGACACACAGACACACAGACACACAAACAAACACACCTCCAAAAATCATCCATGTTAGGCTTTTCCCAAGGGGGGTGGTTGGGGGGTCCCCAGCCCAGCTTGGTACAAACAAGAAGATGCTCATACAGTCTGCTTCATACTTGGTCTAGACTAGAATCTCCCGGTCCAACTCTGACTGGGCTGTCCGTTTTCAGATCCGCGGCTAGAAGTGAATAGCTTGCAGGACACCCAACCACCAAACGAACTAAACACCTCTCAAAACCTAAGGAACCGGATGGCGGGGAACCACCAAGAGATGCTCTGGTCTGCTTCATATTTCCTCTGTGGCACATATGTGCATTTTTCTGGGAGGAGCGCATGCTCAGGTGAAACATGCCTGGAGGCTTCATGAGCTGTAGCAAGCAGAGTCACTACAACACATATATATATATATATGAGCACAGCTAGTGCAGTGTGGTCAACCCAACATCCCACGACAAGTTTGGTATAAGATGAATCCTACACTCTTGTGGGGTCCTTATATGTTTACTGCATGCAGACACTCAAAGTTGGCAAACCCTCAAAAACCAAAAGGCAAAAAAACTGGTTCTGGGCAAGTGAGTTTGTTTTAAAACATCGGCATGACATCTTAGTGTCATACTTCACTGCACTCAAATATCGCCCTTTCTCTGTCAGAGTTGGGCCAAGCGTCTGTGTCCGTCCTTCCCTACCAAGTTACGTTGCTTCCACACATCCGGGTTTTCAACACAGGGCTACCCTAAAGGACCTGCCGAAAGCAGCAGTTCTTCTAATCCTCCGCTTACTTTCACATGGAACCTAACTAGGAGGCCCCCAAAAAGGAGATTCATCTATTTTGATGTCGCCCTTTTTCATCTATTTTCGAAAGGAACCCAATCTTTAGGGTCTCTCCCTGATTGTTTTCCACATCCCCCAAGGGGGGTTCTATTTCGGTCGGGTTGCGAGCACATGACCAGAAATCTGCACGTCGAGCTGGACTGCTTCTCGGCGATCTGCGCGAAGAGCTCCTCCAGAGATCGGAGCTCATCGGTTTGGGGGGGCGGGGGGGTTCGGCGAAGAGCTCCTCGAGTATTGACCCCGGATCTAAGTAGAACTGCTGGATTTTGATCGGGGGGTGTCCAATTCCTAGTGGAGATTCGGCACTTTTGGAGGGAACACCCCCCTAATGGGACGGGTTTATTAATCCTGGGTCAACATTAGAGAGAGGCTAGAATAGGTTGGTACCCGACTTTTTTCCTGTTTTGTCAATTCTAGTAGGGTTCCTAGGAGAACCCTCCCCCCAAAAAGGGTCAAAGGGCACTACTAGGAACCTAGTCGGTTTTCCGTGGCGAAGTCGGTCGTCAATTTGAATCGCCGCGAAGGGTCCCGAAGGATTCCTTGCCGATTTCCAGTCAAAGAATGGCCTTAGGACCCAATTTGGATGATGACACATCTTATTGAAAAGCCTCCTCATTTCGAAGGTATAAATTTAACTGTTGGCTTGTGCATCTTTGAGTCGCTCAAAAGGTAGTGTGTTTGCCCATCTAGGCGGAGACCTCCCAAAAACTCTCACAGGCGTTGCCAAGCCAAAAAGGTGATGCTTAAAGCAATCCAAAAAGGGAATTGTAGGCACCCCTCATTGACTGCCATCGTCCAAAATTTCAACAGGACACGTAGGCTCCCTGGTTGTGGCTATCATTTGCACAAAACAAACAAGAAACTCTTGGGCCGCACTCACCAAGCTAGAAACGGAGGTGAATCCGCACCAATGTTCTGCGGCTCGCGCGCAACCTGCCCACTCCAAAACAAAGGGTAGACACGTCCCCATTGCAGGGCTGACCGCACGCTTAGCTCTGAAAGCCAACCAACCAAGCATAAGGTGACCTTTTGAACAAGTAGACGGGCTTCCCTGGTAGATGCATGGCCTAAAACCCATCTAAACCAGTGGAACTCTTTGCCCAAACCAAGCTGAAAGGGCATGCAAACAAGCAGATTCCACCAACGGTGCCTCGCCTCGCAAGGTGGGGGGCCAGCGCCCGAAGGCTGCAGGATCTCGCTAGATAAGGCTATGTGGGGGGAATAGGGAAACGGATTTCCCGTAAAATGGCTCCGGGTGTCCTTTTGGAAACGGGAATAGGGAATAGGGAAATGGATCCCATAAATGTGAGAACAGGGAAATGGACCCGCCTAAAATGGCTTCCGGTGTCCTTTTGGTGTCCCTTGACACACACACACAGATTCCGTAAACTAGCGTCGGGTGTCCTTTAGGCGTCCCAAGGGACACCAATCCAAGAAAACACACACACAGACACGGACACAGACACGGACACAGACACAGACACAGACACACAAAGACACAGAAACACACAGAGAAACAGAGAGACACACAGAGACACGCAGAGACACGCAGAGACACACAGAGACACACAGAGACACACAGAGACACACAGAGACACGCAGAGACACACAGAGACACACACACACAGAGACACGCAGAGACACACAGAGACACGCAGAGACACACAGAGAGACACACAGAGAGACACACAGAGACACACAGAGAGACACAGAGAGACACAGAAAGACACAGAGACACAGAGAGACACAGAGAGACACAGAGAGACACAGAGAGACACAGAGAGACACACAGAGACACACAGAGAGACACAGAGAGACACAGAGACACACAGAGAGACACAGAGAGACACAGAGAGACACAGAGAGACACAGAGAGACACAGAGAGACACAGAGACACACAGAGACACACAGAGACACACAAAAACACAGAGAGACACAGAGAGACACAGAGAGACACAGAGAGACACAGAGACACACAGAGAGACACAGAGACACACAAAAACACACGGAGGCACACAGAGACACATAGAGACACATAGAGACACAGAGAGACACAGAGAGACACAGAGAGACACAGAGAGACACAGAGAGACACAGAGACACAGAGAGACACAGAGAGACACAGACAGACACAGAGACACACAGAGACACACAGAGACACACAGAGACACAGAGAGACACAGAGAGACACACACACACACACACTGCGTCGGAACGGCAACACTTTCCTTGGTGGTTCGTTGATCCCTTGCCAAAAGTTAAGCTTCTAGTGGGATATGTCATAAACACATTTACCCTCTAAAAGCCAAAGGAACCATATATGGCTGGATCCAAACTCCCCAAGTGCTGTACTGTGAAACTAAACGAAGGCATAGGGCTTAGCACTAGGTCCTCCAGTAGAGAGGTTAGAATAAGGGCACCCTTTTTTCTGTAGCCTATTTTAGTAGGGGAGCCCTACCCCCAAAAAAGGAGCATGTCACTCGTTTGTCTTTTTCGCGCCACTTTGGGCTCCAAGAGATCCGGTGGCATTGGATCCGAGAGGCCCAATCCAAGCTCGGTCGGTGTTCGGGGGAGGGGCCAAACTCAGGCTCTCAAGGGAAAATCAAGGAACACAAAAAGGGCAAGAGAGCAAACAGGTGAGCTTGAGTCTGGCAATACAATGTTGTTTTTGAGCACTGGTTTGTACCCCCCTCCCAATCCTTGAAAACATCCAAAGTACAGTAGGCCCTCCCCACCAAACATATATACATATGTATGTATATATATATGGGCGTGATTGACCAAGGCTCCTGGCTTTGCGGCTGGCTTTTTTTCGACCAACCCCAACAGGGGCTGGGCTTTCTTTGAGTCCCACTCCGATCGCCTCAAAGAGTGACACCGCCTGAGAGGTGTGAGAGCCATCGGATCGACTGGATCGGCCAAGGTAACCATTTGTCTGTGGCTCAAACAAAAAGGTGCCAAAATGGCACCTTGGTAAATGGAACCAAAGACTACAACCTGCGCAACCCTAGTTATGAAATTTTGAGCCACATCCATTTCTTCGTTTTTTTTTAAAAGAGAGCACGAAACTTGCCCGTTTCCAGATCCCCTGCTAGCTTAAATTGTGGGTTAAATGGAAACCACCAACCACTAAACGGCGAAGCTCAGGGACCGGATGGCTGGGAGCCAAGCAAACTGCTCCAAACCCGAGTGCCTCAAGTCCGAAACGGGACGTTCCGATCGGAAGTGAGCTAGACACGGTGTGGTTCCTTTGGAGTTGCTAATGTTGACCCCGGATGAATAAACCAACCGGTTTGTTAATATGGGGGTGAACACCCCTCCAAAAGTGGTCTAAATCCCCACTAAAACCAGGGAAAAGCACCCCTATATTAATAAACAGGGGTTTATTCATCCGGGGTCAACATTAGCCTGTGGTCGGTTGCTTAGGGAAACTAAAGGGACACTCCATCTTGTGCCCTTCACATAGCTCTGTTGGCACTCCCGGTCGGCCCGGCCCATTTTCTCCTCATTCACTCGTGGGATGATGCCCCGCAAATCTCCAGCAGCGCCCGTCATCGTGAAACTCTTGCCTTGGACAAAGCCACTTCTCAGATCAACGGAAAGCACCAGCACAAAACCCAAACTCCTTCTGGGGGTTGACCTTCCTTTTTGAGTACTGACACCAACCAAACAAACATAGGTGACCAAAACTGGAAAATAGTTTGCGTTTCCCTGGTAAACGGATGGCATAACAACCATCTATACCGGTGGAACTCATCTATTTCGAATCAAACTCACCGATCAAAAGGACACCATGATGTTGGAAGACTACTCCCCAGATCAACGCCTTGGATAAAACTTCTCCACGGAAGGCACCAACGAAGACCCGGACTGCCCCAAGCACTGGCATGGGCGCTTCCACTTACTTGTTGTCTTGAAAATACATGGAGAAATGGGCCCCTGGGTTGGTGAAGGGACAACAAGGACAGCACACCCTGTAGGGTCCATACCCTTGGGTAAACAGTCTGATCCAGTCGATTGCCACAAACCCAGCTCTAAACTTCAGTCTAAAGGTCTAAGGAACCGTATGAAATCCATTTCGCACCACCAAAGAAACCCTGGAATGATGAGTCCCCTATAAATACTAACAAGCAGGGGGTTCCCATTGTTTCAAAGTGGTGCGAAATGGAGTTCGCAACCATCCACAGTATGGCCCTATGGCCGGGATGGAGCAAACCAAATGCGAGCGCGGTTCGGATGGCTCCGAAGGGCTTGAATGGTAGATCCTGTTTACTGGGCTGTGCAAAATGGTGGGATATGTCATAAACATCTCTAAACTCCAACCATGTTTTTGTCTGGATCCCATCTCCTCAAGGGCTGTACTTTGAAACTGAACTAGGTCCTCCAGTAGAGAGATGTTAGAATGAGGGTACCCGACTTTTTTTCAGGACGTCTATTTTAGTAGGGGAACCCTCCCCCCAAAAAAGAGGGTTAAAAAGGGCACTACTGGGGGACCTAGTGGTAGATCCTGTTTACTGGGCTGTTCAAAATGGTCCTTGCTGGCCAATGCCAATCCATCCCCATGTGGTTTCCCCACTACGAAGCAAACCACCTTCGTAACTAAAGGTAAGGATCTGGCGGACTGCCTTTGAACAGACCAGGCTGCAGAATTCCAGTGAACAGCTTGGGCGTTCCAAAATATATGGCCGTGGGTCAAAACCAATGCTTGGTTGAGAACCTATTTTAGTGGGAATTGGGATGTTCATTGCCCATGGCCATAATGTTGACCTCATATTTAGAAACCTTCGCGTATTTGCACAAGCCAAATCCCAGAACGTATTTAGAAACCCCCCCCCCCCCCCGTAATTGCACAATCCGGCTTGGCCCAGGAAATCACAAAAAAAAAGGCTCAGCTCCTAGTGCGTGACTGAAAGCGATTACCCAGCCAGGCCCTGCGATTTACCCAGCCACAAAAAGTCGTATTGAACGAAGGCGCTGACCAACAGCCAGGTAAGGAATCTCCGGGATCCGCCGGAAGCTTCTAATTACAGGCCCCCCTCCGTACGACCTTAGGGGGGTGAGGGGGGGGGGTTTTGGGACACCACTCCCTAACCTCAATCCAAACCACCAATCAAAGAGAAGCTGATATTTTGGTTGGATACGCTTTAACATGGGTTGAAATCCAAAAACCCAAGCCACCAAACCACCACTCCAACCCACCAACCTGACGGGTGGTTCCTGACGCCGCCGGCCCCGGCTGTACCCATGCGGTCGGGCGGCCGCTGCCTGTCTGGCCATAGGCGAAGATGGTGCCGTTGTAGCCCTCGAAGGTCTTCTGCAGGGCCTCGGGGTCACACTCCATGTGGAGAATTCATTCTCTCTAAAGCTCCCGCTAAGAATTAGACATATGCATTTACGTGTGTCTATATATACACATACATAAATACATATATATATATATATGTAGATACATATATACATGTCATGTACACATTCCCTTTGAGGGTAGGTGTTGGGGAGGGCGCGCCATATACAGAAATATGTATACATATGTATATATATATATATATATATGTTTGTCAGATTCTTGAGAATACCGTTTTTGTGGTGTTAAAGGGGACCCAAAAAGGAAAACCACCATTTTGAGGGGCCCCCTAAGAAGAGACCCTCATACTTACAAACACATATTGATTGACTACCCTGCCTCAGTCGAACATGGAAGCTCCCAAAAGCTCTGGGTTCTACTTGAGAGCTCAGCGCTCTATTTGGTATGCCCGCTAACCGCCGGCTTGGGGTTTGCAACCTAGCTGTGGCTAACGACTTTGTGACTATGGATGTCCAGCACTCACAGGGTGAAAGGTGGCACTACAAGGAGGATGACACAGTGCAGCACCTAGAAAGATCGCACCAGTCAGCGCCGGTTCCACCGTTTGCTTTTGAACAAAACAATAAAGAACAACACAGACACGCGAGTTGAACATCCCAGAAAGCCCCAGGCAATGGCGGGTTTCTCTCACGTCCCTTGAGACATCTCGCCGAGGCACGGGCCTACCTACTGACTCATAGATCTGGGACTGCGCCACAGAGAGGCCAAAGACAATGTCCTTGGAGAGAAATCCCACACTCCCAAAGTTTTGGTTTGGATTTGTGATTTGGTGGCTTCGGAGGGCTTGTTGCCCTCTACAAGAACGAAGGTTCAAGTAGCTTGGTGGGTAAGGAGGGGTTTCCCATTTACCATCAACAAGAACCAGGGGTTCAAATCCAAACCGAACCATGCTGGGCTGTTCGTTTTCTGATCCCTTGCTAAAAGCTTTTAACTTGTGGGTTAAATGGAACCCCAAAAACCGAGAAAAGAAGAAGAACAACAACGGGATGGAACCACCAAGCATAGTCACGTTCACAAGACAATCATGTGTGTTATGTTTGTCGTATGTTGTTGCTGAAATCTGCTTCCTCTGCTTTCAAGGCAAAAACAGGTCATGATGGGACATGGGTGTGTCACGTGGGGGAACACTGCAACGGGTGGTTCGCTGTAGAGCTCCTAAGCAAAACCCCACCTCCTCGGTGGGCACAAAGCCGACATCAAACGAAAAATCAGCTTGCCTGTGTTTTGGAGGACCGAGGTGGTCAGCAGGTCACTTAGTGCAGCAAAAAATCCGTCACTTAGTGCAGTCAGAACCCAAGTGTTAAACAGGTCACTTAGTGCAGCAAAAAACCCGTCACTTAGTGCAGTCAGAACCCAGGTGTTAAGCCGGTCAGTTCAATAAAATCAACGGGCCCAACGCGCTCAATGGGCTCGACAAGCCCAACCCGCTCAATGGGCCCAACGAACTCAACAGGCCAAAGCTCCCAACGGGCCCACAGGCCCAACGGGCTTAACGGGCCCAACGGGCTCAACGGAATCAACGGGCCCAACGGGCTCAACGGGCCCAACGGGCCCAGCGGTCCCAACGACCCCGGCGGGCCCAACACAAACATACATTAAGTTACAGTACACGCATGAACTGCGTTGCAATACATCTAGTACACACATTACATTACATTAACACATACACAGACTGATGATGCATGCATGCATACAAACATACATACATACATACATACATACATACATACATACATACATACATACATACATACACAGACACATACACACACATACATACATACATATATACATTACATACATACTCACATAACACACATACATACATACGTACATAGCATACATACCATACACGACATTACATTACATTACATTACATTACGTTACATTACATTACATTACATACATAACACTACATACATACATACATACATACATACATACATACATACATACATACATACATACATACATACATACATACATACATACATACATACATACATCAAAACAAAACAAACAAACAAACAAACAAACAAACAAACAAACAAACAAACATACATGCATACATACATACATGCACATATACGTACATACATACATACATGCATACATAGCATAGCATAGCATAGCATAGCATAGCATAGCATAGCATAGCATAGCATAGCATAGCATAGCAGAGCATAGCATACATACATACATTCATACATACCACAACATACATTACATACATACATACAACTTTCTTACATACATACTTACATACATACATAGCGCAACATAACACAAATACATACATACATACATACGTACGTACGCACGTACGTACATACACACACATACATACATACATACACACACACGTACATACATTACATACATACATGCAGAACATACATACTTGCGATGCATAACATACATAACATACACACACGCATACATCACATTACATTACAATAAACTATATTACAATACAAAAATACATAACACTACACACATAACATAACATAACATAACATAACATGACTCAATATAGCCTAAAATACAATAACATAACATACTTATATACATGAGAGTTTACCCCATCTTCCTTGTTCCACAAACGGTCTTCCGCCTCGCCCTTCCGCGAACCTTCCGCAAACTTCCGCGATGCAGGTAAAACCACACTTTTTGGCACGTGTCTAAACACATGTAAGTTCTTGTAAAGAAAAAGTAAAGCGAGCCAAGACGAAGAGCCAGAGCAGGGGGCTCAGCGGTCCGAACGGGCTCAGCGGGCCTAACGGGCTCAACAGGCCCAACGGGCCCAACGGGCTCAAGCCCAACGCAAGGCCCAACGGGCCCAACGAGCACAGCGGGCTCAACGGTCCCAACAGGCCCAGCAGTCCCAACAGCCCCAGCGGTCCCAACAGCCCCAACGGGCCCAACAAGCCCAACAGCCCCAACGGGCCCAACAAGCCCAACAGGCCCGACGGGCTCAACGGGCCACGGGCTCAACGGGCCCGTGAAGGTGAAAGTGACTGCCGCACTAAGCGACAGGATTTGCGCCGCACTAAGCGACAGGATTTGGACCGCACGGAGCGACCGCCTGACCTTTGGAGGTTGGGCCTCTTCCCCATGTGGTGTTGATTGAAAGGTTTGGAGGTTTGGGGGGGGGGGGGGGGAACCTTTCCCATGTAGGTGTCAAAAGGAAGTGGGGTTCAATCCCCAGTACCAATTCATAGTCCTAGCCACCGCTTAAGGGGTACCTCACGCAACATGCCCTGCCCTCGAATCCATTATTCAATTCATGACTCGTAACATCTGGTTGGAAATCAACAACCACTCAGTCCACCAGGCTGACAAAATCTAAGCCAATATTTGGCCATGGGTCAAAATCCAAATCGTACCCCTAGTGAACATCCCTATCCCAACTAAAATAGACCAAAATGGGCAGTGCACCTACCCCAAAATGGTACCATTGGTTTTGACCCATTTATCTTGCATAGTTCGGGTGCAAGGGAATGGGGGTTACTGCAAGCGCCCTTCACGTTTCTGGTGCTTGCCGCCAAACAGAGAGCCCACACCTCATTGAGAAGGGGTCCGCATTTTATCAATATCAAAGTACTCCCTAAGTGGTGGCTTGAAGGGAAACAATCCAACTACTGACGTTGATAGCCCCAGAAAAGGTCAAAATCATAACTCCAAGATTGAAATTGTGATTTGCGGCAAATCAGGCGCAAAGCTTGCCACTGGTCCCCATGAGACAAATCTAAGTCCCTAACTAATTCCGCCAAATTGCCTCCGTTGAAAGGCTTCCCAACAAGACACATGCACGATCCCAAATTTCCCACGACCAGCTCCCCCCACCCTTCCCAGTTCATAGTTGGTGTTTCCCCATGAACCCAACTTGGAGGTGTTCCCCAAAAAACCACCAGGAGAGGTCCTCCAGTGAAGAGATTAGAATAAGTTGGTACCAACTTCTTTTGTTTGTAGTCTATAGTAGGGGAACCCTCCCAACCAAAAAAGGGGAGAGAAGGGCACTGGGGGACCTAGACCCAGTTCAGGGAAGGTTTCCAGTCCATCTCAAAGCTCGAGCTCGGTGATATCCGCGACGGCAACTTCGCCCTACCCCTGGACCCCTTGGAACCCTCCGTGAAAGCTATTTCAAGCACGAGAGCTTTCATCATTCACCTTGAACTCCAAAACAAACACCATGAACCAACCTGAAACGTTGGGAGCCCCCAAGAACAAAAAGCAACCAAAAGCCGTCGCCATGAAAACCCAAAAAGCAATGCTTTCGTCCTTCACCAACTTCAAATCCAAAACCACACATGGAAAAAAAGGAAGAAACAAAAAACAAGTCATGTGGGCGCCGAACTCGAACTCCAACTCTAACTCGATGTGCCGCGCTGCGAAGGCGAACTTCCCGGGCTCGTCGTGGGCGTTGGGGTCGCTCAGCACCACCTGCCCCGCCTCCCCCTCCTCGCCAAAGGCCTCCAAAGCGCGCGAGTCCCAGCGAGCGGCTCGAGCTCGGGCGGAGAGGCACCGGAGAGAGCGGGCGGATTGGAGGGCCGTCTAGCCACAAGCCTACAATATATATATATATATACATACATATATCAGTTAACATGTATAATATGTGTAGATATGTATATATATATACATATATATATATATTCTGTATATGTATATATTATGTATATATGCATATGTGGTGTTGCAGAGAAAACCAAGGAACACAATGGTCATTACCATGGTTGCTGAAGGTGCCAAACAATGCAGGTGGATCATGGGGGGTGTGACAATATATATATATATATACTGATTTATATGTATGAGTGTTAACATGTATAACATATGTAGATATATATATATATATATATTATATATATTCTGTATATATATATATATATGTGGTATTGCAGAGAAAACTAAGGAAAACAATGGTCATTACCATGGTTTCTGAAGGTGCCAAACAATGCAGGTGGATCATGGGGGGGGGTGACACTATTTCTATATATATATATATATGTATTTATGAGTGTTAATATGTATAATGTGTATATATATATATGTATATGCTGTATATGTAAAACGAGATACGCGTATTTTAAGCTGGGCGCGCGTACAGTCGCAACCTTCGGATACATACATGTCGTGCTGGTTTTATCGTTGACATCGCACACTTCTCTCACAACAAGCATGACTAAAGAAACATGTTTTTTGTTGGTTGTTGTTTCGTCTTTTTGTTTTTTCACAGTGTCTGTTTGACCTTATAACGCGGTGTGACCAGTGAATTCTGCATGTCGACAGCATCGATGTATAACACGTGTTCGCCGCATGTCCACTCGAGCTACGAAACGGAAATTCCAAAACAATTGCTTCGCACATGATTCAACAAAACCCTCTCAAGTGCACCCGCTCAGCACTGCGCATGCCTGCCAGAGTCTGCTTTAATGTCCCCCCCCCCCCGAACAGTGGACATAGTCACCGGGGTTCTCTTCCGTGCAAAACCTAGGGGTTTGGGTTCGCCTCCAACTTGCCAACACTTAATTTAGCATTGCCCATTCTAATCTATTGCCAAGGCTTGCTCAGATTCCCTGCAAGTAATTACTGAGTAAAGCATTGCCAATTCTTAAAGTAGTATTGCCAAGAGTACTCCCAGATTCCCAGTACCTAATTTAGCGTTGCCAGTTCAAAACTTAGTATTGCCAAGACGTACTCTCAGATTGCGAGTACATAATTTAGTACTGCCAATTCTCATTTGGTATTGCCAAGCCATACTCTCAGAATCCAGTACTTCATTTAGCACTGCCACTTCTAAAAATATAATTGCCAAGACTTACTCTCAGGTTCTCCGTCATTACTTAGTTTAGCATTGCCAACTCTGATTTAGTATGCGAATAAAGAAAGAATGAATGCATGCGAGCAAACACGCATGCGCCTGTGGCGTGGGAAAAGAAACCGAGAAAAAGAGCGACCATCTGCGTGTTTCGGCGTCTCCGACAGGCCAATAGCTACCTCGGTCGCGACGCCTGACCGCGCTCAGAGCGGTCTCGGAAGTCGGGCTCGGACCCGGGAAAATTGGCATGGGTGCGCACACTTTTCGCGTGGCAGGCGCAAGGACGAGCTGAGGTACATGTTGCCTGGCAGCAGTTTGCTGTCCTGGCGCTCTCAGATTTCGTGGCAGGCGCAGCGCTTTCGCAAGGTCAAGTGCAGATTTCGTGGCAGCGAAGCACTTTTGCGAGGTCAAGTACGGATTTGGTGGCAGGCGCAGCACCAGTCCCGAAAGAAGTAGTGTCGTACGACGTAGGTGGTACACATTAAAATATGAGTATGCATTTATCAACTTGTCAGCTCTCTTGTTGTCTTAGCACCGTCATTTCTACTGTTCTTCTGCAACTATTGGTCACCATCATAACCATTGTCAAGACAATGGTCATAACAATTATTGACTTTATGCAATGTGCAATGATCAATTGTATCCTGGCATGGTGCTATAGTGCTATCATTTCAGTATTTTTGATATCATGTTATATCATGAAAATTCAATGCAGACTATACCCCATACTACTTTATATAAACACATGTATATACATGATACGCTATCGATATTCTGCATGCATCATTACGGACATGCTGTTTTGGGGAGCACAAGTTACTTGTTTGAAGGGGAACCAAGGAGAACCTCTTTCCTTCCTCCATACAAAAACCCATACACGCACAAACACACAAACGCAATCACACAAACACAAACACAACCACAAACACAAGCAGGCAAGCAAACAAACAAGCACACTGGTCTGGGCTGTCCGTTTTCAGACCCTGCCGAAAGTTTTAAACTTCACTGGGATAAATGGAAACCCGACAAACCAACTACACACCCTAAAAACCCAAGGAACCACCAAGTGGTGCGCCAAGTTTTGTTTTTGGTTTACCCAGATCTACTCCACGCCTCGGTCATCTCCACGATGCTCTCCTCGCCATTGTTGATCCTCAGCCGGATCCGTCGGGGTTTTTGAGTCGTGGATCCAAATTCACGACACAGAAAACAGGGCTCCCTATATTTCCCCTTAAAACCTCACCCCCACCAAGGGGTACTCACCTTTCACGGGCCAAAAAAGTGATGCTTAAAACAGCCAAAATTGGAAATATAGGGACCCCTGAGGTTGTCCGCACCTCTGAGCAACAAACTGCCCCAAGCTTCGTCTATTTTAGAAGCTGGGCAAAGCCCTGGCCAACCACGTAGCGTCTTTCCAGTGGACAAAGGACAAGGGGCTTTTCATGGTGGTCTTCCAAAACCCAACATAGTCCACTTCTATCTTTTGGACAAATGCCACATCCAGCAGCAGCTTTGGCGCCAGCTGTTTCCAGTTTCTTGGCCGAGAATCTCCTTGGTGCTGGGCGGTCGACATCTGATCGCCACCTTCACGCAATCGCTGGCTTTGTCCCCCATGACGATCCGTCAATCAAGCCATGGGACACCGAATTCCGGCATGCAAGCGATGAACAGCTGGCACTTCTGCTGCTGCGTGGCCTGAGTTGATGGGCCAACAGAATTTCGACAAGTTGGGCCTTTGCTGACATGAAGGAACCTATCTGTCAAAGCGTAAAGCTTGCCAACTTAACGCGTAGGTTGGCTCAAGCGATCTAGGCTGGTGAGCACATCGGGGTAGGGGTAGTCGGGCTGAGTGTGCGCAGTCTGAGATCGTCCTGTTGGAAGAAGACGTTCGTTTTGAGTTTGGAGCTCGAAGGACACGCACTAGGTCCTCCAGATTTGAGAGGTTAGAATCAGGGCACCCTTCTTTCGGCAGTCTATTTTGGTAGGGGAGCCCTCCCCCCGAAAAGCGTCAAAGGGCGCCCTGGGAGACCGAGATTTGCTGGGTGAACAACTTCAGGAGCCCCCCCGTCTGCACCACGGTCATGTACACATGCGAGCAGCTTTGCCCCTGAGCCAGCGAGTCGCACGCGCGCTTTTCGCATGGGCTGCCGCATGACTTATGGTCATAAGAAAACATATTGCCCCCAAAAGAACGTCCGAAGGCTAGCCAGTTCCCAGCGTTTTGTGGGGTTCCTCAGTTGAAGGGCTTTCCTCTTACACCCGGGGAGTACGCCCGCTGGGGAAGCTCCCTATTCCAGCCAATTTCCCTATAACACCTGTTTATTTTAGTTAGGATTATTTTGGGTGACAGGGTGTGATTCCAGGCTGTAATAGGAACATCCTTAGACTCAAGTCCCCCCAAATGGACCAGAGACTGGAAATGTTGACCAAACCCCACAGGAGTAGCTCTCTCGAAGTCAATCCGCCTGTGGGCTTGGAGTGGGGCAAGTTCCGAGGTTCCAGAAGAGTCAACCTCCATTTACCGCCACAGTCCCCCTTCTCAAAACAATATGTCCAACAGTGATAGATGCCCTTCAAGACCAGGGGGAAAAAATAAATCAAGTGTTCATCTCAGCAAATTGAATTCAAAGGAGTTTTTGTGAGCTGCTCGAGAGAACTTCTCCTTTGCTTCCAACAACCGGGACACCCCTCACAAGCTCCATAAAACCAGTGGGAACTCGGTTGCTTTCTGCTCCCCTGCTAAAAAAAAAACAATTTTAGTGGTTTAATACGGAAAACCCATTCATTAGTTGGATCAAAAAGCTAGTTAGTCAACTAACAGCCCTTGGCAAAATGCAAAACCTGTGGGAAAGTCCAGCCACTTTGGCTCCGGAAAGCCGAAATCGCATGGAAAATCGGATGGAATCGCAAGTCTCTACCTCCGAAGGCTGGGCCGAAACCGTTTCCTTCGGATTCCCAGCAAAAAAGGCCCCTGCAAAAAAGTATATATATAAAACCACGTCCAAGAGTGATAGGTTCCCCTTCAAAGGAAAAAGAAACAGGGGAAATAAACAGATTCATTTCAGCAACTGGAGGCCACGGATTCCCTTGCCAAGACAAGGTCTGTGCCGTTTGGGGCCCTTCTACAAGGGACACTGCGCGATTGAACCTGTGAACACGGTGCTCGCGAAGGTGATGACTTGCTTCTCCAAGATAACCACCGGGAACGTGATCTTCCATTTGCTAATACGTCCACTGGAAAAATACAAAATTATGTCCGGTAGTGAAATCGATTCCCTTTAAAACCAGCAGGGGGAAATACAAAGCATGCTCTTAATGGATGATTGAGCCGCTGCATCGCTTTGGAGCGGGACCGTTACTACCCCCCGGTCAGTTGACGTGAGGCACCCAAATGATTGAGCCCGTCTTTGTGGGAAAGGTCGTGACGCCCTTCTCATCCCTCCCTGAACAAGGGCGTTCAGTCCCTGGAACTTGAGCCCAGTTTACATCAGGGCTGAATTGCTTGGACAAGATTCAAAAGGAGACGTGGTTGAAAAAAGAAGAAACACAACTCAGATATTAAGCGAGGGGTGGAATTTATTCTTCGAGTTTCAGCTTTTAGTGGGATATGACATAAACACCAAACTCTCAAACAGTTTGGAAGTCGGACCGTATCGCTGGGAACGGCCAAGTGGGCCGTTCCACACAAAGCCCCTGTGGTGAGGTCGCGCCTTTGTTGGCCCAGTGTTCATCTCCGCATTCGCTCACCAAAAAAAAAGGGACGGCCACACAATAATTCGAGTTAGGCCCAATTGTAGAATGTATAGTTTATTGCTTGCTTCACGTGGAGTCACTGGTAAAATGTAAAATGTATCCTAAGTCTACCCCAGAAGAGCAGGGAATTTGGGCTCAACACGTAGACGTGGTTGCTGAGTGTTTTTTTGTTTTGCAAAGCGAGCGTGGGGATTTGGCATCGTCTCTCGAGCCCGCACGTTTCTGTTGCCTTTGGACTTGCCTAAGTTCCTAAAATTGGTGAACTTTAACATGAAACACGGGCATGTCTCAAACCAACAGCAGGAGCCCGCTTTTTTGGTCGCTTTTCAATGGGGAACGCCGGACTTGTTGTGGTCTCCACAGCACGGCGTGAGCAGTACCGGTGAGACCTGTTAACTTGTGGGTTGAATGGAAGCACGGCACCATGTAAAAGTGTTTAGCTTGTGGGTTAAATGGACACGCAACTAAGCCAACTTTTAGGAAGAAAACGAAGGACCCGGATGGAGGGAGTTCCCAAGTCGCAGAAATGGCGACGGGTCGGGGATAGGGCTCGATTCCCACCGAGTCGGGCATCCGGCGCCTGCGCAAATCAGCTCGCAGAGCTGTGTCCTGAGTCGGGGAGGGGGGGGCAAAGGAACCCAAGGCGTTCAGCATGGCAGGTGCTTTGGGTCGTGACAAGGCCTAAAAATGGCGAGTTTCCTCGTGGTTTCCCGGAAAAGGAGACCCTGAAACACAAGCAAGGGTGCCACTGGCAAATAATAAGAACGGAAGTGAAACCACTAATCGATTTATTTTCAACCAAACTGAACAAAAAGGATACAATGTATTTTGACAAGTTACAGTATTCTTCTCTCTTATGTCTTCTGTCTTCTGTCTTTTTCTTCTTCATGTCACTATCGCTTTTCTGCGTTCAATGAAACTCTGGCATGCCTAAAACGTCGGCGTGCCAGCTAAGCTTCGTTCACAACCAGACCAGGAACCCTCACGGCTCGTTCTACCGAGTGCAGGGCCAGCGAAATCGCTTCCATGCCTGCCCAAGATGTTGGCTGCCCAATTTGTTTGATTGCCCGCTAGACTGAGCGTCCTGTCCAAAACCCTAGCCCTCCGCAACTTAGAGCTTCGTCGATCCCTTGCCTAAAGCCATCTTGCTTGATTGTTGTTGCAGAAATACCTCTAAACTCAAAGACATGTGCAAAAGGCTAAGATCAACTGTTGGACGTGTCATAAATACCTCTAAGCTGTGTGGTAAGGGTGTGGCTAAGGGCAACTTACTTGCCCAAATGGAAATACAAGGCAATCACCCTTTGGGACCTTGCCTAAAAATGGAAACCACGAAAATCAGAAGGCCAGATATCAGTCGATTCTGTTTGTACAACTGAGGTTAGTGGCTTGTGGCTGCAAACTGGGGCAACCGCTTGCCCACCGCCGCATCTCCTGACGGGCTGTGGCACGGGCTGAGTGAGCGGGAAAATAAAACACATAATTCTCTCTCAGCCTTCGCCCAAATCAAAATGACATGTTTAGGGGACCCTACTTTTTTGCAACCAAAAGCCAGTTTTTTTGAGAAACACCCAAACAATGTCGTTTCAGAGGTCGTGCCCCGAATCTGACACTGGCCTACATTTGGCGCCAAAATGCAATATCATGATGCAATTCGTGATGTTCCCCATATATTTCCTCACCAACGCTTTTAATTCGCCCAAAAGGTGACGTTTCAACGAGCTAAGAGAAATCTAGGGACCCGCAGTCAAGGTGATTTTGCCACGTGGCTGGCAAGTTGCCACACATGCCTTTTCTTTGTCGTGCCTGCCACCAGGATGCGCACTGAGTTCAGCTCCTGGCAGCAAACATGGACTCCGACCCTACAGAAGCTTCTGCAAACAAAATGAGGGATTGGGGCCTACTTGGATCTTCGGCCAAGTGGGTAAGCCCTGCAGTTCAGTTACCAGCATTAAAACAATGGTTGGGTTCAGGAAAAAAAAAGTGCTTGCCTAAGGAGTGTCATCAGCCAAATTGGGTCAACCTTTCTGTTAATGGGGGTTGAACCCTCGGGTAAGTTGTGGATAACCAGGGTTATAAGCCACTTATTCGTCTCCCGTTCAGTGGGGTTAACAACCTGTTAGTAGTTGGCACCCAAATGGCGGTGTCCACTGAAAAATGGCGAATCGAACATCCAAGTATCCTTATCTCCTGGGTGATTACTCCCCAATTTAACATGGAACCCATAAAAACCCATCCCCTAAGGTTCAACCCCCGTTAAAAGAATAGTTGACCCATTTTCGATGGTGACAGAACCAAGGATCTCTCAACTGAGACTGGGACCAAACTAGGACTAGACGATCCACCTCTGATTCTTATAATAATTGATTTTCAAGTAGGACTTTCTCTGTAATGTCCTTTATACTTTCTAATTGTTTCAGTAAACTAGGAGCAACCTCACACTATAACCAAGGATCTCTCAACTAGGACCAAACTAGGACTAGACTATTTAACTCTGCTTCTTATAGTATGTGGCTGTCAAATACTACATTCTTTGGATAGAAAGTCCTGCACAACATTTGGATTGAAACAGAATAGCCAATATTTAGAATCCAATTTAACATGCACAAATGAATAGATGAGTTCCTTATTTAAGATTCTACTGGTCAGTTGGCAGTTACATAAAACTTGATAAACATATGAGATAAAATTCATAAGGGACTTCCTTGGTATTGTCCTTTATGCTTTCTAATTACTTCAATAAGCTGGGACCATAATAGGCCTAGATCAACTAGGACTAGGAACAAACTAGGACTAGACCATTTAACTCTAGTTCTTATAGTGTTTGGAAAGGCAATCTTGTGTACCATTTAATTTGACATAGAACAATCAATAGTTGAGTTCCAATTCAAATCGAAATCCCGACGGGAGTATTTCCTT